AGGATATGCAGTCTGCAGAGTACAGGATGGGGTTTGTCACTCAGCTCTGCTGCTTTTTAGACGTTTATGTGCAGGCTTCCCTTTGCTGTAGGAAAAGGGAGTTGGGAAAGTAGAAGAGTATTTGACAGTGGGGTAGAAGTGATTGGGTGAGTTACTGGGCCCCCAATGAAAGCAAGAGGTAATGCAGATCACCACGGCACTGAACTGAGACTGAGGAGCAGGAGAAATTGGCTGCTTGAAGAGACGATCAGGTTTTATTTTATACCTGTCCTTAATTATCTCTTCTTCCCTCCCTCACAGAATGATTCCTTCTCAGTCTCTTGTGAAAGGCTGTGAGAACATCAGACCCAAGGCCAAGGAGTTTGTGAGCTCTCTGTTAGAGAGCTACGACCTGGCTGAGGTGAGTTCCTGAGCTGGGGGCTCCATGGCTGGAGGGGACCTGGTCTCTAACACTTGTGTCCTTGTTCAGTTTCAGACCTGTGAAGTTCAACACTGTAAAAATGCTTTTGCATGTTCAGTGATCCACAAGTCTGGCTGGAAAGTAGTTTATTCTGGTGATACAATGCCCTGCATGGCCTTAGTGCAAATGGGTAGGTAACCAAGCCCTCTGCTTGAAGAATCTCTTGGAGAAAGGTCTCCATCTGTCAGTAACCAAAGTGAGCACCCCCAAACCTTTGGTGCTGTGTCTGCCACACACAGCGAGGGACTGAGGAGGGACAGGAAGGCTCCTGTGGGCAGTTGGGCTGGTCAGTCTTCAGCTGGAGATTGAATATGTGATTGTTTGCACAGGGAAGAATGCCAACCTGCTGATCCACGAAGCCACGCTGGAAGATGGCATGGAAAAAGAAGCTATAGAGAAGACCCACAGGTGGGATGTGCTCTGCTGGCTGTCTCTGTTAGGAAGGGAAAGGTGCACAGCTGGCTGTGGTCCTTGGAGCTGAAGGGTCCAAGTCCTGTCAAAGGCTCTGGTGTGCACAGAGCTCTTCTACACTAAAGATGGCATGCTGGTCATTGCAGCAGCTCGGAAACCACCACAGATCCTCCCAACATCCCCAAAAGAAGCGGGGAAAGCTTTCAAGCAGACATTGGTAACTCTACAAACAGACCAGCCCAAGGGAAAGACCCTCTGCATGGGTCTCTCATGGGTTACATCCTGGGACTAAGCTCAGGAGGCAGAAGAGTCATTTTACCCCCACAGCTCACTGAGAGCACTGCAGCCAGGGATTCCATGTGCTGCCCAGGCACACGTGGGAGGCTGAGGGCAGCTCCTCATCTGAGCCTGTTGGCACCCCTGGGCCAAGTGCCTGCCCCCAGCTTTTGGAGCTCTTAAATGCCAGGCTGCAGCCATTACTGCTGCGTTCCTGCACTCAGGGTTGTGTGCAAGTCAGACAATTGCCACTGGCTCAGGCTGCCCGAGGGAGAGGGGCCTGTGCCTGTGAGGTCACTCGGTGTGCTGTGACCTGACTGCAGGGCAGCAGCACCTGCCAGCCTGGCTGTGACCAGGGTGTGTTCCCTTTGCAGCACAACCTCCCAGGCCATCCAGACTGGGATGAAGATGAATGCAGAGTTCATCATGCTCAATCACTTCAGCCAGAGGTACGCCAAGATCCCGCTGTTCAGCGAAGACTTCAGCGACAAGGTCGGCATTGCCTTTGACCATATGAGGGTAAGTTGGGAGCTTGGGGCCAGGCCTGGGAACGGTGTGGTTGTTACTTTAGGATGGCTGCTGATTAATTAAGTGCTCGTCTTGTACTGTATCAATTTTCCATCTGAGAAGCTAGGGACTTCTTATAAAATGAGGGAAGTTGGACTGGACAAAACGCAGCTCGAGCTAATATGGTTAATGTTACGTTCTTCTTTTATTGTGTGTAAGATAGTAGTTTATATACACTTTAATATAGTTTACAAATTGTGACACTATTATTAGTCAGCAAACATTGTTTGTCTTTGCTTTAAGGTGGCCAGAGCTTCACACTGTAGACTTACACTAATTCACACTCGGACAGTTTATTACTTTGTAGTCACCTTAACATAATTTCTAACTGCACTACAACTATTTTCTTACTGTGTCAGGTGCTTCCAAGGCCTCACCGAGGCCCACATCTGAAGCCTAAACTAAGAGAGTAGCTCAACTCTTACTCTAAATACACAAATCGTGTCCTCTCTCTCTCAGAAATCCAGTAACATCCAGAGAATCCTGAAGAGCAGGCTGTGAAACAGCTCCTTTAACTGCTGGCAGCAGGAGCCCTGTGCCACCCTTTCCCCACACTGGTGTGAGACAGGTGCTGATGGCCCTCGAATCCAGCTCTTTAACACTCTGGGTACCTGCCTTGTGTCACCTCAAGTCTGTGCTGGCTACTCCCAGCCAGAAAACCTAATTTTGCTTCCATTCCCGTCCCAACTGATGAGCTGCTCCAATGGCTTTCTGTAGCAGACATCTGGGAGACAAAAGCTGGCTGAAGGCACTCATGGCATTGAGGGCAGCTCATAGTCAGAATTTATACTGGGCCACAGCATTTCTGTGAAGAAAATGTCAATAACTCTTGGAGGTTTGGGCTGCTGGGTGCAGGTGCTGCACACAGGACGGGTGCACAGGCCAAAGGCAAGGGGAAGCAAGGAAATCAAACAGCAGTTCCCACACAGGAGCTCCTGTGCTTGTGTTTCAGGTGCGTTTTGGGGACTTCCCGGCCATCCCGAAGCTGATCCCGCCCCTGAAGGCTCTGTTTGCAGACGACATAGTGGAGATGGAGGAGAGGAAGGAGAAGCGCGAGATGCGGCTGCTGAAGGAGACTGCCCTGCTCCTGGACAAACTCACCAGGGGGGACAGCACGGAAGCAGCGTGCCAGAAAAGAAAACAAGCCAAGAACCATCAGGAACTGCCAGACAAGAAGCTTAAAACAGTCAACTGAGAGGGACAAGTGCTGTGCTCTGAGAGAGGAGCCTGGCTCTGTGCAGGCCTCCAGCACCACGGGACGGGGGCTGGCCTGGCCGGCTGGACTTGCTGGGTCATCATGGATCTCCCTGGGCTGCAGCTCCAGTGGGTTGTCAGCAGCACTGCTCCTTGTGGAGACAGGATCTGCCCACAAAGCTCCTGTTCTGAGGGCTCACCAGTCCATGGGGCAACTCTTCTTTTAACCAGACCTTCTCTCTGAACTGTTTTAATTTTGGGGTTTATGCTACGAGGTATTGATAATGTAACAGCAGCGGGTGTGACCTGTGCAAGAGATCAGGTGTGAGAGGCCCTGGAGGGCCGTGGGTTTGCCAGAAGAAGGTGAGCATGTCTCAGCTGGTTATGCCACCCTTCACTATTCAGAACCCAGGTGATAGGAAAATTAACAGTAAAATGGGACCCAGTTTTAGGGTTTTCGATTAAATCAGGGGTGAGAATACATCTGTGCATCGGTGTTCCCATTTTATTTTGGTTTTCTCTGCTGGTTTTTTGTTTCAAAAGATCAGTTTTCCAAACCCTTTCTTTTAGAATCTGAATAAACCACTTGCCATCTGCCAGAAAGCTGTGTTGTGTCAGGATCACTAATGAGGAAACAAAAACCTGGATTTCTCTGGTGAGCCCATCAGGTCTGGATCATGCTGGAGCCTCATGGCTGCGGGTGTCCTTGAGCAGATTCTGGTTCTGGATGCATGGGACAGAAAAGTGGCACAGCAGGCAGAGAGGGGGGAGGTCTGTGGTTAAGAGGAGTTTTTCTGAGGTTTTTTATGGGTCAGCTTTGCTTCTTCACTTGCCACTGCTGTCACTGCCTGTGTTTGGAAGTAGGACAGGAGTTCTGTGCTGTTCCAGTTCATTTTTGGAGGCAACTTTTAGACACCCAGGCCTCACTCAGGAAATGACATTTGCACACAAGTCTTAAGAATTCATTTTGAGTTTATGGGAAATTAAGGGACAAACTATTAGCAAAGCATCTTTTGTTGATGAGCTGTGTTTTAGTGTGGTGCTTGCCGAGACTGCAGAATTGGCACATCTGTGTCCTCCAGAAAAGCTATCCTGGGCTTTAATGAATAGCAGGGGACTGAGGAAAACCAAAATGTTCCTGTCACTGGACAGGTGAGGGTAGGGGTAGGCTGGAGTGCCCAGGAGAGGACCTGGTTACTGCTGGGGTAACACGAGCAGCTCTGGGACTGCACAGGACCCGTGTGCTGCTTTCCATGGATTTATGGAAGGATCTTTTATTTGGAAAATAGCAAACTGCTTCTCACAGGAGAGAGGGTACTAATGAAGTGGAAATGCAACGGTGGCTGGAGCTCACAGCACCCAGGTTTCAGCCTCAGGTGGTTCATTCACTGCCCAGGCACTGCTGAATCTGTGTTTCTAATCCCTCTCCCTTCTTGTTTGTTCTGACTGGGCTTGCTGAGCTGTGCTGACTCTGTTGCCCCTGAGTCCCCAGGGAGACACTAAATCAGAGAGAAAAATGCTAGGGAAAGGCTGGCGCTTCTCCACGAGTCTGAAGTTACCCTCCCGTCACCCCAAGCCACGTTCAGGAGCAGAGAGGCTACTTACAAAAGCTCTCCTCTGCTCCATCAGGATATTCACCAGCCCTGCAAAGGGAGCACAGGGACAGCAGGGGCGGTCAGAACTGTCTGGGGACTCAGGGCAACAGAGCCAGCACAGCCCTGCGAGCCCAGTCAGAACAAACAAGGAGGGAGAGGGATTAGAGACACAGATTCAGCAGTGCCTGGGCAGCGAAAGAACCACCTGAAGCTGGAACTCGGCTGCACCAAGGAGAGAGGGAATCAGCACGGCGCAGGTACGCCGGTGTCGGGAGCAGCACCAGGGGGTGAGGGACAGGAGCTTCCCGTGCCCCATTTGGAAAAAAATTCCCGCGGAGCCAGCCGGGAATTGCCTCTGGGGCTGCACGGCGCTGCCGGGATGAGCGAAACGCGCTGGGACGGGCGGAGGGAGGCGGCGGCGCTGGGACCGCCCTCGCATCCCGGAGCTCCCGGGCAACGGCGGCCGCTCCTCGCAAACACTCAGCGGAGCCGGGCGGATGGAGGCGGAGGGCGAAACCGGGATGGAGGAGCAGGAGCGGGAGGAGCCCCCGGAGCCGGAGGAGCCCCCGGAGCGGGAGGAGCCCCCGGAGGAGCGGGGCGCGGCGCGGCTGGCGCGGCTGGCGGAGCGGGCGCTGGCGCTGCCCGCGGGGCGCGGCCTGGCGGGGCCGGCGCTGCGCGAGTTCGTGAGGGGCGCGGCGGGGCCGGCGCTGCTCGCCTGGCGGGGCCCGGCCGGTCAGCTGGAGCTCAGCCCCGGGCCGCCCCCGCCGCCCCCCGGCGTCCCCAAAGCGCTTTTCTTCCTCCGGCCGCCCGCAGCCGGCCCCGGCCCCGCCGAGCTGCTGTGCGGGGACCTGCCCGCAGAGCCCCTGCCGCACTTCGCCGCGCTGGTGGAGGAGGTAAGGGGGGAAAGGCTGGAGAACCCAATGGAACTCCTAAATCCGCAGCCATGTGGGCTCTGGGCGTCTCACGGTGCGGTCCGTGGGGGATGACCCACGTTACACAGGCGCAGGATGGGTTCATGAGAATGAGAAGTAGTGCTTGTCCCATCCTTGGAAGTGTTCGAGGCCAGGGTGGATGGGGTTTGGAGCAGCCTGGGATAGCAGATGTGTCCCTGCCCATGTCAGAGGGTAAACTTCAAGGTCCCTCCCACCCCAAACCATTCTGTGGTTCCAGGGTAGCTGGTGCTGCATGGCACATCTCGGGCACGTCGGGTCCAAGCCCCTGCTCAAGCCAGGCCACTCAGAACCAGTTGCCCAGGACCATGTCCAGGTGACTTTGCAGTATCTCCGCAGATGGAGACTCCTGTGCCAGCCTTCAGTCACCCTCTCAGGAAAGGGTGTTTCCTGATGGTCAGAAGAGCCTCTTGTATTTCAGTGCCCAGTTACCTCACGTGGGCTGATGTTTTCCCAAAGGGATCTTCAAGAGGTTCCATCAGAGGTCCAGTTGTCATTTTTACTTTCCAAAAGACTACAAACAGCTGATGTGACTGGTTATGGCATTACTCTCACTAGCAGTCCGTGCGATCTGAGTAATGGAGACAAAGCCTGCTACTCTTGCAGCTGAAGCTGTTGAAAGTGAGCCCTGTGTGCCCTGGGGTTGTTCTCCTTTCCCATGGCTCCCTGGACATGGTGGTTGCTCCTGCTGGTCCTCTTTGGTCGTGATGCAAAGAACTTTCAGCGCCCTGGTTGTTCCTTTTCTATTCTGTGTCTGTTTGTAGCTGGTTTTACACCTTTATCCTCCCCGGAGTCTGGCCACACAAAGGCTGCTCATCACCAGGGGCAACCTGGCTCTGATCCCAGAGGAAGGTGGCAGACACTGCTGCTACCTCAGCACAAAAGATCCAGAAACAGCTCAGGTTCAGGCAAGCCCAGCCCAGAGCCCCCAGCTGCTGGGACTTCACTGATAACGACAGGAGCCATATTTAGTGGGCTGCAGCTTTGGGAAATAACCTAAAACGTGGCTCTGTTGTCGATGCCAGGAGGTCCCAGAGGACTTTCCCTCTGCATATGGGGGGTGGATGTGCAGGGACAGCCCCTGGGCTCAGCCCAGCCCTGCTGGCCTGCTCATCATCACCTGCAGCTTGGGACAGTGGTCAATGAGGGTCTCCAGGCTTGGTGGCCAACCCATCCATAGTGCTTTTTGTTATAGAATCATCAATTCACAGCACGTTTTGTGTTGGAAGGGACCTCGAAGCCCACCCAGTGTCACCCCTGCCATAGCAGGGACACCTCCCACTGTCCCAGGCTGCTCCAAGCCTCAGTGTCTAACCTGGCCTTGGACACTGCCAGCCACAGATTCTGGTGTGGTGTCTCCTGACCCTCACAGGGAACAATTTCTTCCTAAATCAAACCTAAATCTGCCATCCTTCATCTCTTATCCGTTGTTTTGCCATGGCTCCTGGTGTAGGTGATCGTGCCCATCCTGACGAACCGGAGGAACCATGAGGGCTGGCCACGAGTGGTGTCACAAGACATCATCCATCACGTCCACAGCCTGAAAAATACTGTCTTCAAGGTTGTTGGCCAGGTGAAGGGCAAGACCTTGCTGCCTCTTCCAGCTGCCTCGGAGGGAATTGAGAACATTGATCCTAAAGATGAGAAATTGTGAGTACCAGCCCTCGCTCCCCACTGGGTGTTCCTCTGCTGCTGCATCTTTTGGGGATCCTCCCTGTCAGACATGGGGACTCTTCTTGCTCCCTCTCCTCTGCAGCTCATCAGACTGCCAAGGAGGGGATTTTGCTCTGTCTTTGGGGATTGTGCAATGACACAAGCAGGAAAAGCTCAGGAGGTGGAAGGGGATGAGGGCATGCAGAGAAGCAATGAACTGCTGGGATCACTGAGGGAAAACTCCAAACTCTGCAGTCAGGCTGCTCCCAGCTCTGTCCAGCCTGGCCTTGGGCACTGCCAGGGATCCAGGGGCAGCCCCAGCTGCTCTGGGCACCTGTGCCAGGGCCTGCCCACCCTCCCAGCGAGGATTCCTTCCTAATATCTCATTTAAGTCTACACTCTTTCAGTTTTAAACCCTTCCTCCTCATCTTGTCTCTAACTCCCCTTGTAAATGTTCTCCCTCATGAATTTTATTGTTCTGTGGTTTTGAAACTTGAATCTGGGCTGTAACTGTAAAATCCAACTGCACACTGAGGTAGATCCAGCTGAGCAATGCACTTGCACAAGTGGAAAGCCGAGTGACCCTCTTGCTCTGTTTCCTGCAGCTTGGAGCGGATCAATAAATCCCTTGTGCATGCCACCGAGTCAGCCATCATTGACTGGAGCCAGCAGATCCAGAGAGTGCTGAAGAAAGAGTCCTCAGAGCCTCTCCTGCAAGGCACCAACCCCACCCCGAGGGTGGAACTGGAGTTCTGGAAGAGCAGGTGCTGGGAAGAGCCAGCAGCTGCTGGTTTGGGAGCAGGGGGTGCTGCTGCTGCTCGAGGTCAGGTAGAGACCTGAACCCAAAAGTATTGCTCCCAGACATAAAATAATGATGATCTCCGAGTGCCTGGAGGTGGCTGGGCAGTTGGCTTCGTTTGGCTTGGCCCAGCCACAGTTCAGGGCTACACCACAAAGGAATTTTGTTGGAAATGCTGTTCCCATCACTGGTCACTAGGAACCAGCCCCTGAGTAGAGCTGCTGGGCACTCTCCATGCTGCCAGCTGGCTGCTGGTGGTGCCAGAGGGGGTTAGATGAGCCAGGGAGTGGAATTTCTCCTGCCCTTTGTGCAGTGTTGGCTCAGGCTGACTGGAGGCAGAGCCCTGCCCGTGCAGAGCTGTCAGCAGGGGCTGCAGAAACAACACCTGGCTCCTTTTGGCACTGCTCTCCTCTGAACCTGGCACCAGCTGTGTCCTCTGGGGCTGTCCCAGCTCAGTTCAGACTAGAACGTGGGTCCTTAAGTTCTAAAATGAAATGTCTCCTAAAGTTTGGCTGAGATGCTGCCTGGGTGTTTGCACTGCAGTCTGTGCAGAAAAACTTCCCAGTGGCTGCAGGACTTCACCACTTCCCTCTCTCCAGCCACAGCCTTGTTCTTCTCACATTCTCTGTGCTTTCATGTGCTGGAGCTCTTTGCTCATGCAGGTACATCTACTGCTTTGCAGAGGTGTGGGGGCTTCAGGAAAACTGGTTGGAAAACTTTTTGTGTGTCCTCCAAAAAAACCCCAAATCTAAAAAATACACGACCCCCTCGCCCCAAACATTTCTTGTTCTTCAGAGGGTTTTTTTTCCCCCACATAAAAATAAGTTCAGGACTCTCACTGTTTGGAGATCTCATTCAAAACCTGCTCTGCCTCTGCCTTCCCTGTTGCAGAGGGTCTGTGCTCAGTCCTGTGTGACTGCAGCACATCCCGGGGCAGGGCTTTGGGCACAGCTGGGCTGGTAACGTGTGCTGGTGCTGCAGGTGTGCTGACCTGGAAGGCATCCACAGCCAGCTGACATCCAGGAGGGTCAGCAGCATGGTGGAGGTGCTGGAGAGAGTGCAGAGCGTCTACGTGCCAGCCTTCCAAAGCATGCTCCTGGACGTTGAGGCAGGTGAGTATTGGAAATGCAGGGGAAGCTGTTGGAAGAAGTGCTGATGTCTGACTCCAGCTCAGAAGGCTGAATTATTTCTTTAACTATGCTACAATACATTAATATACTATTTAAAGGAGATACTAAAACTACAAACCTGCTTTTCTAACTCCCATATTTAACTCACTCCCAACTCGTGACCCTCTCCGAGAGCCAGCCCCAGGTGGGTTGGATTGGCCATCAGGCTTAAACAATCCTCACAGAACCCAACCCAGCAATCACCCCAGGTAAACAATTCTCCAAGCACATTCCACATGGAAAAACAAGGAGCAGAAATAAAAATTGTTTTCTCTTTCTTCCCTCTGTGCTTCTCTATAAAATGTCCTGAGAGGGAGAAACATGTGCCTGCCACCGGTGAGAACCTGGTCAGCTCTACCATGGTGCTGACTTCTGCCCTCTGTTCCCAGCCTGGGGTGCCAGTGTCATGGCATTCTGACTGCCCTCAGGGTGGTGTTTGCATTTTATACCAAAAACTACCTGTGCCATGTTTACAATAACGTGCCAATATCTGTCATTTATGTTGGACAGTGTGTCTGTACCTTAAACCAACAGAAAAGTGTCACCATCACAGCAAGGCACGGAGGGCAAGGAGGAGGAGAAGAAGCTCAGGACACACACAAATCCCTCCATCTTGATCACCTGAATTATATTCTAAAAACCCCAAAATTCTACTTTTTCATCCTGTGTTAATTCAACTACCATGCTACTCAAACCCTTGTGGCTTGTAATTCTTCATACAAAGTTGGCAGATTTTCCCACGTGCTAAAATCAAAGTCAGAGGTGTTTGTGACTTGGTGCCAAGGTCTCTGAGCCCCTGCCAGGGTCTGGGGGCAGCCAGGGCAGCCAGAGGGAGGTGAGGAGGGGTCAGGGTGGTTTCTCTCCAGCACTCACAGGTGAGTGCTTTGTGCTCACCAGGACAGTTCTCCCCTTTGAGACCGCACCAGCCTGTGCATCTCACCCCTTCTGCCCTCCCTTCCCGCAGCTCTGAGCGAAGCTCAGGACATCACCCTGCACCTGACACCCCTCCAGCAGCCCCTGGAGCACATCGAGGCCGCCGAGTTCAGCAGGGTGAAGCCTCTGCTGGTGCCTCTGCTGCACGCGGTGTGCTGGCTCTGGGCCACCTGCGGGCACTACAGCGTGCCCCTGCGGCTGGTGGTGCTGCTCCAGGAGATCTGCAACCTCCTCATCCAGCAGGTGTGTGCCCCTGGCACCTGTGCTTGCACGGGAAGGGTTTGGTGGAGCCTCTTCTCTCTCTCCTTCCCCTGTCCTTCCTTGCAAAGGGATTCTGACTGAGCTGTTCAGTGCCAGAAGCCACCGTGTGCTGTGGCAGCCGGAGGGACATCTCTATGTGATTTGGCTCCTCCAGGCTGTGCTGTACCTGTCCCCTGAAGAGCTGCTGAAAGGAGAGGTGGAAGAGAGCCTGGGCAAGGTGCAAACAGTGCTTGACATCCTGAATGCCTTCAAAGGGGCGTTGGAGGAGAGACGGGCAAACCTGCAGGTGTATTATGAGCCAGGCCAGCAAGTGAGGAGCTGGGACTTCCACCCCAGGCTGGTGTTTGCGAGGCTGGACAGCTTCCTGCAGAGGCTGCAGATGGTGCAGGTGAGGCTGGAGCTGGGAGCTATTGCAGCCAGGAGCTGCCTTGCTGGCTCCTTCCTCCCTGATGCAGGGTGTGGGGTCACTCTCTGTGCTGTGTGGTCCCCCTGACTGACATCAAGGCCAGGACTTGTTTGCCCAGTGCAGAGGGCAGATCTGCTGCTGTGTCCTTCTGCTCAGCCTGCTGGGTGTGTCAGTGCTCCCAGGAGTCCTCTGGGACTCGTGCTCTTGTTGGGGATGGGGGTTGTGGGACTGGAATAAACCAGGACAAGCTCCTAGGGGAGCCCTCAGGGACACCCTGGGCATCTCCTGACTTGGACAGGGGGCCTGGGGAGGAGCAGGGACACGTTCCACATCCCTCAGCAGCTCATCCCTTACACACACATTGCTCGCCTGTTACACTCTGTGTACCTGTTACACACACACTGTGCTCACCTGTGAGCTCTCCCATGGGTGACAGCTCACTGCTCCTGCTGCTCACCCCTCTCTGAAGTGCAGCTCTGTTTGTGGATGGGCTCTTCCCAGCTGGGCACTGCACTGGCTGCTTGTGCCTGTTCAAGGCAAGGTCTGGGCTCCTTTTCTCCTCTTGTTCTCTGCACTGGAACAGAAGGTTTCACTGTTTAACCTCACTGTGTAACTCTGCTCATTCCTTAAGGAGCTGTGTTGACAATCACAATGGATGGCATCTATTTCAAAACCACTCATAATTGTAGATTCACAGAATGGTCTGGGTCAGAAGGGACCTCAAAGATCACCCTGATCCCAGCCTGAGCAGCCTCTGGATGGCCCAGGAGCAAACATGGCTCTGTGCTGTGGTAACTTGCCATCTGCTTGTGGCTGAACCCGTGTGTGCCTCCCCTGGTTCTGCAGGGTCTCCTGAGCACAGCCCTGGACCTGGCAGAGCTGGAGAAGATTGAGTTTGGGGGCATGAGAGGGAAGGCCCTGGGCCAGCAGGTGCTGGACATGTATGAGGAGTTCCAGGAGGGCTACCAGGTGTTCTCAGAGCGAGCCTACGACTGCCTGGACCTGGCCAACCTGGTAGGTGGGAGCAGCCCTGGGAATGCCAGCAGCTCATCCTCCTGTCCAGAGAGCAGCTCCCTCTGCAGCAGAGCCTCCTGCCTGCTCCTTCCTCCTCCTGCCTGCTCCTCCTTCCTCCTGCCTGCTCCTTCTTCCTCCTGCCTGCTCCTTCCCCCTCCTGCCTGCTCATTCCTCCTCCTGCCTGCTCCTCCTTCCTCCTCCTTCCTCCTGCCTGCTCTTTCCTCCTCCTCCCTGCTCCTTCTTCCTCCTGCCTGCTCCTTCCTCCTCCTGCCTGCTCATTCCTCCTCCTGCCTGCTCCTTCCTCCTCCTGCCTGCTCCTTCCTCCTCCCTGCTCCTTCTTCCTCTTCCTTCCTCCTCCTTCCTCCTCCCTGCTCTTTCCTCCCTTTGTCGTGCTCTGATCTGTCACTGTAGGGGACAGGGAGCTGCTGGCCTTTTCTGCTGACACTTGGGAGTTCTTGCAGCTCCACCTTTCACAATCACACAAAGAACAAGGCTGGAAAAGACCTTTGAGAACATCAAGTCCAAACTGTGACCTAACACCTCCTCATCAACTAATCCATGGGCCTGAGTGCCATGTCCAGCCTGTTTTTAAATATGTCAGTGACTCCAGCACCTCCTTGGCAGATGATTCCAGTGCCCAATCATTCTTTCAGTGAAGCATTTTTTCCTGATATCTAAACTAAGGTTCCCCTGGCACAGTTTAAGTCTAGCATACCTTGCTGGTTCAGTGAGTTTGAGCTTCTGTGGGTTTTTGGGATGGTGGTCTGGTTTCAGGGTGAGAGAATGTGGAAATAGCTCCTGTCCTGCCTCCAGCTGGAGTTGGTACTTGTGGGACTGTGGGTCCATGGTGGAGGGCCATGAGCTCAGCCATGGCACGGGACAGAAGTGTCCTTGACTCTGTGGAGGAGAGTTTTAATTCCTGGTGAATAGAAGAGGAAACACCTCTGGGCAGGGAGGTGGCAGGCACCCCCCAGTGCCTTCTCACAGCTCAGGACTTGCTGCTGCCCTTCCCACAGGAGTTTGAGCAGGATGCCCTGGACTTCCAGCAGAAGGTGGAGGACATGGACCGCCGGCTGGGCACCGTGTTCAGCCAGGCCTTCAGCGACGCCCCCGACCTGGAGCACATCTTCAAGGTCTGTGTGTCCCTCCCTCCCCTCCCTGGGAGCCACACAGAGGCACAGAGCCCCACAGACACAGCTGGGGCTGCGGGTTCTGCCCATGGATAAGGCTGTGCCCAAGGGGGATGGACAAGGTTGTGCCCAGGGGGATGGACAAGGCTGTGCCAGGGGCATGGACAAGGCTGTGCCCAGGGGATGGACAAAGCTGTGCCCAAGGGATGGACAAGGCTGTGCCCAGGGCATGGACAATGTTCTGCCAGGGGGATGGACAAGGCTGTGCCAGGGGCATGGACAAGGCTGTGCCCAGGGGATGGACAAAGCTGTGCCCAAGGGATGGACAAGGCTGTGCCAGGGGCATGGACAATGTTCTGCCAGGGGGATGGACAAGGCTGTGCCAGGGGGATGGACAAGGCTGTGCCAGGGGGATGGACAAGGCTGTGCCCAGGGGGATGGACAAAGCTGTGCCCAGGGGATGGACAAGGCTTCTTTTTCCAGTGAATTGCTTAGGTGGGACTTTTTGGCTTCTGTGCAATTTGGTATCCTTAAGTTTGAGGTGAAGTCTCCAAGGTGCTATGAGGTGTCTTTTAACCAAATTGAGGAGAGAAACTTCTGTGCTTTTCTGCTTTTTAAGGAGACAAAGGGTAGCTTGTTTACTCCCTCAACAGGGGCACATTCCTACATCCCTGCTCTTCACCTCCTAGCACAAAGAGAAGAGGCCTTTGCTCAGTTTGGGGAAGAGCAGCCAAAGAAATGATTCAAATCAGGCTTTTGGATGGCAGGAGTTTCACTGGTTTCCTTGGGAGGTGGAGGAAAGGCTGCTCTGAATTCCAAGGCCAGGCTGGGCAGGGCTTGGAGGACCCTGGTCTAGTGGAGGTGTCCCTGCCCACGGCAGGATGTGGAATGAGCTGCCCTTTAAGGTCCCTTCCAACCAAAACCATTTTGTGAGTCTCTGATTTCCCAGTAAAAACTGCTGTTAAAACCAGGTGATCATTGTTAATAGATGAATGAATTTCAGTTCTTAAAATTGAAGTTTTCTAGAAATTAGGAGGCTTTGTTTACCAGTGAATCTATCCTGCAGAGAAAATAAATGGTATTGTCTGAAAAAAAAAAAATCTATATAATTGTAAAAGTTACTACAGAAAATGGTAAGTGATAGCATATATCTTTGAGTCAGAGTTTTTTTTTTAATAGCAAATTTTGAAGAATGACAGTTGGAATATGGTTCACCCACAGAGAAGGTCTGAGCATTTCTGTAACAAAGATATCCTTTGTGATGTGGTTTAGTGGTGGCATCAGTCATAGGTGATCTTGGAGTTCTTTTCAAACCTTAATAACTCCATGAAAGGCAGGAACTGCTTAGGAAATCGGGGGGAATCCTTCCCTTTGACAGATGTCCATCACTGCAGACCTTTGGGTTACTGAGGAGCTGCACCAGTGAGGAAAATCCCAGTGGGACTCTGTGCAGGAGTGTGACTTTTCCTCCTTCTTCCCCTGCACAGCTGCTGGCCATGTTCCGGAACCTTCTGGAGCGGCCTGTGCTGGCTGCAGTGGCTGCTGGCAAGGTCCCTGTCCTGCTCAGCATGTTCAGCACTGCCCTGGACCATGCCAGGCTCACCTACACCAGGCACACCCAGGCAGGGCTGCAGCTCGGTGGGTGCCCTGTCAGGAGGAAAACTGATTTTACAGGAAAATGGATTTAGGCTAATTTAGTGGGGGAGAAAATAATTTGCTTTTGCTAAGGACACCAGAACTTTCCAAACTGGAAAGGTTTTCAGTTTTCCTAGTGGAAAGTGCTTGGGAATGCTCTGTTCTTGGCATTAAAGCAATGGCAATATCCTTGTTTTAAAGGTGCCTGTGTGAGGTGTGGCTGGGATTGAAGGCACGTGCTGAGCCAGGAGTGCAAGGGGGAGGTGGGGATTTGGGGTTTGATCAGCCTTTCCCAGGCTGATTATTTCCTGGGAATGCTGGCACAGAAGGGAATGGGTAAATTCCTGTCAGGGAGCCTCAGGAAGACTCTGGAAGCAGACAAGTTCCAGGGGAGCAGCACTGCTGGGACCAGTGCAGGTGGACAAGGGGAATGGGGAGACTCACGGGGGGCAGGTCCAGCACTTGCTGTGACTTTGGGGAGTTCTGTCCTGTGGCTCTGAGATGGGATGGTCACAGCCAGCTCCCAGCTAGAAATCCCTTCCTCAGGGTCTGTGGGAAGCAGGGAATTCACCCCAGCCTGGCTCCAGGACATGCCAGGCTTCTCCTCTGATCCCTGATTCCAAACCCAGGGGCGCAGGGGGATTTGTAGGTCCCAGACCTCCATCGAGTGGCAGGGGTTGGGTTTCAGGGAGGGAGCTGGGGGCCAGGGCAGTTCTGTGGGGCTGGGGGTGCCTCTGGGCTGATGGAATGCTGTTCCCCTGTGCCCTGCAGGCTTCCCCCCGCTGCACAAGAACGTCCCTCCTGTGGCTGGAGCGCTGGGCTGGGCGCGGGAGCTGCGGGCGCGCATCCAGGGCCCCTTGGAGCACCTCAGGCACATCCCTGGGCTGTGAGTGTCTGCTCCAGATGAGCTGTGACCATCTGGAGATCTCTCTCTGGGTGTTCTTTCTGTGCTGAATGCTGCCCACAATGGCTGTAGCTGAAACAGTTCTTAGTGAGGAGGGAAGGGAAGGGAAGGGAAGGGAAGGGAAGGGAAGGGAAGGGAAGGGAAGGGAAGGGAAGGGAAGGGAAGGGAAGGAAGGGAAGGGAAGGGAAGGGAAGGGAAGGGAAGGGAAGGAAGGGAAGGGAAGGGAAGGGAAGGGAAGGGAAGGGAAGGGAAGGGAAGGGAAGGGAAGGGAAGGGAAGGGAAGGGAAGGGAAGGGAAGAGAAGAGAAGAGAAGAGAAGAGAAGAGAAGAGAAGAGAAGAGAAGAGAAGAGAAGAGAAGAGAAGAGAAGAGAAGAGAAGAGAAGAGAAGAGAAGAGAAGAGAAGAGAAGAGAAGAGAAGAGGAGAGGAGAGGAAGAGGAAGAGAAGAGGAAGAGAAGCGATGCCTTGGAACCACTCACTTCCCTTCCATCTTTGTTTTTTGAAGAAGCTCTTTAACTGGATTGGTTTTGAAGTGATTGAGAGGCACAGTGGGACAGCAGAGAGGCTCCTCAGCTTTTAGAATTGCCCTAGGTTGCAATTAAAATAGGCATTGCAAGCTTTCCCACTGTAATTCCTCTCAGCAGCGTCTCCAGGACCTGGCTGGGAGCAACGCAGCTCTTGGGTGTTGGCAGAGGATAACTTTCTCAGCATTAAAAAAAAAGGATCACTCAAGATCAAGACAACAAACCAGGGCTGGAATTCTCATGGTCCCTGCATTTAGCATTGATTTTACCCCTCTGTGTGGAGCAGTTAAAGACAAGTCCTTCAGCAGAGTGGTGTGAGGTGTGCAGCTTGAGAGGGAGAAAGAATTGGAAAAGAAAAAGAATATATGTATATTTACAGATACATATTATTTATATGATCTATAGATGTGTATATACAGATATATATTATTTATATGATCTATATAGTACGTTATTGCATACATTTTATATTTTTTGATACATTATATAAACAGTCATTCTCACAGCTGTGACCTGCATCTAGTGGAGCACAACTGTGACAGAAAACTGTCAAGGGTAAAATGTTTAAAAGTGCTGTTTGGTAACTGATTTTTCAGCTGCCCTGGGTCCTTCTCCCATCCCAGCTGCTGGTCCCCATTTTACAGCACAGAAACACCTAAAAGGGAGCTCAGGGGGCTGGGCAGCCTTTGTGCAGGGAGAGGATTTGGGGTGAAATCCAGGCAGGCTGTGGGGGACCTCGGGAAGGGGGAAATGCAAATCCCACCCCCCAGGACTAAAGCTGACCCGTCTGTTGTGCTGCCAGGAGCTTGGACTGTGCCCGAGGAAGAAGGGTGGTGCAGAAATATGAAGAAATGATCCAGCTGCTCGACAGGTACAGGGGGCTCATGCTGGGCTGTAGCCGAGGAAGGAGGAGAGGATTTCCCTCCCCTGAGCCACCTTCCAGAACATTTGGCAGCCCAGGGCTTGGCAATGTCCCTTTCCAAGCCTAAGTGTGAAAAACACCAATCACTTGTTTTTAGAACACCCTATTCTGCCCTCTGTGCTCCCCCCGCAGGGGTGCCATGGTCTCACTCAGACAGGTGAGCTCAGCTTCAGCCACCCCCAGCATCCCTGTGGCTTCGGAAATGTGCCCTGCTTAGACCTTTGGAAACCCCCAGCTGCTGATTAGTCACATTAGGCTAAATGCTTTGGAAAGTCCATCTCCAAATGTGAATTCTCTGCTAGAACTGGTACTTGAGAGAGCTTTTCCCGCTGGGTGTTTGTCTTGGAAGCACTGTTGTTGAGATGGCATGGATGGGTTTTGAAGATTCCTTCACGTTCTTCAGTCCTCAGAGCGGACTTGGCTTCCACTCAGTTACAGCTGCAGCCTCTGGCCTGGTTAGTGTGTGGTGCATGTGTATAAAAACCCTCTCTTCTGGCAGGTATCAGGAAAAGCTGTATTTAGACTGGTCCCAGACAGTCTCAGAAAAATCCCAGTACAACCTGGCTCAGCCTCTCCTCCGGCGAGACCCAGAGACCAAACTGATCACGGTCAATTTTGATCCCCAGGTAAGAGCTGCTGCCCCTGGGCTCTCCTGCCCCCCAGGGCACGTCCCCGAGCTGTGGGGGACACCTGGTGGGGTTCTCTGTGGCCCGTGGGACCCTTCCCATGGGGGTAACAAGGATCCACCATAGATCTGCTCTGCCTAAATGGCAGCATTTCAGTTTGAGCAGAGCCAGTTCTGCTCACAGCCGGTGGCAGGAAGTCCCTCGGGAGCCAGATGTGAAAGTGGGGTCAGCCTGTCCTCACCAGGGTTGGAAACCTGAGCTTCTGAAAGGTGTAAAAAGGCCAGGAAAGGTTTGTTTTGTGACTCCAGAAGTCTTTGATGGAAGGTGGCACCAGAAGGAGTTGAGTCAGTGGGTTTGAGGCCATGGTGCTATTTTTAAATTATTTTCTAATGCCAATCAGCCCAGTAAACCAAGAGAACTGGAGCCATCTTATCTTTCACTTTGATAATTGTCACCCTAATTTTTTAAGATTTTCTAAAGCCGTCTGAGTTTACATTCTTGTAGCAAACTTTCTCACACACTTTCTGTAAATAACTTCCTTCATAGAAGCAAAGAAATTTAATAGACTAATAGTTTGTCCAGTGTCATTGGCGAGGTGGCACTTTCACCCTGCAACCCACTGTCACCTTTAAAAAAATAAATACTAGAGTCAGAAAATAAACTTACCTTTTTAATCTTTACAATAGCAGCAACTCACGTCGTGCTTTCTCGTGTCCTACAGTGACAGATAATGGCCAAATCTTGCAGAATTGCTGAGACCTGTGGTGTGGCTCAGCCTCCATCAGAGAGGGGAAACACGTGGATGGGGATGAGCACCAGAGGTGATGGTGGCTTTTAGGGGCTGGTTGGTATTTAACAGAGCCGGGAAGAAATGCAGAGTCAGAGATCAATGGGAAACAGGCAGTACAGACCAGGAGCTGTACAGGCCCTTTCCAGCTTGCTGCTGTGGGAATAAAGCAAGGCAGGTTTATGTCTAGCAGGTTTATTATTTACAATAGGACGACCCTGGGGTGCTGGGAAGGGGCTGGAGGGGGTGGCAGGAGCTGGTGGGGCTGTGCTGGGCTCAGCTCTGTGCTTGCCTCCCCAGCTGGTGTCGGTGCTGAGGGAGGTGAGCTACCTGCGGGGCAGCGGGCCAGGAGCCATCCCCCCGGCAGCAGCCGAGCTCTATTCCTGCAAGGAATCCCTCTGGCAGCTGGTGGCCAGCCTGCAGCTGATGGGGAACAGCTACAACAAGGTCCTGAGAACCGTGCTGGAGGTGGAATATCCCCTGCTGCAGGGGCAGCTGCGGGACATCGACGTGAGGCTGAGAGAGGCGGAGGAAACGCTGACCTGGAAGATGGAGGGTGAGCTGGCTCTGTGGGGTGTTGGTTTTCCCAGCTTCTAGAGAGACAGGGCAACTGAGAGGTGTTTTAAAAGATTTTATTCCATTATCAGTCTCATTGAAGGGTGAGACATAAGGGATGTAAAACTCAACGCTATTCCATCAGAAGCAAACCTATTTCCAGGTTACAATACCTTAGAAATGTTAGTTTTTACCCCACAATGCTGCTGTTACTTCTGACACCAATCACCAATGCTCCTGCTACAATGCATCTGTCACACTCTAATTCTCTAAAATATCTGATCTTTTTGTAAGGCCATATTTTGAAACTTATTGAAACTTGTTTCTAGTTCAATCTCTCTCTCAACAATGTCATTTCTATGCCATGGCCTTCCTAAGTCAGCACACCTTATCTCAGAGTTTGCACACAGATGTACAAGGCTCTGTGAGCTTTCTGTCAGATTTTGAGAATTCTCTACAAATCCATTTCCCACAGTGTGACCCCCGGGTATCCTCCTATTCCCCTGTGTGCCCAGTCTCTGCTCCCTGGTTCCCAGTGGCAGTTCCCAGTAGGACAGGGCACTCTGTGGCATATCCAGCGCTGGGGAGATGAGGAGCAGCTCCTGGTGTGCCTGCTCCTTCCCACGTTCCTGTGATCTGCTGGGGGTGTGGGCAGGATCCTGCTCCCCTCAGGTTTAGCCCAGGCTCTGGGGAGGAGAGGCTCTGGTGGTCCCTGCTGTGGCTTGTTGGGGTGGGGAACTGTGACATTCACATCCTCTGGACAGAGAGACACGATTCTGTCTCTCAGGATTGCACAGAGAAAGGAAGAGAAAACAATCTTTGTCTCTGCTCCTTGGTTCTCCCCATGTGCAATGTGGTTGGAGATTGTTCACCTGCAGGGATGGCTGGGTTGGATTCTGGTGAAGTTGTTTGGGGTCAGTGACCAATGGATCCAGCTGTGGCTCAGACTCTCAGCAGAGTCACGAGTCTGAGTTAGGTAAGTAAGAAGTAAGTATGTAGAATAGTACAGTATCTCTTTAAATAGTATATAAATGTAATATAGTATAGTTTAATAAAGCAATCCTTCAGCCTCCTGATCTGGAGCAGACACCATAATTTCTTCCCTGATTCTGGGTCCGCCACATTTTTACTACAGGGGACAGACAGAGTTGGCTCTGCTGCTGCAGGTGATGAATCTCTTTCCTTAAGGATGAGTGAGAAACACGTGAGACCACAGGAGAAGGTCTGAAGGAGAGAACCCCAGAGCTTGGCCCAGCAGCTCTGAAAATGGGATGAACCGTCTCATTGTCCCCAGGTGTCTGGGATCGCGTCTCTGCGGTGGTGGGCGATGTCTGTGACCTGGAGCAGAGGGTGCAGAAAGCCAAGGACAACGTGGAGGAGATCCAGAGCGTCGTGCGCTCGTGGGGGTCGCCCATTCTGGAGAGGAGGGATTCCAAGAGGGAGGCAGTGCTGAGCCTGGAGGAGTGCCAGGAGCGGCTGGAACGGCGCTACAGCCTGGTCAGGGAGTGTGGGCAGAGGATCCACTCGCTGCTGAAGGTGAGGGGGCACCTGCAGGGCTGGGTGGCTCCTCAGAGGCTCCGTGCTGTCCCTGCGGCACTGAAAACCTCCAGAGCTGCTTCCCCTTAAATGAACTCCCTGAAGCCATCTGAGAGCCTGACCCGGGGTTCATTGCTGTTGTCTCTGAGGGGTGAGCTGGGTTGGGTGTGGGGCTCCCACCCGGGGCAGGACCGGCAGCAGCCTCAGCCCAGGAAAGGGTCTGGCTCCAGCTCTGGCTGCTGGAGAGCCACTAGAGGGGAGTGGTGCATCGGGTTTGGGATGCTGCTCCCAGGAAAAATCCCCTCCGAGGTGTTAACTGGGAACAGAGGCTGGGGCTGCCCCTGCGGTTCCAGGCTCCATGTCCCTCTGTGGATCAGGAGGTGATGCTGACCACCCCGGGAGAAGCTGAGTGACATGAGAGAAACTGCTGTCCCAAACCTCAGTTTTGCCAGAGCTCAGAGTCCTCTGCAGGCCAGGAGAAAGCTCAAAGCTCTGCTCCTCACCTGCCTGGAGCCAGGTGTTGTGCAGGTCAGGGACAGCCCCTGGCCCAGCCCTCTCCTGAGGGTCACTGTCTGACCCTGGACTCTGAAGTGAACCAGGTGGGTTCATCAGGATGGGCCCTTGAGACCCCCAGTTCTCCCTGCCCCAGGGGTGCAAAGCAGCCCCAAGTCCCATGGACTCAGAGAAGAGGGAGGAGAACGTGTGGAAGACCTTCTAAGGCTCTTCCGCCCTCCATTTTCACCTTGAAGGGTTCCTGGAGACCAAGCAGCCCTTGACAGGAGCAAATCGTGGCCATGCCCCTGTAGGAAGACCCACCTCCAGAACAGAACACTGATCCTGCTGTGCTACCCAGCATCAGCCCTTGGGCGTGGGCAGCTCTCTCTGGGACAGACTCAGCCCTGCTGTGTGTGAAGGAATCTTCTCTGTCTTCCAGGAAAATCAGAGCCTCCTGCTTGCAGACTCGGCATCTGATGCCTGGAAGGTGTATTTGGATTATGTGGATGAGATAGTCCTGGATGGATTCTTCACAGCCATTGAATGCTCACTGAAATACCTGCTGGAGAACACAGGTGACACCTGGTTCCTGTCCCCTGAGCTGCTCAGCCTCTCCAAGGGGACCTCTCTGGTTGTGCTCCCTCATGCTCAGTGGTGGTTTCTCTTTTTCCTGGCTTTCCTCCGGCACTGGAGCCTGCAGAAGGGGAGGGTGACTCCATCACTGGTCATGGATTGCTCAGGGGGAGGGATGGAGGTGCCTGTGCTCTGTTTGCAAGGGTTAATGCCGAGAGACAGCTGAGGCTTCCTCCATGTCTGCACTTGGACATCAGCCACCTCCCACCCTCCCATGCCCAAAGCAACAGGGTGGCACCCTCCTTCCCCTGTGGGGAGTCTCAGGAGCCAGTTCTGCTCCGGAAAGGCACAAAATAAAGCCCTCAGTCCCTGGGCAGAGGTGAGCTGGGCTCAGGAGTCACCAGCCCAGCCCTCCTTGCTCTGCTGAGAGCAGCTTGTGTGCAGCTGAAGCACATCTCCAGGAACGCTTCCCTTCTGGGCGTGGAGGAAAAATGAGATGGAGAATTGCATGCAGTTCTTCACCATCTTGTTAAAAACTTGCCTAGGTTGTCACATTTGCATCTGGCTTCAGTTTCGGGTTGCTGTTTGCTTTTGGTTTGTTTTTTCCCACGCTTTTCACCACTAAATTAAAGAGACACTTAGTTCCTGTTGTTTTTCTCCTCTGCAAGCACTTCTATGCTGGCATTGTTCAGCCCTCAGACTCCCTCTGCATTACGTGAAGAGCCTTTTCTCCTCAGGGTGTTTTCTGCTCCTTAAACCACTTGTATCTCACCTGTTCCCCACTGGTTTTGGTGGGTACCACAGCACAGCTGGTTTGCCAACACCTCCATGGGTTGTGCAGACACCAGTGACTGTGTCTGCCACCACACCCTCCTGTCCCTGTAGGGCATGTGGCATCTTGTAGTGGATGTCAGTGGTGGCTCAAGATTCCTTGGAAAAGACCCTGACAGCTCTGTTCCTCCCCACCAGATCCTAAGGCAGGGCTCCCTCCCCTGTTTGAGGTGCAGCTGCATTTGGTGATCCCAGATTTGGTGTTTCGCCCTCCCTTGGACCCTGGCACCAACGATGGCTTCTGTGACATGGTGGAAAGTCTTCTCCAGGGCATCTACCACATCTCCTCACTGGTGCCCCGGCTGGCTGCGCACAGCGGCTTCTGCCACTACCAGGTCTGTGCTCTGAGGCTTCCCTGGGCTGCTGGCAGTGAGGAGGTGCCACATGCTCTCCCCTTTCCCCTCTCCCCTTCCCCTTCTTCTCTCTCCCCTTTCCCTTCTTCTCTCTCTTCCCTTTTCCCTTCTCCCCTCTCCCCTTTCCCTTCTCCTCTCTCTCCTTTCCCTTCTCCTCTCTCTCCTTTCCCTTCTTCTCTCTCCTTTCCCTTCTTCTCTCTCCCCTCTTCTCTCTTCCCTCTCCATTCTCTCCCCTTTCCCTTCTCTCTCCCCTCTTCTCTCTCCCCTCTCTATTTTCTCTCTTCTCTCCCTCTTCTCTCCCTTCTCTCTCCCCTTTCCCTTCTCTCTCCCCTGTCCCTTCCCTCTCCCCTGTCCCTCTCCCCTCTCCATCTCCTCTCTCCCAGCTCACGTCCCTGTGCCCGCAGGCTGACCTGGAGGCGATGCCCGCTCTGTGCGAGTGGCGCCAGGAGCTGCTGGGCCGCGCGCGGGCGGCGGCGGCCGCGTGCCGGGAGCATGGCGCGGGGCTGGAGCGGCGCTTCCAGCACCTCTACGGCGAGGACAGGCGGGAGCTGTGCCGCCAGCTCCTGCTCCACGGCCGCCTCCTCGCGCCCACGGAGCTCGAGGCCCACGGCGAGGACGGGGACCCCGAGGCGCCGCCCTCGCTGCAGCGGTTCAGGGAGCAGATGGGCTCCTACGAGCAGCTCTACGAGGAGGTGGCTCGAATGCAGCCCCTGGGCACCTTCCTGGGCTGCCTGAGGCTCGATGCACGGCCCTTCAAGGCTGCCTTGCTCAACGAGATCAAAAGGTGGAGCTTGGTGTTCAAGCAGCACCTCCTGGACCATGTCACGCACAGGTGAGGGCTCCGCTCCCATTCTGCCTCTGCTGCTGGAATCTTCTCTTGGCTTGGCTGGGCTGTGTCATTTCACACTCGTGGCCAAATGATAGACAATCATGGAATACCCTGGGCTGGAAGGGATCCACAAGGAGCATCCAGTGAAGCTCCTGGCCCTGCACAGACACCCCAACAATCCCTGGGCATCCCTGGGAGCATTGTCCAAACACTCCTGGAGCTCGGGCAGCCCCGGGGCTGTGACGAGCTCCAGAGCTAATACAGGAGCAAGAGAAGGGCCTGTGCTGCACAGCAGCTCCAGTCCAGCACTGAGTCTTCTGTGCCCTGGTCTCTGCTTGTGTGTGAGCTGGGAGCAGTGCCCACACAGTCAGGCACCCCCCTTGGCACCCCTGGGAGTAGTGGCACCCTTCGGCACTCCGACATCCCTGAGCCAACGCCCTGGGACCTGATGGAGCGTGTGAGACAGGGTTTGCCCAAGGTGTGTGTTTTGCTCCTCCTGAGCCAAATAATCCCATCTCCGCCAGGGCTCTGAGCTTGCTTTACTGGGTTTGCTGGTGGACATCAGTAAATCTGCTTTAGTGTCATGAGGTTTCTAAAAGCCCACGATTCAGCTAGCCTGGCATGAGCAGTCACGGGGAGGTGTCTTCAGGCTACAAAAGGAGCAGTTTGGGCTCCAACTTTGGCATTAACACGTGTTCCTTGCTCTGAGGAGCTGCTCAGATCCGTGCAGGACAATGCCTTGGGTGATTTATGGGTCACACCTGAAGGGTGTCTTAGGCTGTGGATGCTCCCAGGGGAGTGCTCACAGACATCTGAAGAAGAGGCTGCTGTGTGGGGTGGTGATGTGATCTCTTGTGTGCTTTTCAGCACCATAAATCTGCCTGATCATTTCTTTGCAAAGAGGTTTAGTGTGGCAGAGAATGAGCATTTAGGAGCTGGTGATTGAGAGTACCTGACTCAGCAGTTTAGTCTTTATTAGGTGAAGTATCTAAGGATACTTTTAGGCCCAGCAGCATCCAGAGAATTTAAGCAGGCACTTAAAAAGTGTTTTGAGACCCAGCAGCCCATTGTTCCTCTGCTGAAAGTGCCCAGTAGCTGGTGAGGTTAGGAACAGGATAAGCAGGTGGGGAAACGTGCTCCAAACACTCTCCTGTGTCTGATGGTTTATGGCTCAAGGGCTTTAAGAGACAGAGATCTTAATTTTAAAGTCCTGAAGGGATTTTTTTCTCCTCCCACAATGTGCAGTTGCTTTTCTAAATGGCTGTGAATTTGCATCACCTGCAGGGGGGAGCTGCCCTGTGAAGAGGGGCAGTGCATGAAGGACAATCCCTGTTTGTTACAGCCTTGGAACGTGTCAGGTTCACCTGGGGAACTTGGATTCTTGTAGTGGGAGAGATGGGGTGAAAATTGTCACAGAGTTCCAGAATGGTGTGGGTTGGAAGGGATCTTAGAGCCCACCCAGTGCCACCCCTGCCATGGCAGGGACACCTCCCACTGTCCCAGGCTGCTCCCAGCCCTGTCCAGCCTGGCCTTGGGCACTGCCAGGGATCCAGGGGCAGCCCCAGCTGCTCTGGGCACCTGTGCCAGGGCCTCCCACCCTCCCAGTAAAAACTGGGACAGTCAAATCTGTCCTCTCAGACACCCCTCCAGAGCCCTTCTGAGCTCCCTGTCTCTGTTCAGGCACTCTGTCTCCACCTTGAGAAGTCCCAGGCTGTATTTCTGTTCCTTGAAGGAAGCTGTACCACATCCAGGGACACCTTTGAGCAGCAATTCCAGTCCTGAGGCTGGATATTCATTCCAGAGGAGCTGCCCTCATCCTGTGCTTCCTTCCCTGCTTTGTGCCCTGCAGCTTGGCTGACCTGGACGAGTTCATCCAAACCACCGAGAGAGGTTTGAGCAGAAAGGTGGAGAAAGGTGACTATGGTGGCTTGGTGGAGGTCATGGGTCACCTGCTGGCTGTGAAGGAGCGTCACAGTGCCACTGATGCCATGTTTGAGCCCCTGAAGGAAACCATCGAGCTGCTGAGGGCCTACGAGCAGCAGCTGCCCGAGGAAGTCCACCAGCAGCTGGAGGTGGGTGAGGGCTCGTGGTGGGCACAGCAGTTTGCCCAGGAGCAGGAGGCAAAGGCAGCAGGAGTGGAGGAGCATCCCAGATATTCAAAGCCCTGCTCCCTGTCATTAGAGGGCCTCATTGGGCAGCGTTTTGCTATTGCAGGATGTGCCTTAGTAGCTCTAAATGTTGAGATTTTTTCTTTTAAAGCAGAGATTAAGCCTTTTGTGATGTGTGAAAAACATGGAATTGCCTGCTCCAACTCCCAGCGATTACTCTTGAAAAAAAAAATTAATGCATTTTCAAATCCATCTGTTAATTAAGTTGAATTATAATTATTTTTAAATAAGCTGGTTCTTGGCAGCTATGGAGATGGGAAGGATAATGTTGGCAGAGGAGCTGCCTTCCCACAGGACTTCAGTCCTCCTCTGGGTTGAGACCACCAGATCTGCTTTACCCAGAGGACATCCCTGGCAGCAGGTTATGAAAATATTTTGGCATCTTTCCACATCTGGCTCTCACGGGCCAGTTTTTTAGTAATTCCTTTCCTTTCTGCAAAAGAGACCATGAGATAAAGGTTGGGGGACAGAGACAAGCCCTGCCAACTGTGTCTCCATCCACCATAAAGCCCAGTCCTGTGGGGAACCCAGCTCCACTCCCTGCCTGGGAGCTGCTTGTGCAAATACCTTCAAATAACAGATTTACTTTCCTGATAGAAGAAGAAATGAGGGTTTGGAGCAGGCATCCAGATGCAGGAGACAGCCAAAGAATTGTTCTTTCTGGCCAGTGACAGGGACACTTGTGTGTGAGCGATTCATTCCCTCGTGTGTGGAGTGGGAAAAGCAGAAGTTCCTCTAGGCTCCTGTCCCTCTGTGGAGATGGATGGGCTGGAGCTGCTGCTCAGTAGAAGAGGAGGAAGCAGCTCTGTGTGTGGTCATGGTCAGTGATTTCTGCTGCGACTGTGATGAAAAACGCCAGGAACAGACCCCTGAGGAGGGGCTGGTCCTGCCCTGGCCATCTCTGCTGCCTCAGAGCTGCCTGCAGCTTTCCCTTCTTTCCATGGTGGGTCTCCATCAATCTCCTCAAGAGTGTGGGCTGGGATGGAGAGAAACCCAAAATCTTTCCTGTGGGCTTGCACAGCTCATGGAGAGGAGGGAACCTGGGGACAGCAGATCCCTTGGCAATCACGGAATTGTCAAGGTTGGAGAAGACCTTTAAGGTGATAAAATCTCACCATCCACCGTGCTCCCCACTAAACCATGTCCCCAGGTGCCACATTCACAGGGTTTTTGAACACTTCCAGGGATGGTGACTCCACCCCTGCCCTTGGCAGCCTGTTCTGAACCTTTACAACCCTTCCTGCGAACTTTTATCCAAGCTAAACCCCTTCAGGCACAACTTGGGCCATGCCAACCACCCTCTCTTGCAGTCATAGCTGATGTGGGATGTGCGGTTCTTTAGTTCTGCGGTTACCCACGAGCAGCTCCCACCCCGCAGAGCCCGTCCTGCCTGCCAGCAGTGCCCTTGTGCCCGCAGGAGCTGCCGGAGAAGTGGAGCCAGGTGAAGAAGCTGGCTCAGGCCGTGAAGCAGCAGGTGGCCCCGCTGCAGGCGGCCGAGGTGACGGCCCTGCGCCAGAGCTGCGCCGCCTTCGACGCCCGGCAGCGGCAGCTCGGGGAGCGCTTCGGGAGGGAAGCTCCCCTCAGGTACGGGGTGTCACCAGCTGTGGGCTGGGTACGAGTCACCAATGGGACGGGGCTGCTGAGGAACGCGTCTCCAGCTGTTTATTTTTTAGCATCACTCTCATTATTGTTGGAATCTGTGGTATTGATGATTCCGAGATTGTAGAAAGTCTCTGTCTGTCAGCCCCGCTGCCAAAGCAGAAGCCATAATTCTTCTGTGCTGGTTTCAAGGTTGTTTATTCTGTTTATCTCTAACATGTTCTGCTGCCCTGCCGCAGCTCTGTCCTGCAGGGCAGCGTGTGGGGCTCTGCCCTCAGTGGGATGTTACAAACATTAAATACCAGAAACTACCTGTGCTGGATGTACAATAACGTGCCAATATCTGTCACCTACGTTGGACAGTGTGTCCCCAGCCTGAACCAACAGAAAAATGCCAACACCACAGTGAAACATGGAGGGCATGAAGAAGGAGAAAAAGGACAAGACACACCCAATTTCCTCCATCTTGTCCCCTTTGGGCCCCTAATCTAGAAACCTAAAATTTTGCTTTTGCACCTGTGCCACACTTAATTATATAGAATCACAGAATAATGAGGTGGGAAGAGACCTCTAAGATCAAGTCCAACCTATGCCCTAACACCTCAACGAGACCATAGCACCAAATGCCATGTCCACTCTTTTTTTAACAGATACACCCTGGGCAGTCAAAGCCTCACGGAGGCTGCCCCCAGGATGGACAATGGTCACGAGTTTTTTACACAGATATAAGTTTGGTCTGTTTGCATATCAGGGGTTAATTCTCCAATTACAGCTTCAGGTAATGAAGTCACCTTCCCCCAGTTTGCTCCCCACAATTCACTTTTGTTTGCACTTTTCAGGGCCTGTGGAGTGTCCTTGGATCTCAGGCCCAGAGGGATTGTTCTGTCTGCCCAAAGTGTGGAGGCAGTTAGCCACACTTTATATGGAGCTCAGAGCTGTGCACTAATGCACTGCAGGACCTGAAAAATAGAAAAGCTGAAATCCTAAGGCATCACCTGCACGTCCTGGTGATGCGAGATCTCCTCCCTGCTGTGCCTGCAGGGTTGTGTCCCCAGGAAGAGGCTGGGCTTGGGTGGTATCAGCAGTGCCAGTGGCTCAGCCATCAGGGTGTAGTAGAGACCTTTCATCTCTCTGTTTGTTTTACAGGTTCTTTAGAAGTTGTTACAATGTCACTAAGGAAAAATAAATGCTTATTTCCAGGTTTGATGCCGAAAAGCCTTATCAACTGCTGGATGCAAAGCACATAGAGATTAAAGAGATGGAGATAGCCATGGCCTCGATTTATGAATCAGCTGGTCTGTTTGAAGTCATGGTGCCAGAGTACAAACAACTGAAGCAGTGCAGGAAGGAGCTGTGTCTTCTCAAAGAGCTCTGGGACATGATCTCCCTGGTGAACACCAGCCTCGAAGACTGGCAGACCACCAAATGGGTGGATATCAACGTGGAGAACATGGAGCTGGAGTGCAAGAAGTTTGCCAGAGAGATTCGGAATTTGGATAAGGAGATGAGGGCGTGGCATGCTTTCAGTGGGCTGGACAGCAAGGTGAAGAACATGCTGACAGCCCTGAAGGCTGTGGCAGAGCTCCAGAATCCTGCCATCAGGGAGAGGCACTGGAACCAGCTGATGCAGCTGACGGGCGTGAGGTTTGTGATGGACTCAGACACTACCCTGGCTGACCTCCTCAAGCTTAACCTGCATGAGTTTGAGGGGGAGGTCCACGGCATTGTGGACAAAGCAGTGCGAGAAATGAGCATGGAGAAGGTGCTGAAGGAGCTGAGGATGACTTGGAGCTCCAGGGAGTTTCAGTACGAGCCTCACGCCCGCACCCACACCCCCTTGCTGAAGTCAGATGTGGAGCTCGTGGAAACTCTAGAGGACAACCAGGTGCAGCTGCAGAATTTAATGTCATCCAAATACATTGCTTTCTTCCTGGAGGAGGTGTCTGCCTGGCAGAGGAAGCTCTCCACCACCGACTCCGTCCTCTCCCTCTGGTTCGAGGTGCAGCGCACGTGGTCTCACCTGGAGAGCATTTTCCTCGGCTCAGAAGACATCCGGGCACAGCTGCCCCAGGTAGGAGCCCCCAGATCCCACATTTCCTGCTTGGGAAGTGTTGAAAAAGAGGCTTCATTATTAAATGGGGCTGTCTGTAGTGCCCAATTCCCAAAGCAGGGCAGTTCTCCTGCTGCCTCGCTCCTCTGGAGGCTCCCTCAGTGCTGGGGTTGTTCCCCGGGATGGTTTTGTACCCCAGGCTGTGCTTGTGCTGCGGGGCTGACCTTCTCCCTTGCAGCGCTGCATGGCGAACACAGAGATGCTGGGTGAGAGCTGCAGCCTTCCTGCAGTGCTGCAGGTGTGTTCCCTCTTCCTTCAGAGGGGAGAGGACTGAGATCATTACTCAGGCACTGCAAATCATCAAACAGAGCTGGTCCAGGCAGCTTTGGCAGCTTTCCCTCCCTGTCCTTCCACTCAGGTGCTGGGGGAGAGCAGCTCTTCTCCTGCTCTGCTCTGGGGAGCTGCTTGGGGTGCCTCCAGCCCAGCTCCCAGAGTTATTCCAGGCTCACAGCCATGCTGGGGAGGAGCGAGCCTTTCACTGGTGAGGGAGGAACTTGCCCCTCACCCCAAAGACAGCTCTCAGAGAATGGGATCTCTCAGCACACCGAGAGAGCGTTGCTGTGACCTCTGTGTCCCTTTGTAGGACTCCAAACGCTTTGAAGGCATTGATGTGGATTTTAAAGAACTGGCCTATGAAGTTCAGAAAACCCCAAATGTAGTTGAAGCCACCAATAAACCAGGTCTGTCCCAGCAGCTGGAGGACATCCAGAGCAGGTAGGTAGAGCATCAGTCCCAGGATTTTGTCAGAGACTGGAATCAGCCATGAGCAGTTGGTTGAACCTGTGCTCTGAGGCTTTTTCTGAGGCTCTGCTTCCTCTGCAGTCACACGTCTCCAGCTTTTCTGGTCTTCCTCAAGCTTCTGTATTTGTGGCCCATCACCCTGAGAGGGTGGGCAGTCCTGGCACAGGTGCCCAGAGCAGCTGGGGCTGCCCCTGGATCCCTGGCAGTGCCTGGGACAGTGGGAGGTGTCCCTGCCATGGCAGGGGTGGCACTGGGTGGATTTTAAGGTCCTTCCCAATCCAAACCCTTCTGGGATTCTGTGGTGTTTGCAGCAGAGACGAGCCCATTTTATTTACAATACTGTCCCTGTGTACCTTTGATACGAGGCACAGCACAGCTCCCTGAGACAGACCTGAGTGCCCTGGGATGGAGACACTTCTCACTTAACATAGGAATCTGCTGAAAACCACTTCAAAGTCCATGCTAAGCTGTTGTGTCAGTAGCAGCTCTCCATTTCAAAGAAAGATTTGATTTTGTTTTCAATTGAACAAGGCCAATGTTCCTCACAGAGAATGTTATTTAGTGACTTTGTAAGCTCAGCAGCAGTTTAGCATGTGAACACTGCAAGATTCATTTAAGATCGGAGCAAACAACTTTCCTTTCATGCTTTGCAAACACAAAAAGCTGAGCTGGATGGAATCAGACTTTAAAATGTGGCTCATTAGAATAAAAGCAGTTCTGGAAATGTTCATCCCAGTGGATGCCACCACCTGTGGCAGCTACGAGCTTGTCTAAAGCAGTGGGTCAGACTGCAAACCTTTCCAACCTCCTCTTCCACTTGGGCTTCTGCTTTTTCATGAGGCTGCCCTGACTCTTGGGTGCTTGACCCCTGGAGTAGAGAGTGAGCTGTGAGTTCCCTTTGTGGCTCTGTTCAGGGCTGTGGGAAGGAGCAGCCTGCAGCAGCTCATGCCTGGCATTTCCCCATGGTGGGCAGAACCTGCCTGAAAAGGGCAGCACAAAGCATGGCAGGGTATTTACCCACCTGTCCTGGCCTCTGCTTTGTCTCCCCAGGTTGTCTCTGTGTGAGAAGGCTTTGGCTGAATATTTGGACATGAAAAGGTTGGCTTTTCCCAGATTTTACTTCATTTCTTCTGCAGATTTACTGGATATTCTTTCCAACGGCACCAACCCACATCTGGTAAGGCTTGTGCTGCACCACCTTTGCATTTTCCAGCTGTCAGGAGGGTGACAGTGGAAGGTGTTGTCTGAGACTCTCCTTAGTGTCCTTTCTGGAGTGATTTTCTCCCACCCAACATGGATTAACAACTCCTTCACAGCTGATCTCCACCTGACAGGCAACCCTGCCCTGGGTGTTGTCTGATGTAGCCCTGGGGATGCTCGTGGCAGGTTCTGAGAGCACCACCGTGGGTTTTGTGCTATAAAAACAGTGGCTTTGCTCCTGCTGGGATAGAGTGAGGTTGCATGAAAATCACTTTCTCAAGGATCTCATCCAAAACTTGTTGCTGACCTTGGATCCCACCAAACAAAGAGCCCCAGGCTGGGCATTCCAGTGTGCGAGGGTTGAGCACTGGTGGTTTGTAAAGGGCTGATTTTAGGCAGAAATTTCCTGGAAATTTCCTCTTCCTTCTCCCTGCAAAGCTTTTGGGAAGTCCTGATGGCAGGGCAGGGAGGAGCAGAACCTGCAGGAGGTGAGCAGCTGGTGGTCAGGCAGTGGCTGTGGCCAGGTGGTGTCTGACCCTGCGCTGGGTTTTTGGGATGGGGTCTGAATGCTAGGTGTGGGGAATCCCCTCAAATACACCATTCCTCCTCCCAAATCCCCTAAAATATACCATTCCTCCTCCCAAATCCCCCAAATACACCATTCCTCCTCCCAAATCCCCCCAGTACACCATTCCTCCTCCCAAATGCCCCCAAATCCACCATTGCTCCTGCTGGCTGGGCAGGATTGCTGGATCATCCCAAGGAGGAACTGGCAGTGACCCTCCTGTTGTAAGAAATGGGTTCCCAGTCCCCTTCCCCCATTGCCAGGGCTCAGAACCCTCTGTCCCCCGTGGGCAGAGTTCAGAGGACTCAGTCTTTTCCATGTGGAGCTGCTGTCAGGGAACCTTAGCCTGGCAATGCCATGCCCTGCCCAGCCTGGTTTGGGAGGCATCACCAATCCTGAGGTTGGTGTGTGAACCAAATCAGCATATTCACAGCAAATGGAGCCTGTTGGGTGAGGAATCAATTCCTTATTCCTCCTTTTAGTGGTGAGCAATCTCAACCACCTTAAGTGTTTCCTCCTTTTCAGCATTTGTGTCAGCATGTGAATGGGGCAGGCTTGGAAATGCTGCTGTTGCCACTAACCTTTAACTCTGCTTGGATCTGTTTGCTGCTGCTGGGTGATTTCAGCCCACAGAGTGTCATAAATACACAGCTGATTGATGCTTAAAATGGAGAGAGAGAAAGAACACAGGAAGCAGAGAAAAGCTGCCGTGTTAAAATGCTCCACGGAGTAAGGAGAAATTCCTGGTGCTTTCTGTTATTCAAAACTATTTGCAGTAAAATCAAAGTAAATGTCAGGCAGGATCATACACGGATACGCTCTCAGCCTTTCCACTGTACTTTCAAAGCCTGATAATTCCTAAAGGAGGATTAAGTAGACAATGATATTATCCACTTGAACTGGTGCAGGTTCAGGCACATTCTGGGCTCTGCTGGCAGAATTATATCGAGTGCAGGAGCACAGCCAAGGCCCTGCAGGGTGGCCAGGGGCTGGGAGGGACAGTGGGGGTTGCTGAGCCTGCCCACGTGCAGGTCAGAAACAGGATTCCATGGTTTATGTAAGGTTTGAAAGGATATGTGCTTGTCCTGGTGGGGAAGCTGAGTGTCCATTGCTTCTTGATCCACTTGGCACCTCCTGGGATTCGGCCAGGTAAGAAGGAAACAGATTTGGGCACCTGTGGGACAGCTGAGGAGGTGCTGGAATCCTCTGTGGGACAGGGAGTGAGAACTGGGCACACAAGCCATAGGATGGATTATAGGATAGCCTGAGCTGGAGGGGACCCACCAGGGCCATCAAATCCAGCTCCTGAGGACAGCACGAGGCTCATGCTGGCAGCATCCTGGCTGTGGGTGAGAAGATGTGGTGCTGCCAAGATGTCCAGGTCACTCTCTGTGAGCAGGACTGTGGCTGTCACACCTCTGCTGCTCTCTGCTCTGCCTGCCCTGTCCCTGTCCCCCTCACTTCATTTACAACATCCCTTTGGCAGGTGCAGCGTCACCTCTCCAAACTCTTTGACAACTTGGCCAGGCTGGAATTCCAGGTGGACTCTGAGCAGAAGACAACCAAGGTTGGCCTGGGAATGTACAGCAGAGAGGAGGAATATGTCCAGTTCAGTGCACCCTGTGACTGCAGCGGGCAGGTGAGAGGGGGGACACCTTGTCTGGCCGAGCTGCCTGGTGGGACCTGCTCCCACCCTTGGGTGGCCATCCCTGGCCAAGACCTTGCAGAGTTTCACTGCAGTGCCTCATGGGTGTTGTGGTTTGGCACTGGCGCAGTGTTAGCGCTCTTATGAAAATGCACCTTCCCCAAATGAGTGTTGTGAGATGTGGTTAGGAATTGAGTAGAGCAGGCTTGAGCTTAAAAATAAAGGAGAAAATTTTATTATGTTATAACTACAATAAAAGGGACACATAGAATTCAGGATGAAAACTTTCTGAAACATTCTTCTTCTCCCTGCTTAATTTTTACCTTTACATATTGAGACACGATTTTGGGAGTTCTTTGCTTTTAACCCCCTGTGTTCTCAGAGCCGTGTCCATGCCCTCAGTGGTCACTCCAAGTGCCAATATCCAAACCTGACCACTGGCTGGATTCACCCCAACTTCCTGAGAAAACTCACGTCCATGTCAAACCATGGCAATAAGAAAAGCTGGAAGAGCTGGTGTGGAACTTCATCCCTGCTTACACCACAGCTCGAGTCCTGCTCTGGATGGGTCCTCACAGCCCAAGGTGTGAGGAAGGGCTGTGGCCTATTCTTTACTGGGCTCTTTAATTTTAACTCCTGAAAGATGTTATGAAGGTTACTCTTACCCTCCCAGCTGGGAGGGGATGCAGACTGAAAACAGATTAAATTATTCCACAGTACTTCTGCACGGATACCTTTGGAAAGAAAAGGGTTTTTCCCCTGTTTTCCAAATCTTCCTTATTTCATAGGACGTGTTGAAGTACAAAATTTAAGAATCAAATTACTGCTTTTTTACAGCTTTTCTGTCCCTGTAGCTGCACTTTTCTCTGTGGACTGTTAAAGGAAGCTAAAGTAGGTAATACCAGCTCTGAGCTCCCCAGTGATGGCACTTGGCATTTAAGCTCTCCTCTCAGTGAGGATTTTGCCTGTGAAATACTAAATTCAGCAGGAATTGTGTTCCCAGCATTCTCTTGCTGCTGGCAGATTGTGCTCCAGTCCCACTGGTGACTCTGCCATGGCCTGGAGCTGGAACACACTGAGCTCAGTAGCTCCTCAGAGGAGCTCAGTGTGGTTCCTCCTCTAGCTGGGGTCCCACAAAAACCTCCTTTGGTGTCTGGAAGGAGATGCTGACCGTGCAGGAGCAGAAATGGGTGAGTCCCCCAGACTGGAGCCACTCTGCCATGGCCTGGAGCTGGAACACACTGAGCTCAGTATCTCCTCAGAGGAGCTCAGTGTGGTTCCTCCTCTAGCTGGGGTCCCACAAAAACCTCCTTTGGTGTCTGGAAGGAGATGCTGACCGTGCAGGAGCAGAAATGGCTGAGTCCCCCAGTCTGGAGGAGGCCTGAGGCTGGTTTGGCTGGAGAGCTGAGCTGCTTGTTCCCCTCACTGCTGAGGGCTGGCAGGCGTGCTCCTGGGACCATCCCTCCTTACCCAGGGATGAGAAGCAGGAGAGTTCCTGGGATTTAACCCCTTCTGCAGGTGGAGGTGTGGCTCAGCCGCCTGCTGGACACCATGAGGGCCACGGTGAGGGACGGGATGAGCACGGCTGTGGCAGCCTACGAGGACAAGCCCAGGGACCAGTGGCTCTTTGACCACCCTGCCCAGGTACTGCCCTGCCTGCTGCCAGAGGGGTCTCTGGCTGGGGGTGGGAATGGTTCTGGCTGTGCTCTCCAGTGGGGAGAGGAAGGGTGTGATGCCTTAAGGAGCTGGACCAGAGGCTGGATGGAGCTAAGAGGAATAAAGTGGATATTTGTTGAAGTGCCTTCAAAGGCTGTACCCTGGGAGGACTGGAACCACAGTCCTGGCTCTGCCCAGATAGCTCCAAGATGGAAGCAAAAGAGGGCTTGGCCATGAGATCTCCCATTTTGATAAGCTTTTTTAGTCCATTTGCATACAGGAGTTAACTGTCCAATTAACAGCTTCAAATGATGAAGTTTCATCCTCCTTGCTTGCTTGCCCACCTTCCTCTTTTCACGTTGTTCATGCTTTGGGTCTGAAGTTTGAAGAGATTGTCCCTGAGTCTCCAGCTAGAATGGGATTGTTTTGTCTCCACCACCCTGTGAAAAGATCCCAGTAACATTTACTATAAAGCTGCACACCAAAGCAGGACAGAAAAACTTAAAACCTAAGGTATCAGGTGAGTTCTCCTTTTTCCTGGCCACATCCTGATGGTTTCCCAGGCTGAGCTCTGTGCTCTGACCAGAGCTCCAGGCAGGATGCAGCTCGGGGACTTGGGCAGTGAGGATCACTGCTGCAGCCCAGGGGTCACAGGAAGCCCCTACCCCCAGTGGGGTGAGAGAACAAATCGATTGGCCTGATGAGAGGAAGGAGCCCCTCGGGTGCCCCTCTGGCACCTCCCATGTGTTCAGACGTGAGATAGGGGCTCATTTACTGATGAGCAGCTGCTGGATGTGCCCAGGGTGGGAATTCCAATGGATGTAAAATGGATCCCTGCTCTCCTTCCTGCTGTGATCCTGTATAACAACACTTCACTTCATGTCAGGCATGCTTCATCCCTGACCTCCCCATGGAAGAGGCACTCTCAGATGTGAGGAATCCCCAGTGTTGCCCTGCTGTTGAGCCACTCTGTCTCCCCAGGTGGCTCTTTGCTGCACCCAGATCTGGTGGACAGCGGAGGTGGGCATGGCCTTCTCCAGGATGAAGGAAGGCTACGAGAAGGCCATGAAGGAGTACCACAAGAAGCAGGTGGCCCAGCTGAACACGCTGGTGACGATGCTGCTGGGGCAGCTCTCCAGGGGTGACAGGCAGAAGATCATGACCATCTGCACCATCGACGTGCACGCGCGCGACGTGGTGGCCAAGATGATAGCACAGAAGGTCGGTGTTCCCAGCTCGGGGTGAGCCATGCTGGGCATTGAAGGGGAGATCGTGGAGGGACAGGCCAGGGACAGGCAAAAGAAAGCATTTGGGGTTTTTTCTCTGTAGCTTTTTTGCTCCAGTGTGGGCCCACAGGGAATCCCTTGGGATTTGTCCACCACTCCCACACCCCTGCCCTGTCATCACAAACTCCCAGAATGGTTTGGGGTGGAAGGGACCTTAAAGCTCTTCTCATTCCAACCCCCTGCCATGGGCAGGGATGCCTTCTGCCATCTCAGGGTGCTCCAAGCCCCATCTAGCCTGCCCTTTGGCTGTGATACCTTCTGGACCACAGCTGGGAGTGCCGGCAGGAGTGGGGGCAGGAGCTGGGTGTTCCTCTGATGCCTTCTGTCCCATCTGGGGTGCCAGAACTGATGCCTAGAGAGGCTGAACTGGAACAAAGACTAGACAGAACTAGAAAAGTAAAGCAGGGATTTATTTAAAGATCTTTAAAGGATACACCTCGGGCAGTGCAAGAACCTGGCCATAGCTACATCCAAGGTGGATCGAAGATGGATCCCAGTCCTGAGTTTTCACACTTTTATAAGTTTTGGTCGATTTCCATATTGGGGTTAATTGTCCAATTACAGCTTCAGGTCATGAAGTCACATCCTCCTTGTTTGCTCTGTTGAGTTCCCCATGTTTATGCACTTTGGGCCTGGAGCTCATAACAGCTGTCTTTGGACAAGCTGGAAAAGGATTTTGTCTCCCTAACCTTTAAGAGAATTTACTCACACTTACTAGCTCAGAGCTACACACCTAGGCAGCACAGAATCTGAAAAATATAATTATTCTGAAAAATATGAAAGCTGAACCTTAAGGCCTCACCCCTGCCCTGACGGAACCCAGGCCTGGTTCAGGGACTCTGTGTGGTGGAAAAATCCCTCCTCCAAGCCGTGCTCCCAAAGAAAGGCTCAGCAGTCTCTGTTGTCCGGTCTCAAGGCAGTTTATTGCAAGTTATCTAAAATATTTTCTTCTGGGGCTGCTGTGGTTTGCTCACAGCTCAGGCAGAGGCACACACACACCCTGACATCCTCTCTGACTCCCGACTGCTTCTTCTCTCCCTGCCCAGGGCTGCTGCTGTCTTTTATATGGTACATTACGTGTTACATGTTTACAGTTTTTCCCCAATGCCTATTACCTATATTAAATGGTGCCTTTCTACTCTAGACCAATCTGTGAGTGCCAACATCACCAAGAACATGGAGGGAAGGAAGGAGAAAGAGGAGGACAGGGCAGGCCCAGATCCCTCCATCTTAAAACCTCTGACACCCATGTACAAAACCAAAACCCCCTGTACAGGTGTTAAATCCCTCCTGTACAACACTAAAAAATTCTTCCCTCTACTTTGTGACTACTTCTACTCTAATATCTAAACTTTTGTGACTTCTTGTTCTTCCTGCAAGGTTGGTAAATCATTCCATGGCTCAAACTCAAAATCACAGCTGTTTCCAGCTGCCTGCCAGGGTCTCAAATGCTTCTGACCAGGGCCTGGAACCTCCAAAAATGTCTGAGGGACATTTTTGATAGCAAAAGGGTTTTAAAATCATGGGGATTAAGGGTTAAAAGGAAAAATAAGCTTAGTAGGCCCTAGAAAAGTAAACACCCTAAGCACATGGAGAACTTGTACTTGCTAGAACTGCACTTGTACATGATAAATGATATAATTGTTAGATGTGATGATTGTTTAGTAATTAAATATAATTACTGTTTAATCATAAGAATAATCATGAGAAACTGTGGTCAGGGTCCTAAGAAAGATCACAAGAAACTCATGTCAATGTATACAATAGAACAATATAAGTTTAATAATGAATATGTAAGTTATATAAGGATAGAATATAAAATACATTCAGCTCGAAAGCCGTGTTGGGGTCAGCTTTGGGTCTGCACCCCTGATTCCCAGAGCTGTCAATAAAAGCACCTGCAGATAATCATGTCCCGTGATGATGTGTGTCCTGGAACGCTGACATTTTGAGTTCCAGCAGCTGGTGGCACTCTGCAGGTGGACAGTGGCCAGGCCTTCGTGTGGCTGGCGCAGCTGCGGCACCGCTGGTCGGACGAGGAGCGGCACTGCTGGGCCAACATCTGCGACGCGCAGTTCCTCTACTGCTACGAGTACCTGGGCAACACCCCCCGCCTCGTCATCACCCCCCTGACCGACAGGTGAGCCCTGCTGGGGCCTCCCGGGGCCACCCCACAGCACAGGCCAGGCAGAATTAAGGGAATAAAAATTGGTTGTATTTATTGAAGGGTCTTCAGGTACATTTTGGGCAGATGAAGCCCCCCCAGGGGGCTACATGCAAAATGGACAATGGGTCAGGGGTTTCACACTTTAATAAGTTTGGTCCATTTGCATATTTAGGTTAATCTTCCAATTACAGCTCCAGCTAATGAAGTAATTTACCCCGAGTTTGCTCCTCCCCAAGTCACTTTTGTGTCCATCTCTCTGGCCTGAGGCAGTGAGGTGTCCTTGATTGCCAGGCCTGGAGAGGAATTGTTGTCTGCCCAAAATGGGGCAGCAGCAGCTCACACTGTGTGTGGCGTTTAGTTATACACCAAGAAACTGCAGGGTTACAAATAGATGAAAAATAGAAAAGCTGAAATCCTAAGGTATCAGGAGAACCCTCTCACGGCTGGGCTGTGCCAGGCTGTTGCACAAAAGACGGTTTTACTTGGGATGCCCACATCCCTCTTGTTTTCCCCGTGTCCCAGCAGTGGCAGAGCTGCAACTCTCCCTTGGTTTGGGATTTTGTGTTACCCTCCGGTGTGTCTGTGCCTCAGATTCCAGAATGCAACCCCCAGGTGAAGGTGCTGGTGGTGGGTGCCTGCCTGGGCACGAGACGTCCACACCCTGCAGGGCTGGACAGTCCCAGAGCTTTCATCTTGTCCCGAAGGACATGTTGGGTCCCCATCTCAGTGGGGACCCAGACAATGACATGAGATGCTCTGAGTTGTCCCACCTGGCTTCCAGCTGCCCATACAGATGTGTGCAAGTCTCCTGTGGATCCCTTGTCATATTTTTCCACTCTGTGTGATGCTGCAGTGGCCCTGAGCATCTCAGGTGGTTCTGGTGACCCGTGTTAGTCAGCTAAGCCAAACCCCCTGCGGGTTGATGGCCATGATGACTTCTACAGGGGATAAATGTGGGCACCTCCCTGGGATCCACCATCAGCCTGATGTAGAAGCTTTGGGGGCATTGTGTGGAATCATTCCTGGGCCATCAGAGCCCAGGATTCACATTCCTGTGCTGGCGAGCAGGATGCTTTGAGCTGAGGAAGATCTTTCAGAAAAGCTGACTTTTCCTCGCCATGCCCCACATCACTGAGAGTGACAGTCCAAAGAAAGCACAGCCTGGAGTGAAGGGCTTGGGCAGACCCCACGGGGAGATGAGGATCTCTTGGATTTGAGGAGCAGCTGGGGGATTTTCCTGGAGGAAAGGAGGCTCAGGAGGGACCTTCTCATTCTCTGCAAGTCCCTGACAGGAGGGGGCAGCCAGGTGGGTGTCAGGCTGTGCTCCCAGGGAACAAGGCACAGGATGAGAGGTAACAGCATCAAATTGCACCAGGGGACGTTCAGATTGGCTATTAGGAAAAACTTCTTCACTGGAAGTGTTGTCAATCCCTGGCACAGGCTGCCCAGGGCAGTGGTGGAATCGCCATCCCTGAAGTTGTTCAAAACCCACGTGGATGTGGCACTAAAGGACATGGTTTAGTGGTGAACAAGGTGCTGGTGACTGGATGTGATGATCTTAGAGTTCTTTCCTGACCTTTCTGATCGTGTGACACACTGGAGAAGTCCCAGCAGGACAGAGGTGGTCGTTCATGCCCACCAGGACTTCCAGCTTGGCCGTGCTCACGCAGAGCTGTCCAGAGGAGCTCTGCAGAGTGCTGCAGTGACCTGTGGCACAGCTCAGTCTCTGTCCCCTTTTCCCTCGTCCTGTGCAGGTGTTACATCACCCTGACCCAGTCCCTGCACCTGACCATGAGCGGGGCCCCGGCGGGCCCAGCTGGCACCGGCAAGACGGAGACCACCAAGGACTTGGGCCGTGCCCTGGGCATCATGGTGTACGTGTTCAACTGCTCCGAGCAGATGGACTACAAGGTGCTGCTCCCCCCGAGCTGGGGCTGCTCAGGGCCCTGGGACCTGCAGGGTGGGAGTTACCTGACGCTGTTGAGGCAGGATGGGAATGAATGAGTCAGAAGGCTGAGAGTGAAACTCTGATTTATTTCAAAATGCATCGCTCTGTATACAGAGCTTCGTCCAGGCTAATTCCATTGGTCCTGAAGTGAAAGCAATCTACACCATTGGTGCAGAGTGCTTGACGCACAGTGATAGAACTTAACTATAAACTATAAAATGTGAACAATGAGATAAAACCCTTATTTACATACTTTTCCAACAGATTCCCAGGCTTCTGTCTGGCTAGAAACTTTCCATTTCTCTCTTTGGCTGAATCTGAGACCTACAGTTACCCAGCTGGGCTTGCTCTGATCCATCCCCTCTCCTCTCTGCCTCCCTTCCTGCTGGACAGCTTCTCCTCCTCCTCCTTTTCGTCTCTGAGACTTGCACAAGGTTCTTGAGGAGGAGGAGAGCCGAGCTGTGCTCTCTGTCCTGCTCCACCTTTCCCTTCCCTTCTGGAGTTAGGTTGTCCATGAAATTCTCCACAAATTCAGTGGAGACCAAGGCTGTGCTGATCCATTCCCTCTCTCCAGACCCACAGGGGCACAGGGTGCCTGTCCCAGGCATGGGGAGGGAGCTCTCCTGGCGTCCCGGGATCCTCTGCTGGGACAAGGCCAGCTCTGCTCACAGTGCTGATCCTTGTGCCCCCCAGGGGCAGTGGGTTTGCTGGCCTTGGACCATATTTTATCCAGCTGAGGTCTCTCGTGGACGTGGGACCATCAGTAACTTGGCCCAGGTGACCTTTGGATGGAACCAGAGTGCAGAGATGTCGAGAGAGTGCAATTAGCAAATCAAGTGGCAAATTGTGAAGAGCTATAAATATTATAATTGAGTTGTGCCTGCTGCTCCCGTGCACTTTTCTAAATACCCACAATAGTCTGTAAATTGCTATAAATAAACAGGCAGGGAAATCAAATCTATTTTTTGCTGGAGTTGATTCCATTTGTGATTTTACTCTTGTAATTTTTTTTTTTCTTTTCAGTCTTGTGGGAATATTTACAAAGGCCTTTCCCAGACAGGAGCCTGGGGCTGTTTTGATGAATTTAACAGGATCTCAGTTGAGGTCCTTTCTGTGGTTGCTGTACAGGTAAGTGGAGAAAAGCTTGTGGATAAATACATGCCAGCCTTCCTTCCCTTCCTCCCTCCCTCCCTCCTACAGGGCCAGAACAGAAGTGGTTGAGTCTTGGGGAACTTCAGTGCTGAAAATGGAGTTGCTGAAATATCAAGAGTTCTTCTGGTCCCAAATGTCAGCTGTCAGTGCAGGTTTTGGGATCCTAGTGTTTGGCTGAGGTGCTGAATTCTTCCTAGACCCACTTTGAGGCTTGGCATTGCAGAAATTAAGGTTTAGAGCCCAGAAGTTTCTACACTTCTGTAAGTGTCTTGGCCAAAGGAATTGTTCTGAACCCCTCCAGGAACTCCTCACTCTCATCTCTCTTTGTCTCATCGTTGTACCTCCTGTGATGTCCCAAAGAAATCCCAGGCAGGTACAGCTGTTTGTGTGTCCTTCCCTCTCCATTTCCCTTCCCCTTCCATCAGGTTCCAGCTTAAAGTTGTCATTGAAAAACGTCTTTGAGGACCTTAAAATAAAAGGGGAAGCTGAACAAAAGAAGCCCAGATATGACTCAGCTGCTAATGATTGCCTGGCTCCTGGCGGGAGCTGGTGTCTGAGCGAGCAGGGCTGTCACTCCATCATCGCCTCTGCTGCTATTAGAGGGTAACCATGGTGATGGTTAATTGGCTGCCTGAGTCACGCAGCTCCTTCAGAGTGGGTCCTTACGCTGAGAAACTCCCTTAATCGCTGTGCTTTAAGGTGGCAAAGGGGTGAGCTGAGGGCAGAGATCCTCCCTCGATGGAGCGGTGCTACCCAGGAGAGCTGGCTGCCAGGAGCTGCTCCCTTGGCAAGTGGGGAAGGAGGGTCTGGCACTGGGGTGCTCTGCCTGTGTTTGCTGTTTAGGAAAGCGTTTTATACAGAAAGAGTGATAAATTCTGGAATGGCTGCCCAGGGAGGTGGTGGAGTAACCATCCCTGGGTGTGTTTAAAAAAATATTGGACGTGGCACTGGGTGCCAGGGTTTAGTTGAGGTGTTAGGGCTGGGTTGGACTCGATCTGAAAGGTCTCTTCCTACCCAGGAATTCTGTGATTTTGGGAATGGAAGGTGGGCAGCAAGGTGGTCTGGCTGTAATGGACTCACTCTCTTTGGAAAGTGGAGGATGAGAAGAACAAAGCTGCAATCAGACAAGTAGAAAAGACCAGCCAAGTGTCTTATGATGCTAACTCTTGGAACTCTTTTCAGTTTGACTGTCCAGTCTCTTCAGCCCTTTCTGTTTTGTCAGAGTTCTGTCTGTGATGAGAGACACACAGATTAACCCCAAAAGTGTAGAAAGCTTTATATGGTCAGTAAAAGCCCCGAGCAGAGCAGTGATAATCCCCAGTTGTCATGGGCTGAGTGTAGGGAGGGCAGCAGTGCTCTTTGGGGTTTTTCACACCTGAACACCAGCACTGCCTTGGTTCCCAGGTGAAGAGCGTGCAGGATGCCATCAGGGAGAAGAAGAAATCCTTCAGTTTTCTTGGAGAAGACATTAAGTTAGTCCCCTCAGTTGGGATTTTCATCACCATGAACCCTGGCTATGCAGGACGAACCGAGCTACCTGAGAATTTAAAAGCTCTCTTCAGGTGAGTCGAGGTCAGGTTTACCTGTGCAATAAAACTGGCAGAAATTCTCTTTTGGAACATCCAGGCTTCATTTTCTTGGGAAATTCACTTGCATTGCGGATGCACAGATGGTTTCAGCCTTGTGCACCGAGCCTGGATCAGGGAATGCACAGGGAGGACAAGGGAGCTCTGTCCTGTGCCATGGGAAAGGCAGTGTGGGCAGACTGGGAGAGTCTCCAGTGGCTCACTGGAGAGGACCTGGAAGATAAAGCTACAAATCCACTGCCCTCGAGCTCTGTAGTCAACACTTGCTCTGCAATCCTTTCCTGCCTGTCTCCCTAGGCCCTGTGCCATGGTGGTGCCAGACTTTGAGCTGATCTGTGAGATTATGTTGGTGGCTGAGGGCTTCCTCCAGGCCCGGGCCTTAGCCAGGAAGTTCATCACACTCTACCAACTCTGCAAGGAGCTCCTGTCCAAGCAGGTGAGCCCTCTGCTGTGCTCTGGATCCCCAAAATCAGGGATGTGACACTGCTCTGGATCCCCAAAATTAGGGATGTTACACCCTGCTCTGGATCCCCAAAATCAGGAATGTGACACTGCTCTGGATCCCCAAAATTAGGGATGTGACACCCTGTTGTGGATCCCCAAAATCAGGGATGTGACATTGCTCTGGATCCGCAAAATCAGGGATGTGACTCTCTGCCATGCACCTCCACAGCTGAAGCTTCACAGCTTTTAGTCACTGACTGCCTTTGTGGCAGCTGCTGGGAGAAGGGAGGGTTTGGTTTGTGATCACCAGAGCAATGACATTTTCAAACTGCTCTCCTGGAGGATCTGCAGGAACAGATTTGACCAACTGCTTTAGTGAGGGAGATTTTTCAAAAAGCCTGAAATGCCACCATGACTGGGGCAGTATTCAGTGACCCTTGGCTTTCCAGTCTCTTAGTTCCTATTGATTCTCCTGCCTGCAAGGGGTTCATGATCACTGTTACTCTCTTAGTCCAACTAAATGCTTCTCTGTCATGTCAAGTGTTGACCATGTAAGGTCACCTCCAGTGCAAGACTCTGGTTAATCAAATTTTAACTTGGCATTGTCTGCATAGATCAGAGCTGGGGTGAGCTGAATCAGGACTCCAGATGGAAAACCTGATCTTGGCTGTGCCAGCATGAGCTTGGGTGGGTTTCTGCCTTGTCACAGAAACTTTGTTCTGTGCAGCTGGAGGCCCTGTGGGAGCTTTGGCCTCCCACACAAAGCAGTCAGGATGTTGGGCTGTATTCTGCAGGGTCTCAATGGAGCACAAATAGAAGGACTTGCTAGTTGGCTTGAGAGTTCCTCTCCTGCCTCTTTAGGATTCCTTTCCAGCATGTCCTGGGTGTCCTCCCTGCCCCTGCTTCGTGGACTGTCCCCAGGACAGTGTCCCTGTAACCTGGTGATGGAGAAATCTGTGTGTCTGAGGCCTCAGAGTGGATTAACAAGCCTTCCACCTCAGTAGCTCCTGCAGATCCAGGGCTCTGGGAGGCCTTGCTTAACCTGCACAAAGGCCAAGGTTTTAGGGTTTAGGGGAAAAAATTGCTCAGGTCTGCAGAGTGCTGACTTAGTGCCAGCTCTGAGCCCATGTGATGGCAAGAACAGCTGAATTATTTGACTCCTTAGTGCTCTCCCTGGTGGGAAGCTCATCTTCTGAAACGGAGACTCAGGCTGGTGGAGGTCTCTGGCCATGACACAAATAACAAGTTTGGCTGCATTTCCATTGCTGCCTGCTCTGGCAGCTGGGACTGCTGGTTTTTACCCCTGCCTAGGCATAAACTCACCCCTGTTTTTACTTCTTTCCCCCCCCTCCTGCAGGACCACTACGACTGGGGTCTGCGGGCCATCAAGTCGGTGCTGGTGGTGGCCGGTTCCCTGAAGCGCGCGGACCCCGAGCGGCCCGAGGAGCAGGTCCTGATGCGCTCCCTCCGCGACTTTAACATCCCCAAAATCGTGACAGACGACGTGCCAGTGTTCATGGGGCTGATTGGAGACCTGTTCCCTGCGCTGGACGTGCCTCGGAAGCGCGACCTGGGTTTCGAGGCCGTGGTGAAGGAGGCTGTGCTGGAGCTGCGGCTGCAGCCTGAGGACAACTTTGTGCTCAAAGTAAGGCCAAGGGATATTCTGCTCTACCTGCAGCATCATCAGCTCAGATGGGTTTTCTCAACCACCTTTGCTTCTTCAAAGAGGGCTCTGTACAGTCACAGAATTCTAGAATGGTTTGGGTTGGAAGGGATCTTAAAGCTCAGCTCGTTCCACCCTCTGCCATGGACAGGGACAATTTCCACTATCCCAGAGTGCTCCCAAGCCCTGTCCACCTCGTCTTGGACACTTCCAGGGATGGGGCAGCCACAATATTCCCCTTGCAGACAGACTTTGATGGAGCACAGTCAGCTGTCCTGGGTCTGACTGCTCCTAAATCCAGCTCTGCCCCTTCCCTGGATTTACAGACTGACTCTTGTGCACGTGCAGAGCCTCCTTGGCTGGTGGCTGTCACATGTGAACAGTGCTGGAGGTTTGCCTGCCTGCTCAGGATTTCACCATCATGGTTAGAGTGGTCAGACCAAACTCAGGGTCAAATCCCTTAGTGTGTCTAGGTCACAAATTTCTATACAAGAGCCCCAATGAGAGCTAATTTCACAGAATAGTTTGGGTTGGAAGGGACCCCGAAGGACATCTCATTCCAACCCTAAGCCATGGACAGGGACTCTTTCCCCAAGATTTTGAACTTCAGTTTGGTGTGTGTGTCTGAGCTCTGGGGGTGTTTCCCCAGGTGGTGCAGCTGGAGGAGCTGCTCAGTGTCCGGCACTCCGTGTTCGTGGTGGGGGCTGCAGGCACAGGCAAGTCCCAGGTGCTGAGGTCCCTGCACAAAACCTACCAGAGAATGAAGCGCCGTGCTGTGTGGACAGACCTCAACCCCAAAGCAGTCACCAACGACGAGCTCTTCGGCATCATTAACCCAGCAACGAGGGAGTGGAGAGATGGTAAATGTCTTTCTGTGGCTGAATTTGGAGATAAAAAGGATATTTTTAATGAGTGGATGGTGGGTGTCTGTATGCAGGTCTCACAGCCCAGGTGCTGCTCCCAGCCATGTGAGGAGTTGCTGTTGGAAGGACATGTAGGGAGTCACAGATTTTTGGGAATTTATCCTTTTGCCACAAGGATAATCATCATGTCTGCTAATCTTGAGTTTGACCCCGAGAATGTAAAAGTCCTCATTTCCCAGCCCTGCAGCCAAAGGAGGAGTCTGAATGCACAGGATCAGCTTCTCAAGGGTGTTTATTTTCCCTTCTCTAGAACATTCTTTCTCTGCCCTGCTGAGCTCTGGCCAGCAGCTCGGCCATGGCATTCTGTCTGCCCTCAGGGCGGTGTTTGCATTTTATACCAAAAACTGCCTGTGCCATGTTTACAATAACATGCCAATATCTGTCATTTATGTTGGACAGTGTGTCTGTGCCTTAAACCAACAGAAAAGTGTCACCAGCACAGCAAGGCATGGAGGGCAAGGAGAAGGAGAAGAAGCTCAGGACACACCCAAATCCTTCCATCTTGTCCCCTTGAACCCTATTCTAGAAAGCCTCAAAATTCTACTTTTTCACCCTGTGTTAACTCAGCTACCACACTACTCAAACCCTTGTGGCTTGTAATTCCTCATACAGAGTTGGCAGCTTTTTCCACGGGCTAAAATGGAAGCCATGGGTGTTTGTGACTTAGTGCCAAGGTCTCTGAGCCCCTGCCAGCGTCTGGGGGCAGCCAGGGCAGCCAGAGGGATGTGCTGGGCTCTCACATGTTAACACCAACACTTCCCAGCTCCTAACTGGGACAGGTTGTATTTTGGGGCTGGGCTGCTGATGGGAGAGAATTCCCTCCTGCCCTGTGCTGTGCACTGGGGCCCCCCAAAAAGAGCCACTGCCAGGTTTCCGTGGCTGGACACTCCCAGCAGCTTTTGAGAGGTGTTTTCCCACTGAATATCCCGGCCTGATCTCCAGCACACGGCGCTGGCCAGGCTGCTGATCCTGATTGCTCCTGAGGAGGATGAGATGAGCATTTAAGACCTGCTGAGAGATTACAGAGATGCAGAGTGAAAACGCTGGGTTGTGACTAATCCAGAAAGGCAGCTTTGATTCCCTGTGTGGCTGTTCTGGGAGCTGAGGGGGAGGCGAGGGAGGACAGCTCCATAAATCATCCTCGGCCAGAGGTCTCCAGGAGAGGAGCTGCCACCACCTTCCCTGCCCCCTGCCACCACCCCTCCTGCCCCCTGTTCTGCTCCAGTGCCAGGGTTAATTTCTTTTTAATTGTGACTGGGGGCCCTAAATCAAAGTGACAGAGGGAAGTGTGGGATTAGCCAGCCCTCTGCAGACAGAGCTGCACCCTGGGGACTGTGGATCAGGGACTGTGGGTGGCACTGGACAGCAGGAAAGACATTGGCAGGTGGCTGTCCAGTGTTCTCAATCCCCTAATGTTTCAAGAGAACTTACAGGACTCCTCTCTGATGGCTCAAGGCAGATATTTTCTGCATTAATCATTCCTGAAAATGTTGTTTCCTGATGCCAAAGAGCAGCCAGGCCATTTTCAGCACAGCTGACAGAAGAGGATGTGTCCCCTTATGCATCAGCTCCTCCTTTTCCTCTTCCCGAGTTCATCCTGTCACTCATTTCACTGCCGGCAGCTGGAAAGTTTGCACATGTTAGGTGGGAAAAGGCCTCACAAGGGAATCCTAAAAGTGTTATTTGTAGAACCAAACTCCTCTTTCAAATCCCAAAACCCCTCTGTGGTTTTGAGGTTGGGAGAGGGGCACTTCCCTCCGGCTGCTGCCCTGGCTGTGGTGCTGCCAGGCAGGAGCTGCTGCTGGCACTGGCAGGGCTGCAGAGGTTGCCAAGCTGTGTCCAGCGTGAGGAAGGGAGCCCAGGCAGAGGCAGGGAGGTGTTATTTGTGGCTAACCCTTCTCGTGGCTGTGTGGCTCGGCTGTTCTGCCTTGCCCTGCTTGGTTTTGGTCACGCAGTGCCACCGGCGGTTCCCGACCTGCAGCACGAGGGAATAGCTGGTTCTGGAGAAACAAAGAGTGTGCCTGTCACTATTCACCAGAAGAGAGACTCTTTTTAATGTTTGCCTGATGTTCCTTCACGCAGACCAGCCTTTCCCCTGGTATTTCCTCGTGTGGAGGAGAGTGATGGTTTTGTGGAGCTCTCATTTGCCCTGCAGTACTTCTGCTCTGTTCCCAGCCTCTCACTCTTCTTAGCATTCATTATTTACTCCCCTTGAGACTCTGTATATTCTCTGTCTCCTTGATTTTACTGACATTTTGTTCTGTCACTCAATGTCAGTCTGGGCTTGTTCTCCCCTCATTCTCACTAAAGCCGTGACCCAGTGTTTAAAGCATCTTGATTTTCCTGATACACGTCAAGCTACAGAAAAAAAACCCCCAAATATAAGAATTTTCAAGGCATATTCAGATGGTTTTCTCTGCATTGTGTAGGTTGTGGTGTTTGTTCTCTCTGAGTATCTGCTCTTTATTTTTCCTGTGTCTTATGTTTTTCAGTGGGAATGAAGCTCATGTAGGCCCACAGTCATTCTCAGTGAAAATAACTCTGATAATTCTTTTTTTCTTCAAAGCAGATATCATTATATAGTATTATTTATGTCCAGATGCAAAGAGTTATGAATGTTTAAGGGGAAAGCATAATTTTTAGGAAGTTGCTGGAACAATCCGTTAAAGCGGGTGGCAACTTCAATGTTCATTAACATATTTGTGTCACCCTCGCAGGGCTGTTTTCATCAATCATGAGAGAGCTGGCCAACATCTCACACGATGGTCCCAAGTGGATGGTACTAGATGGAGATATTGATCCAATGTGGATTGAATCTCTGAACACTGTGATGGATGATAATAAGGTAATGGATGTAAGGTAAAGAAGCAGGTATTCCGTGTCAGGGGTGATTCAGCCTGGGAGAAATGCAGATTGTAATAACATCTCCTGGAATAATGCAGCTGTGTTTCTCCAGACACACCAAACAATATTGCATAAAGGCAATGGTGCATGAGGGAAATAACTTAGAGCTTGTTTTCATTGGAATTTCCCTTTTCGGGAGAGTCGTGCACATGAGTAATTGCAAATGTCCTGATCATAACTTTAGGCCCTTTAGAAGTAAGGTAGGGACATAATTCTGTGTCTTTTCCCCACCCTGAGGGAATGCTTTGGATTCTGGGTCGTGGAAGAGAGAAGGAGCATTCTGTGCCTGTCAAAAATCATGTCTGGCATCACAGAAGCGTTTGGGCTGGAAGGGATCTTAAGGCTCACCCCATCCCAGCCCCTGCCATGGCAGGGACACCTTCCACTGTCCCAGGCTGCTCTAAGACCTGTCCCATGGGCACTGCCAGGGATCCAGGGGCAGCCACAGCTGCTCTGGGCACCTGTGCCAGGGTCTGCCCACCCTGCTAGGGAGGGAATTCCTTCCCAGTATCCCATCCATCCCTGCCCTCTGGCAGTGGGGAGCCATTCCCTGTGTCCTGTCCCTTGTCCAAGGTCTCTCTCCTGCTCTCTTGGAGCCCCTTCAGGTACCAAAAGGCCACAGTAAGGTCACCCCAGATTCTCCTTCAGGCTGAACACCCCCAGTTTTCTCAGCCTGTCTGAGAACTGACAGAACTGCTCCATCCCTCTGCTCATCCTGGAGCCTCCTCTGGGCTCTGCAGCAGCTCTGCAGGTGGGCTCTGGCCTCAGTGGGCAGAGGGGCAGAATCCCCCCTTGTCCTGCTGGGGCTGCAGCCTTTGCTGCTGTGCCCCAAGGAGCTGGGCTGGGCAGTGCCAAGTGCTAAACCCTTCATTCCTGTTCCTGGCAGAGCTTCAGGCTGTCTGTCTGTCTGTGTCTGTCTGTCTGCACCTGCAGGTGCTGACCCTGGCCAGCAACGAGAGGATCCCCCTGAACCCCACGATGAGGCTGCTGTTTGAGATCAGCCACCTGCGCACGGCCACCCCGGCCACCGTGTCCCGGGCAGGTGGGTCCTGCCGGGCTGCACTCGCTGCAGGTGGCACTGGGGCTGTTAGCAGCCTTTTGTTGGCCAGTCTTAAGCTGTGCCAAGGGAAATTTAGGTTGGATATTAGGAAAAACGTGTTTTACAGAAAGGGTAATGAAGTTCTGGAATGCCCTGGAGTCACCATCCCTGGGTGTGTTTAACAAAGCCTGGATGTGGCACTGGGTGCCAGGGTTGAGTTGAGGTGCTGGGGCTGGGCTGGACTCCATGATCTTGGAGGTCTCTTCCAAGCCAGTGATCCTTTGGAAGCTGCCAGGCTGGGAGCACAGCTGCCTGTGGGGTGCTGGGAGTGTTCCTGAAGCTCACAGACACACTGAGGATGCCGAGCCCAGCCCCACTTGGGGTCTGCCATCATCTTGGGGGTGCACTTGGAGTGTTCCCAATGCTTCTGTGGGGTCACAGCACTGCTGAGAGCACTCCTGCACAGCTCTGTGTGGGCCTGATGAGGAGAGAGCAGTGTCTGTCCCACAGAGCTCCTGAACTTTTGGAGAGTGTACGGGAACAGGGAATGAAGGTGTCCCCTGGTGTCTGGTCTCCAGAGCAATAACATGGCTCAGGCAACACCACGTTCCAAATTTGGTGCAGGGTCCTGAGAGGCATCCTGGTTTCCTGAGTTACATCTCTCCACTGTTAATGTTTCTCCTCTGCAGTGGGGCAGGAGGAGGGGGCAGGCAATGAGGGGCCAGGTGTATTTGACAGGGTTTCAGTGGTCTGAGAGTAGCTGAAAGTTTCTGGTGGGAAAAGGGAGAGCCTGTGCTGTGTCCTTACTCCTGTCTCCCCCTGCACCTCCAGGGATCCTGTACATCAACGCCTCAGACCTGGGCTGGAATGCCCCCGTGAGCAGCTGGATTGACCGGCGGGAGGTGCAGTCGGAGAGGGCCAACCTGACCATCCTGTTTGACAAGTACCTGCCCGTCTGCCTGGACACCCTGAGAACCAGGTACCACTGCAGGGGGCTCCTGTCCCCCTGCTGAGGGCAGCTGGTCACTCACCACCTTCCACACCAGGGCTGGCCAGTGTCCTCCTTGTCCCCAGGAGCCCCGAGTGGCTTCGGCTTCAGGAAGCTGTGGGTGAGGGGGCAGCTGGCACTCCATCCTTGCTTGGTCTGATCTGGTTCTCCTTGGATATTGATTTGATGGTTCCTGTGCCTGGATCAGTTCTGTGCCTCTTGGAAATCAAACCCAGGAGATCCTAAAGGGAAAATCTTTCCAGTCTCCTGATGTGTCAGGCCAGACCTGAGTTCACTGCACAAGTTTTGGGGCAGTAGAGCAGATTTCAGACCACTGCTGAAGGAAAGTGTGGAAGATGCAGAGCAGATCCTCTTCCCACGTCTCTTCCTGCCCCCTGGGGATGAGGAGAAAGCTGGTGTTGGTGTGAGAGGTGGGATTGCTCCAGAGGCAGTCCTGTCTTGGATTTCCTTCCTGAAGCATTTGAGCACAGCTGAGTCCCTCTGTGTGAGCACCCGGCCTGGGTGTGTTCCATGGCCAGACACTGACACTGAATGGGAAAAACAGGACAAGGAGTGATGGCTTTAAACTGAACAAGGACAAATTTAGATTAGGTATTAGGAAGAAATTCCTGGCTGTGAGGGTGGGAGGCCCTGGCACAGGGTGCCCAGAGCAGCTGTGGCTGCCCCTGGATCCCGGGAAGTGTCCAAGGCCAGGCTGGACAGGGCTTGGAGCAGCCTGGGACCATGGAAGGTGTCTCTGCCATGGCAAGGGATTGAAATAGCTGACTTTTAAAAGCTGCCTTCCAACCCAATCTAGTGTATGATTGTGTGGTTCTCCATCCTCTGCTTGCTCCCCATACCTGCAGTTAAAAAAAAAGAAAAGAAAAAGAAGAAAAATCAGTGAACAACTGAACCTCGGCACCATCAGCCCTAACAAGGAGGTGTCAGGAGGAGCTGCTTGAGTGCAAGTCTTGCTCCTTTGTGACTGGGAGTTGGGACTCTTGCTGGGGAGCTGCTCTGTGGGTGCCCAAACTTTAAAGCTGATCGCAGCAAAGCCCATCAAGCATCTCCAGCTCTCTCTGCTGAGCAATTGTCAGCCCGTGAAATCCCCGGGATTAGCTGCACCAGCCCCGAGCGGAGTATTATGGTAGCTTGCTTAATTCAGAAATTGTAGAACCAACCTTTCAAATAGCTCTAATTACTTTATGGAGGACTTCAGTGCTGCTACAATATTAGTTTGGAATTCTGTAAGTGTAGCTTAAGCGAATGTAAAATAGCAAGATGAAAGGTTTTATTTTATTACTCCTCTATTTGACCACTTTTGAACTCCTGGCGCTCCCAGGAAATCATCGCCTTCAGCAACTCCCCCATTTTACTTCTTTCAAGAGGATCAAAGTTTTTAAATGCCTGAAACTTCTGATTACTGTTATTATGTGTGTGTGTGCCAGTGCCAGCGGGGCCAGGCAGAGGATGGATGTTCTCCTCAATGCTCTTCCAGGGAATGAGACACCCACTGCTGACCAGGAAAATGCTGATATTCTGGCAAAGCATTCCTGCCTTGCTTTCCCGGGCTGGGAGCAGCCCTGGTGCTTCACCCAGTTGTATTTCCCAATTATGTTTTCCATTTCCACCCCTCAGATTTAAGAAGATTATTCCCATTCCTGAGCAGAGCATGGTTCAGATGCTGTGTTACCTCCTGGAATGCCTCCTGACAGAGGACAACACGCCTCCTGACTGTCCCAAGGAGCTTTATGAACTTTACTTTGTCTTTGCTGCTGTCTGGGCCTTTGGTGGCTCCATGTTCCAGGACCAGGTAAGAAGGGATGTGCCACATCAGCATCTTTCAAAAGACCTTTTATTACCCTTTTTCCCCTCTACTTTTTTCTACTTTCCCAGACCTAACTCTGTGTCAGTTATGCTGTTTGACCTGGAAACTTGAACTAAACAATCCCTTTCATGAAAAGCCTCATTACCCAGGGGGGAGCAATGGAGAATGGCCCAGTCCAGCTTGGTGCTCCCTTGGTGCCATCACCTCGAGGCTTTTGGTGTCCTTGTGTATGGGAATCCAGGGCATCCCTCTGGCTGTCCTGGCAGGTCTGGGACCCTGGCAGGGGTCAGGAACGCCCCTGGACAGAGCCCCCAGAGACACTGGCTGTGATCTCTGTCCATGGAAAAGAGTTTTCAGTCTTACAGGATGAATTACAAGCTCTGAGTGTTTAATATAAGTAATAATTAAATGTAGCACGGGTGCAAAAGTAAATTTTTAGGATTCTAGATTAGGGGTTCAAAAGGGACAAGATGGAGGAAATTGGGTGTGCCTTGTCCTTTTTCTCCTTCTTCATGCCCTCCATGTTTCACTGTGGTGTTGGCATTTTTCTGTTGGTTTAGGCTGGGGACACACTGTCCAACGTAGGTGACAGATATTGGCACGTTATTGCAAATCCAGCACAGGTAGTTTCTGGTATTTAATGTTTGTAACATCCCACTGAGGGCAGAGCCCCACACGCTGCCCTGCAGGACAGAGCTGCGGCAGGGCAGCAGAACATGTTAGAGATAAACAGAATAAACAACCTTGAAACAGCACAGACCAATTATGGCTTCTGCTTTGGCAGCGGGGCTGACAGACAGAGACTTTCTACAATCTCGGAATCATCAATACCTCAGATTCCGACACTTGTGGAGGATTTCACCCTGCATTCCCTGTGTGCCAGCTGGGAAAACCACAGCCCTGGTTCTGTCAGTGCAGGGTGACTTTAAGCCAAGCCTGGGGGGCCCTTGCTCAGCAGAGGAGCTCCAGCCCCTCGCTCTGGCTGGAGCGCGGTCAGTGGCACTTGGACGTGGCATTCCCGTGCCACAGCAGCTAGCCCTGGCACGGCAGGGCCTGGCACAGCCTGGTGTGTGGCAGGAGGAGCTGGGAGCAGGCTGAGCATCCCGCCGGGAGGATTCTGCTCTGCAAATGTCAGGGAGGAGAGCGTGAGCGCGCGGCGTCCGAGCGAGGGGGAGCCTGGTGAAAAACGATCCAATATAAAAGCTGTTTATTGCTCCCTGCTGAAGGTGCCCTTCCTGGTGACCTTTTGCTGCCGAAATGTCAGGAGAAACAGGCTGGAAGGCTTCCCACTGCTCGGTGTTTGTTAGTGGGGAGCGAGGCCTCTCTATAAAAACAGATGATAGATTTGCCATTTCCAGGCCCTGAAATTAGCAGCAATCCACACGGGGTTTTTGTTAAGGAAGCAGTTTGAGCTCGACACCATTCTGGCAAAAGAGCTGGGGCTGGGACTGCTCCACTTAAGGGCTCAGCCCCTCCCAGCACTGTGAGAAAGCTTTTAGCAGCACTGCACATCCCTGTTCTGCTGCCGGGCTGAGGAGTTGTGACAGCAGGAGAAAGGAGATTACAGTCATTCTGCCTCTCTGGGCAGCACGAGACTGCAAAATCTTGGATGCTAATAATGTGTTTTTCAAATCCTCTGGTCTTTTGATGTGTGCTGGTTCGGGGAGCTTTGCAGAGGACACTCAGTTCAAAGCCAGGTTTCCTGAGGGAGGCTGAGCACTCTGTGGTCCCACCTGGTCCCAAAAACCCGTGTGGTGGCTATGGGGAGGAGAGACCCAATAGGGATGCCCCAGGAACAAGCTGTGCTGCTAAAACTGGCTCAGTGATGCATGTTCTCTCTCCCAGACATCTTTTTAGCAGCACTTTCCCCTCCTTCCCCCCCTGTTACTCCCCAGGGCTGAGGGCTGCAGTCCCTGTGCTCTGCGTGGGAAGGGTTCAGACAGTGGCTGGCCCATTTTCACAGAGGAGACCTGAGGCAGGGAAGGGACTAAGCACATTTTGCAAATCCTGACTCAGTGTATAAAGCAAAAACTGTCTCCCTAACGCACAGAAAAAAAGTTCAGATGCTTCAAAATCTTCATGCATGAAGAGATAGAAGGGAGAAAACCAGGAAAGCAGGAGCTTGCCTTCCTCTCTCCCATTCTTTGCTGAACTGGGGTCTGCAGCCCTGCTGCTCCTGCTTGAAAAGAGGCCAGAAAACAACAAAATGTTTGCAGGGTGTGATTTATGAGGAAGAGATTTGGTATGCATGCTCTGACTGTCCATGGCCACGGATGGAGATGGATGTGGTGTCCTTGTCTGTTGGAAGAAGTAGGCACCAAAAATCAATCAAGTGTCTGTTTAGTCATAGGCACGTATTTCTCTTTTTCAAATTGATCCATCTGTCTCATCTCAGACATACTAGGAGTGATCAACACAGAGGATGAATTATTTAGGGGAATAAATAGGAATGATGAGAAAAAAATGAATAAAATGAAAAATTAGACTTAATAATAGGAAATAGGATAAGATTGTTATGCTGTGGAATATAATTTTAAGGACTAATCCCACTCTGGTGGACTGGGATAAATAACATTCTCCATCTCTAATGAATTTCTCTGAATTGTCTATTTTCTCCTCTTTTTGTCCTGCAGCTTGTGGACTACAGAGTAGAGTTCAGCAAGTGGTGGGTGGCAGAATTCAAGACGATCAAGTTCCCTTCTCAGGGCACAGTCTTTGACTTTTACGTCGATCCGGAAACAAAGAAGTTTGAGCCTTGGTCTAAACTTATTCCCCAGTTTGAATTTGACCCAGAGATGCCCCTGCAGGTAGGTGACCCCAGCAGGCTGCTGGGCTGAGGAATTTTAGTGTTTTAGTGACTGAACATGGGGGTCTCAGTGAGATCTGGTGAAAGGCCAGGCACTGATGGAATTCTTCACTGGATACAACTAAATTACCCTTTTTTTTTTTTGCTGTGCTTCAACTGCAACACCACAACCTCCATCCATCTTCCTAACATGAGTGTTGTAGCAGGGCAGGGAGCTGCTGTGCCCAGGGTGCAGAGAGAAGTGGTGAGACAGAGCAGGGACAAAGCCTCTGAGACACCACGGCTTGCTGTCATTCTTGGTGGCTGTCACTAGAGATGGGTTCATGTTTGGGCCAAGAAAAGGGTTCCTCAGGTAGTGAATTGTGGCTGCCAGTTGCTCCTCTCTGTTTATTCAGAAGTGCCACAGCTGACTTGTACAAACCATCACTCTTTCAGCAAGGCGTGCTTTTGTGGGGGGGATCCAGGCGCTGCTCCCGGGGGCTCACCTGAAAAGATCGACTTTAACAGCTGGCAGCAGCAGACCATTCCTCCCCTAAAAAGCTCAAACCCACAGGCACAGTCTCAGTGGCAGGGCAGGGACACTGAGGTGGGTGCTGTGCCCCCAGGCCTGCCTGGTGCCCACGGCTGAGACGGTTCGCCTGCGGTTCCTGGTGGCCAGGCTGCTGCAGCGCCGGCGCCCCGTGCTGCTGGTGGGCACTGCTGGCACGGGCAAGTCTGTGCTGCTGGGGGACACGCTCTGCTCGCTGGACACCGACGTCTTCCTGGTGAAGAAGGTCCCCTTTAACTACTACACCACCTCTGCCATGCTGCAAGGTGAGCTCTTACACCGTGCCGGGGGTGGGTTTAGGTTGGACATCGGGAGGGATTTCGGCGCTGAAAGGGTGGTTGGGCATTGGAACGGGATGCCCAGGGAGGTGGTGGAGTCAGCATCCATGGAGGGGCTTGACAAAGCCTGGATGTGGCACTCAGTGCCATGGTTTAGTTGACAGGGTGGTGTTAGGTGACAGATTGGACTCAATGATCTCAAAGGTCTTTTCCAGCTGGGGTGATTCTGTGATTCTGTGACATTCTGTATCATCCTGTGACATTCTGTGTGATTCTGTGACATTCTGTGACATTCTGTGACATCCTCTGTGATCCTGTGTCATTCTGTGTCATCCTGTGTCATTCCTGGAGCATCCATGGGGGTTTGGAGCTGGATGTGCACTGGGAAGATCAATGGGTGCGTTGCCCATGGGTGTTGTTGTGGGCACACTCACAACCCCACAGTGAAAATCTCTGTTCAGCAGAGCCCTGCTTTTGTGGAGAGGATGATTTCCAACCCAAGAATTTTCCTTCTTAACCCACCCCTCTGGTTCAGGGCTGTGCCAAAGCCCAAGCTTCAATCTGCTGTGGTTTTCATGGCTTGTGTCTGACTTGAAGCGTGTCTCTAACACGCTGGAATTGAAGAATAAGATGGGTTTCTTGGAGAGGATCCAAACTGTCCTCGGGGTGCAATGATGGGAACTGCATCCCAATTAGCAGTGAGGATGGGGCTGATGGATATGTGCAGGCTGGAAGCCAGGGCTGGTTCCTGGGGCTGTGCTCCTGTCCTGCCACATCTCACATGTCCCATGGAGCAGGGGCACAGAGCTTCCTGACCTGGGGGGCTCAGACCCACAAGGAATCTCTTGCCCCAGGGAATCCCTTCAAGGAAAAAAAAAAAAAAAAAAAAGGGGTAAAACCCCCCTTTCTGACCAGTCTCAGAGCCATGAGCAGCGTGATGGTTGTAACCTCCCTTTTTCCTTTTCCTGCTGGAGTGGGGAGTGCCCTGGCTTGGGGAGGGGCTGAGCTGAGGACCCTGGTGTTCCCCACCTGCCCAGGTGAGCTGTAAGGCAGGTACAGGGTGTCCCTGTTACTCTGAGCTCCAGGCTGAGCCCTTCCCTTCCTTCCTCTGCAGAGCCCAGCACATCTTCATCGCAGGGAAATGTGATTTATGCTGCCTGGCATCCTTCCCCACTGCTCATTTTTTAGTTAATTTGTCCCTTTTTGTGGAGTTTGTCAGCTGGCTCTTTTTTTTCTTCCCCAGCAGGTGCCTCTTTAGATTTGTAAAATGTGAATCCAAAGCACTTTGGGATTTCAGTTTTTATTTACTTTACGAAGACCCAACCTGAAAGCCAGGGATTTTCAGCCAAGGTGCCTGTTGGGACAGAGATTTTTAAGGTGCAGAGGTGCACTCTTGAGGGGAAGCACAAGGATGTGATTCAAACAATCTTTGTGGACATGTAGCTTGCAGATTTTCACGTGCACAGGGGCTAAAAGGAGCCAGACTCTCTCTGTGCCCAAACCTGAGCACAGTTTGGGGATTTTCTTTGGGGTATTGTGAGCAAATCCCACTGCCTGTGGAGCCTGGGCCTCTGGAGTGCTGCTCCATGGACCTCTGCTCCTCCATCAGCTCTATCCCTGCCCTCATTCCCCACCTTCCCCCTCCAGATCTGCCTTGAGAAAATGACAATAAATGTTGTTTTTGGGGGTTGGATATTCCTTCCCCCTTGGCCATCAGGGTGAGAGGAGCCACACTCACCAAGTCTGGTGTGCAGTGAGTGCTTGAGGGGCTGATGGGGATGTGTCAGGAGCCCAGAGCAGGGACCCTGCAGGATTATTATGGGATAAGCTTTGAATTAAAATGCAACTTCCACAAACATGTCACTTCATCCCCAGTAATTGCATTTCACTATGATGAATCTTCTGCATCCTTGTTTAACCTCGAAAAGGGCTGATTTTATGTGTTAATTAAGGCCTAATTAAATTTAAATTAAATGCTTATTTGAAACACTTAATTTGACTTGCTACCAGAAATTTCAAATATTGTGGTTTTATTGAAGGGGGAGAGAGATTCCTCTGAGGAAAAATCTATCATTTTTCTGAGCACAATTCATGGCTTTGTGCAGAAGTGTCTGTGACAAGGAAACAGCTGAATTCTTAGTGGGCAACCAGGCTGTCTGCAGGGCACCCAAGCAGGAAACAAATGGGGTTTTAAAAGATTTCAGGTCTGAAAAAAACCCCCAGAATATAAATTTTCCCTAATAACTTTTGCCCTTGATAAGGGATGGCTGAAGTGTGCATTCGCACAAAATTTTTATCCAAACTCCCAGTTGTCCCTAATTACAGAGGATTGCTCCTTGCCATGCTGCTGCTTACAGCACTGGTGATAACCCCAGACTGTGTCAGTGAAATAAATTCTGCCTTCATCTCCAGGAGGGCTGGGAGCACCTGGGAGCGAGGATGGGCTCCAGGAAAGCCCCTGGCAGGAAATTCACCCCAGAAAAGCTGCTGCTGTTTGCTTTGCCCCTTCCTGAGGCAGTAAAGGTTGCTCAGGCTGCAGTGAAAGAAATCAATAACCTATAAAACATTTTGTGCAGCAGTGTGGGGTGATCTGCATTAAATATCACTCCAGCATTGCAAATATTCCCAATATGCTACAGTCTAGAGCAGCACGCAACCTCAGCCTTCTCCTAAAGCAAATGGGAATTTTCCAGAGCTTCCAAATGAGTTTTCTCTCCACGCTCTCCCTTCCTCAAAAGCCCCAGACATGGAGCTGGGAGGGCAGGGGCTCCCTGCAGCAGGCAGAGGGCTGGGCTGAGCACTCATCCCGTCACTCCTGTCCCTGCAGCTGTGCTGGAGAAGCCTCTGGAGAAAAAGGCTGGCAGGAATTACGGCCCCCCGGGCACCAAGAGGCTGGTGTACTTCATGGATGACCTGAACATGCCCCAGGTGGACGCCTACGGCACCGTGCAGCCCCACACCCTGCTCAGGCAGCACCTGGACTACGGCCACTGGTATGAGCTGCTGGGCCCTTGCTCTAGGGTGTTACTGAAAGGTTGGTGCTTCCAGCCCACCCAGGGATGCCAAAACTCTTGGGGACAGCTTGTCGGGACCCCAGCAGTGTGGAAGTTCTCTCCATGGCCCTCTGGAATGTGTCCCATTGTGCTTTCAAGGGTGTTTATTTTCTCTTATCTAAACATTCTTTCTCTGACCTGCTGAGCTCTGCCTAACAAGGAGGCCGTCGCATTCTGCCCTGAGCCTCGGGCGGCTCCCACCTTATAAACTCAAAACTACATGTCTATGTTTACAATTTTGAGTTCCGACACCCAGAGCTTTGCTCCTGTCATCTCCAGGATTTCCCCCAGGAGCAGGGCCCTGTGTGCTGGGCCATCTGCAGACATGCAGCAGTTTCTGTCCCCTGGAGAGGGGCAGAATGTGACCCCCTGAAGCCACAAGGGTCCTGGCAGCCCATAGACATGCTCAGGGGTGTGTGGTGACCATCTGTGGCTTTTGCTGTGCCCCAAGGTACGACAGGAGCCGGCTGTCCCTGAAGGAGATCAGCAATGTGCAGTACGTGTCCTGCATGAACCCGACTGCGGGGAGCTTCACCATCAACCCCCGGCTCCAGGTACAGCCCTGCTCCACGGCCCTCATTTTGGGGTGGGTTCTTCAGGCCCAAGGCTTCAGGAGAACTGTGGCAGATGCTGCTGTTCCTCAATCAGTGGAAACAGCACGGATCTGTGAAGTGACTGTAATTCCTGATGGAATTTCTCCCTTCTTTGGGTTTCCTCTTGTTTTACTGCTCAGTGCGAGGAAGAAGTCACAAGTTCCCAGCCACTCTCAGGAAAACCTGTGGTTCAGACAGGCAGGTTTTACCTTCCTCTAGCTGATATGACTGCTGGACCATAGTTCTTGAAAGTCTTTTGGTGGTCAGGCATTGGAACTTCAGCCCAGGGAAGTGGTGGAGTCACCAACTCTGGATGTGCTCAAAAATGAGTAGATGTGGCACTCCACACTGTGCTCTGGGACTTGTTCAATGGCTGGGCTTGATCTCAGAGGTCTTGTCTAACCTTAAACATTCTATGTTCTCTTCCTCTGCAAGTTCCTCATCAACCAAGGGAGGTGGCACCTTCCAGGGGCTGCTCTGACCAGAGACAGGCCTGGGCTTCACCAGGGCTCTGTGGGACCTTCAGACCATTCAGCTCCTCAGTGGAGTGAGCTTCTCTTGTGAAACACCACTGAAAATCCCTTGTTCAGCCAGCAGAAGGTGTCTCCTGCCAGCTGTCCTCTGCTGGGGAATTGGAGGGGGGACAGAGTTCTGGTGGACTTCCAAGTCATGGGATCATAGAGCATGCCAGGTTGGAAGGGACCTCAAAGGATGATCTGGGCCAAGCTTTCCTGGGAAGTGGAGCCCAGATGAGATTGTTCAGTGCTGTGTCCAACCACAGAAAGGGCACTGACCTGGGAGGTGGTCTCCATCTCTCTGACCTTTCCACCTCTCCCTTTCTCTTCCCCAGCGTCACTTCTGTGTCTTCGCTCTCTCCAACCCTGGCCAGGACTCCTTGTCCAGGATCTACAGCACCATCTTAGTGCAGCACCTGGCCAGTGGGAACTTCTCAGAGGCTGTGCAGAAATCAGCCCAGCAGCTCATTGCCCTGGCCCTGGGGCTGCATCGGAAGGTGGCTGCCACTTTCCTGCCAACAGCTGTCAAGTTCCACTACGTTTTCAACCTCAGAGATTTCTCCAATATCTTCCAAGTAAGTGCAGCTCCTGTCCTGTGGAATTTGGAGTTTGTCACAGGCAGCTGAGGCTCGTCTGGCCCTTGGTGAGCCAAACACAGTGTCCCACTCGGTAATGACACAGGGGGTGAGCTGGGGCCATTCCCTGACTCCTGATTGGTTTTGAGTGGATTCCAGAGCCATCACCCATGACTATTTGCTATTTACTATTTCCAGCTGCCCTGGCCAATGGGGAGGGATGCACAGCTCCAGAAGGAGGTGTAGATTTTGAGGGGTATGAAGGGTTCCATTGGCTGGAGAAAGGGCAAACTGGAGAGAGCTCTGGGCTCCTGAGCCCAGCCCTTGCAGCAGTGGCTGTTGTCAGTGTGCTGAGCTGGGCTGGTTTTGGTGATCCCCACCGCAGTGGTGTGAGTCTGGGGGTCCATGGCACCACCCACCACACTGGGAACTCTTCCTGCAGGGGCAGGGGCTGGATACTCTGTGGGCTGCTGGCCCTGAGCAGAGCACTGCAGTGGCTGGTTCAGCTGCTCTGCCAGTGCCAGGGCAGCTGGTGAGCACCTCCCTGGTGCTCAGCATTGTGCACGCAGGATGGCAGTTCAAGAGCTGATAAATCAATCCAAACCAGCTTTGATTTTACCACTGAAACTGAATTACCAGCCACTGTACCAAAGCAAAATTGTTCAGCTCCAGAAATGTTGTCTTTCATCCTTTGGTGAAATTTTGTTTTTCTGATTTCCCCAGCAGTCTTGTGCTTTGAGGCAGCTGGTGTTACTGCTCAAAGAGCCTTTCAGAGTTTCAGGCTGCTTAATAAAATTGGATAAATTCCTCAGCAGCCAAAGCAAGGGTCAGCACCGTAGCCTGCTCCAAAGCCCCAGCTGGTCATTTGTCACTGTCCTTGTTAACATCTGCTCCACAAAGTGGGGACGTGGAAGTTCAGAGCCTTGTGCCTGCCATCAGGCAGGAGCTGAAGCAGTGACAGACAGGGAAATCTGGGACCAGGACCTTGAAGGAGTGAATAACTCCACTGTGGCAGGAAGGAGTCAGGCCTGTCACTGCGCTCAGCTGAGCATCAGCAGCTCAGACGTGAGATGTGGGTCCTGGTAAATCCTGCCTCCCAGTTCCAGAAATTTCATTAAATGCATGGAATTTCAGCATTTCGGTGGGAGGCTTTGATTTGATCTGCTGAATGTGCCAGGGTTGGGGGTAACAGAAAACATCCTGCCAGATCCAGCTGTGGGCAGAGGGCAGTGACAGGAATGCTCCTCATTCTGCTCTCAAGGGATTCCCCATCCTCTTGGTTTGTCTGTTTCTTTTTAATGTCGGCCCCACCTCCATCCCAGATGCAGTGACCCACAGCCACGTGTCCATTGTGCTTTTGGGGTTCTTTAGATTCAGTCCCTTTAGAGGGTGTGAGTGACCTTTAATTCTCTTCTAACCAGTGTAGGATCTGATGTGTTTTTCCTTCCTCTCTTTGAGTTGTCAGCTTTTCTCACCAATTTTATTTTTTTTTCTGGAATAAATAAAATAATTTGGCAGCTGTAATGACAGATGTGAAACCCAAACAATCTGAGCCATGGACCAGTGAGCTGAGAGGGCCTGCTTTACATTGCTTTCAATGCATTTGATATTTAATGTATAAATAATTAGATGTTAGGAATAAAAGCTGTCTGTTTAATTCATACCATTGAAAACCCTGTGTGCTGTTAATAGGCTTAGTATAGGCGACACCTCTTTGAAATATAATTCTTTTATGCATTTTAATAGAGTTCATGGTAAACATACTGTGCTAAGCAGACAGCAACTGATATTTCCTGCAGGCAGAATGCACCTAATTAGAATTAATTGATTAAAAGAAAAAATAGCCACCAGTAACATTTCCAAACCTTTTTTCCTTCTTGACAAAGCACCCATAGCATGGGGTTGGGATGGGAGAACCACGTGTCTGGGCTGGTGCCTGGCCCTGCAGGGTCCCAAATGCTGAGAGCAGGACCCCAGCCTGGCCAGGGGAGGCGTGGTGGGAATTAAAATGAGTGTAATGAGTGTAAACCTTCAGCAGAATGTGGGAAACAGCCATTCCCAGGGCTGTGGCAGCTGGTTGAGGGAGGTGATTCTGCCCTTCTGTGCTGCTCTGTCAGACCTCACCCAGCTCCAGGCTCCCAGCACCAGGGGACATCCCAGGGAGGACCTGGAGGTGTTGGAGGGAGTTCCAGAGGGACACCAGGATGATCAGAGGGATGGGGCAGCTCTGCTGTGAAGAAAGGCTGGGAGAGCTGGGGGTGTTCAGCCTGAGGATTGCTCTGAAGTGAACTGACTGTGGCCGTTCAGTGCCTGAATGGCCCCAGGAGAGCTGGAGAGGGACTTTGGACATGGGATGGAGGGACAAGGATGGAGGAGAAGGGGGAATGACTTCCTACTGACAAAGAGTAGGCTTGGATGGGATCTTGGGAAGAAATCCTTCCCTGGCAGGGTGGGCAGGCCCTGGCACAGGGTGCCCACCCTGCATCCCTGGCAGTGCCCAAGGCCAGGTTGGATGGGGCTGGGAGCAGCTGGGACAGCGGAAGGTGTCCCTGCCACGGCAGGGGTGGGATGGGATGATCCTTAAGGACCCTTCCAACTCATTATTGAACCCCTTCTGGGTTGAGAAGCAGCTTCGGGAGTTCTGGATGACCAAAAGCCACGTTCCCTGGGGTGTTTGGTGTGGGGTTGCTCAGGTGCAGGTCGCTGTGAGGGGCACTCAGCCTGGTGGGTGCCAGGCTGGATCCCCCAGGGCCCAGCCTGGGTTTCCTGGCTGTCTTTGCTCTCCACAGGGCCTTCTCTTCTCCACCCCTGAATGCCTGAAGCAGCCCCAGGACCTGCTGAAGCTCTACCTGCACGAGTCAAACCGGGTGTACCGGGACAGGATGGTTGAAGAAGTGGACTGGGAAACTTTTGATAAAATCCAGCGGGAGGTGGTGAAGAAATGCTACGACGTAAGTGTGGAGGTCTGACGAGGTCTAATTCTGATGAGAATGGAACAGAATGGATTTATTGGAAGGGAAATCAGTACTGGGGATGTTCCTTTCCCTCTCTTTCACTCCTGTGCCTGTTTCCCCTTTTCCAACACACAGCTGCAACCGTGTGGACGTAAAAAGGCTGGAGCCCCGTGGTTCCCTTGGGAGGTGGCTCAGAGCTGCAGTGGGTTTTCCTGTATTTGTTCTCTACTATTTTATTCTCTTTCACAGGACATTGAGGACACTTTAGAGCAGGCCAAACACATGAATATTTACTGCCATTTTGCCAAAGGCCTCGGGGAGCCTGGCTACAGGCCAGTTCCAAGCTGGGAGGAGCTGAACCAGATCCTCGTGGAAGCCCTGGACAGCTACAACGAAGTCAACGCTGCCATGGACCTGGTGCTGTTTGAGGATGCCATGAGCCACGTGTAAGGGGCTTTTCTGCCTTTTTGCCTCCATCATTTGTCTGTGCAGATGGTTTTGTGGGGTTTCCTGGAGGAATATAAATCCATGTGCTGAGGCAAATAATTTGTAGTTCTGCAGGGCCAAGTGCCAGGTCCTGCACTCTGCATAAACATTTCTCAGATGTGACAACATTCAGGTGATTTTTGCCTTCCCTTGCCAGCCAGGACAGAACTGGTTGTACTGAGGTTTCCCCAAATGCTGACTGCTGGTTTACAGCCACATTTACACAGGCCCTTAGAGGGATTTTGCTCTGTATAAAGTAAGATTATGTGCATTCAGCCTACTACTTTTAAAGGATAGGAGGCATTTAAACTCCTTTGATCCTTTGGAAAACCTGCTTGCATGGAGATGCCTGGAGGTGCAGATGGATTCCAGCTGGAAATTGGACATGTGGGACTATGTGAAAATAAGCCTCCTACTGATTATTATGACGCTGTTTACATGCTTTGGGGGGGGGTTTCCAGCTCTGACACACAGCCTGGGGGAACCCCAGCAGAGCCAGAGTCACTTCTGGGTGCTGGGATGCAGAGCTGGCCTTAGGTGGCTCCAGGAGATGGCGAATCAGAGCTTGCATTTGTACAGAAACCTTGTCCCAGGAGGTGCAGATCTGGGGCTCTGAGCTGGAAGTAAGCTGGAAGGAAACCTGCTGCAGCCAGGGTGGGTGGTTTTAATTCTCAGTGGACCTGGCAGCCTGTTATATATATTGGTATGTATAGAGGAGTAGCATTTACATACGTATATAAATACATAAATATATTTTTATATAAATACATAAATATAAAAATATATAAATATATAAACATATAAATAAATATCTATAGCTATACACAAATATATATATATATATATATATATACAGAAATGTATATATATATACAAGTATATCTATATATGTACACACACACACAAATTTGTCTGTTCCAAGTGCTCCCACCTGCATGGTTGACCACTGGGCTGGGGCAGATTTCCCCTGAAATCTGCTGTCCATGAGTGTCTCTGCATTTCTTGCATTGCTGCAGAATGGTAACAGGAATATTGACCCTGTGCTGCTCTTGCGCTTTACATAAATCAGGATTTGCAATTGGAATTTGCAAACCACGGCACTGAAAATAATGAGGAAAGCAAGATTTGAGCATCCAGCACCACTTCCCAATTTCACTGGAGCTGAGTGAATCTCATTCACTGCATTTGAAAATTGCATTTGGCTGAAATACACAACTTCTTCCATCTCAAACAGCTCCTGAATGTCAGCTTGAATTTGCTGAAGAGTCTCAGTCAGGAGGAAAAAAAGAAGGAAAAAAGACATTTGATGACTTAATATGTGCAGGGCCACGGGGGATACCTGTCAGTCACTCACCCAGGGCTGTGTCACAGCACGGAGCCCTGGGGAGCACATCAAGGCAGGGAGCACAGGCTGAGCTGCTCTGGGTAATTCTGAGCAGGAATGCTAAAGCTCTCCTCACAGTCTGGATTGCTTTTATGGAAGTAATTTCACAGAAATTATTAAATTATCAAAAAAATCAGTCAGAGTCTGTGCATAGATTATAGAATACTAGAGTTGTAATAAAGCAGGGCAGTGTTACTCACAGTCTTAAATGAAAAATAATTAGATTCATCTAGGAAAATAGTGAAGGGAGCTGAATGAAGGAATGGGGCTGGTGTTTCAGACCCAGGATGGTGAGGGTTCCACAGGTGGGATCCTCTGGACCCCCCTCACCCAGTGGGGAACACATGGGGGTGCCAGCATTTGCTTAAAGAGAACAAAAGGGAGGCAGACAGAGTTCACCACAGGACTCTCAGGTGCAGACCTGGGAAATAACAGCGAGATCATTCTAAGAGTGAGAAAATTTCACCATTACATAGGGGTGGTGTGGATAAAAGGAACAGAGATTGTTTTCCAGGCTGGTTTGTGCCCTTCCAGCCAGGTGTGAACGTTCTGTATTTCTCAGCAGGGCTTCTCACCTATGCATGAATCCCAAAGCCTGGAAAAGAGGGACTTTTCTGGGGAGGGGGTCAGAGCCTTGAATTTTGCTCTCAGTTTTTGTATGTCAATGTAACACCTTTTCTCCTTTCACTGCATGCAAGGACAACCAGGGATTTAACATTGTTAAGTCACACTCAAACATTGTTCTGTCCAGCAGGACTTGGCAGGTGGAAAAAAAAGGGGCACATTTTGAACTGCCACCAAACTTTGGGTTTGTTTTTTTTTTTTTATCAGCACCATCCTCTGGACAGGTCTCAGCAGTGAAATGGGGAGAAAAAATTAAAATTTTATAATTTTAATAAAGATTTGTAGGGAATGGTATGTTTATTTATAATGTTGTGGATGTATGTGGGGATTTATTGTTTTTTTAATGGATATGTGTACTTTTGAGAAGTTTTGATTTTTTTCTTACTTTGACTAATTTTTATATGTATAGAATTTTATAATAGGTTTATGTATATTTATTTTGTTGATTTTATGTTATACTTACAGTTAGTTATATTTGTATTTAGTTTTTGTTAGAAAGTATAGAAAGAACTTTCGGGTTCCTTTGTTTTGTCTGTTTTAAGGTCTGAGGAGTTTTTTTTATCTTTTATTTTTTTAGTGTGGAAATTTGTCTTCTTTTTCTTTAGCTGGGGTAATTTTGTTACTGTTGTAGTTATTAGACTAAACAGTATATTTAGTAAGCTGAAAGTAGCACATTTCGCCTAAATCTAAATGGATTTTTACTCCGTTAAATTTTCACTCTGTCTCAGCAGAGATGGGCATTGACTGCTGCCACATCTGCGAGGCTGCTGTTCTTCACCCTGCTCAGAACACAATTTCCTAGTGAATCAAATATGTATTGAAAAGCAGTGGGCAGAGAAATAGCAGAATACTCTTATTAATGAGAGGTTTTGTTGCAGCTGCCGCATCAGCCGCGTCCTGGCGGCGCCGCGGGGGAACGCGCTGCTGGTCGGCGTGGGAGGCACTGGCAAGCAGAGCCTGACCCGCCTGGCCGCCTTCCTCAGCGCCCTGGAGGTCTTCCAGATCACCCTCAGGAAAGGCTACGGCGTCCCCGACCTCAAGGTGGGGGACTGGGAATGGAGGGGAAGGGAAAAAGGGCAGAGCTTGGCCTGGAGGATTGTTGTGTGTGCGTTGGGGGAGAGAATGGGCGAGGATGGCCGTGAGCCCAGGTGTGCCCAGGTGGGCAAGAAGAGGTCAAGGCCACCTGCGCTGACCCAGCTTTGGGGTGGCAGCAGGGCCAGGGCAGTGCCCGTCCCCTGTGCTGGCACTGCTGGGGCACCTCCAGGGCTGGGGCAGCTCTGGGACACTCAGGACAGGAAGGACATGGAGGGGCTGGAGCGTGTCCAGGGAAGGGAATGGAGCTCCAGGAGAGGCTGAGGGAGCTGGGAAGGGGCTAGAGAGCTCCTGAGGGAGCTGGGAAGGGGTTCAGCCTGGAGAAAAGGAGCTCAGGGGGACCTTGTGGCTCTGCACAGCTCCTGACAGGAGGGGACAGCCGGGGGGTCGGGCTCCGCTCCAGGGAACAGGGACAGGAGGAGAGGGAATGGCCTCAGGCTGGGCCAGGGCAGGCTCAGGGTGGATATTAGGGAATATTTCTTCACTGAAAGTGCTGTCGAGCCCTGGCACAGCTGCCCAGGGAGGTGGTGAAATGCCCACCCTTGGAGGGATTTATAAGCCACGTGGATGTGGCACTTGGGGACATGGGTTAGCGGTGGCTTTGGCCACTCTGGGGGAACAGTTGGATGTCCTTAGAGGGCTTTTTTAACCGAAATGAGATACTGAAACACCCCAGACACGCCATGGTGCTGTGGAGAGAAGCAAATGCCGCGCTGGAGTGTGTCTGCCCAGGGCTGCAGCCACACCTGGGCTCTCCTGGCAGTGCCCTGAGCTGTGCTGGTGCTCTCAGCACAGACTGGGCAGGTTCTGGAGGATCCCATTCCTGTGCCTGGCCCCTGCGAGCTCTCCTGGTGTCCCACCTGCAGGCAGACCTGGCAAACCTGTACCTGAAGGCCGGGCTGAAGAGCGTGGGCTCCGTGTTCCTGCTGAGCGACGCGCAGGTGGCAGATGAGCAGTTCCTGGTGCTGGTCAACGACTTCTTGGCATCAGGTACAGCCCTTGGGCTCTGCTTTTCTCCCTCCTGGGGAGTTTTGCTCCTGGCAACACCTGGAATAGACAAAGGGGCAGTGATGGAATGTGCTGGAAGTTACTTTTCCTAGTGAATAAAATATGAGGTTGAGCTCCAGAGTTAAAGGCGTGCTGAGGCCTCCCTGGGGAGGGACATTCCATCAGCTGGGAGATTTCTTGTCTTTCCCTCATGTCTTGCACCCATTTTTCCATATGGCATGGGATTCTGCCGTAGTTGTTAATAGATAGTTGTTACGGGATGTATCTGTTGGGGTGTTGCAGCTGGGGACAAAGACAAGGGTGAGGAGTTTCACCCGTGGATCTCATGCATCCACCTCAGAAATTTGCAACTTGTAAAATGTTTGGATGGTCTGGGAGTTATTTGGCCACTGTTAGAAATGGTCCTGAACAGCTGCAAAAATTTTACAGGTAATTAATGAATTTGCAAAACTACAATGATTTTGCAATATGTATGGCATATTAGGGATTTGAATTTTTTTTAATCTAATTTGAGTGCACAGCTACAAAAATTAGATTTTCTGTACTTTGACTCTATTCTATCTTCCTTTCCCTTGTGTTTTATGAGGAAGTTTGCTCTCACAGATGTTTATTTTTCAGCAGAATGACCTCCTGTGCCCCTTTGCTGCTCCTGCCCAGGGGATCCTGGTGCAGGGGTTTTACCTGAGGAGGGGAACAGCAGCTTCCCTTTGCTCTGGGACTACAGCAACATCCTGACATGTAAACCCAAGTGTGCCCTCCTCTCCTAGGGGAAATCCCAGATCTCTTCCCTGATGATGAAGTGGAAAACATCATCAGCAGTGTGAGGAACGAAGTCAGAGGCCAGGGGCTGGTGGATTCCAGGGAGAATTGCTGGAGGTTTTTCATCGAGCGAGTCCGACGGCAGCTGAAGGTGAGATGGAGCACGAGGGGTTGGTGCTAAATGATTTTTTGCCTTTTCCCTTTCATAGATTCTCTGTGTTCTTTACACACATATTTGTAGCCTGTTATTGTACTAGTTCCAGTACTTTTCCCTACCTTTCCCTAGCCAGAAAGAGAAAATTCCAGAGCTCCAAGCCCCAGGGGGTACAAGGCCTCTATCCTATCTTGGTTTTTCTGGGAACCAAGGCCAAAAACAGCTCTTTGAGACATATTTTCATAAACAAAGTTTAGTTTCCATCTGTGGTCCATTTGCATATTGGAGGTAATTGTCCTATTACAGTTTTGGGTTATGAAGTCCCATCCTTATTTTTCTCTCTTCAGTTCATGTTGTTTGTGCTCTTGAGATCTGGATCATTTGTCCTGAGATTTGGATAATCTGTCCTTGGTCCCCAGCTAGAGAAGAAATTGTTTTGCCTCCTATTGTGGGAATCCAGAACTCCTGAACAACTGACTAACATGATCAAGCAGAGGTCATTTATTGTTTACATTATACAGATATTTATAGACTCCACAAACTAATAAGCACACACTTCTTGATTGGTGTCTTTGTCTTGTTCGCTCATTTTCTGCCTGCATTTCTCAGAGTGTGTGATTGGTTACAGTCCAGGTGTTTCACAGTCCTCTGTTACCCAGTCCTTGCAGTCGTGGTATTTGGTTTCTCAGCCTCTTTTTTCTTAATTTATCACAATTTATGTTCCAATAGCCTTGATGAATTCCTGAGGCTTTGATGACAAGCTTCAAGCAGGCTGGCTGCTGCACACTATGGCCTAACCCCTGCAAATACATTGCAACGAGCTCCCTGCCCTGTGCAGAGAGCTCGCCAGCACTTCAAACGAAGCTCAGAACTGCACACCAAAGCAACACAGAATCTAAAACTTAAGGCATCAAAGGGGTCATGTGCTGCTGCAGGTCCTCAGCTGGATAATAATTAGTGTTGATTCCACTGATTGTAGAAAGCTGATCAATTGCTTTATTGTATTATCTTATCATATATTCTATTATGCTTCTATTACACTAGTAAGAGCTCCCACTAACTCAAAAACCCATGACTCTCTCTCCTGAGAGTCCCAACACAGCTGTGGGTCCAATAGGTCAGTGAATCTAAAACACTATTACCGGAATCTAATCAAGCAATCACCTTGGGTAAACAATCTCTAGAACACATTCTACATGGGCACAAACACATGAGCAGAAAGAGATAATAATTGTTTGAATTATTTTGTCACTATTGGACACAAAATGAGAACACAGAGGCTTGGTGAGTTCAAGAGAGAAAAAGAGCCAATTTTATTTCTGACCTCACAATATATAGACTTCCAAAAGTGACAGTGGATTGGAGGGTGCAATTGCCACCTCTTCAACCACACTGGTCAAACCAAAAGCCCATCAATTCTCTCCTCCTACAAAGAAGGATGAAAAACAATCATTATTTATATGAACATGCGTGAGAGCTCCAGTAAAAATATGTAAACATTATGAGAAGGCTGAAGAAGTTTTATGAGAACTTTAAAACTTTCAAAAGAACTAGAAAAGAAAACTTAACACTTTTAAAAATCAGGCCAACATTCTTTCTCTTAACTTCCTCAGGCTGAAGCCTGAGCGAATTCTCTGTGTTCTCTCTTTGGCTGAAGTGAGAGCTTCTGCAGTCGTGGAGCCCGAGGTGGGCTCCGGGGAGATGCTGCTGTCCCTGCCCTGTTCCCTGTGCTGGTGCTGCTGTCCCTGCCCAGCTCCCCGTGCCCTCTCCTCCTCTTGCAGGTCGCTCTGTGCCTGTCCCCCGTGGGCCCCAAGCTGCGCCTCCGCAGCCGCCGCTTCCCGGCGCTGGCCGGCTGCACCACCATGGATTGCTTCCAGCCGTGGCCCCGGGAGGCCCTGGAGTCCGTCAGCCTCCGCTTCCTGCGGGACATGGGCACGCTGCAGGTGAGCAGCCAGCATGGGTCCTGCTGGGGACGCTGGGGACAGCGCTGGGCACCGCCAGCAGCGGCCCCGAGTCGCTCGCGCCGTCGCTGGGAGGGTTGGGTTTGTCCCTCTTGAGGTAGGGATGGGGATGAAGAGACTCCAGAAGGCAAAAGGAGTGTTTATTCAAAAGCACTTCTCTCTTTTATGGAGAACACCATGAACATTAATTTCATTGCTCTTAGAGTGAAAACATTTCACCTGATTGTACACTGGACTTAGGTCAGTGTGGCAGAACATATCTATAAACAATATGAACAGAAAGCAAGATAACAGATGGTTTACATTCCTCCCAGACTTCTTCCCAGGCTTAGTCTGGCAGAAACCTTTCTCTTTTCTCTCCAACTGAACTGAGAATATCCACATGGCTTGGCCTCCAACACATCCAGGTGGCACTGGTGATGTCCAGAGGGGCATCACTGGGGGCACTGAAGTGCTCTGAGCTCAACCAAATCATCATTGAAACGCACTCCACATTTTTTTGGAGAGGACCATGGACCAGCAGAGCTATGGGCACTACATTCCTGTGTCACTGGGAACTGCTGAGGTGTTACTGGGAGCTGCTGGGGTGTTACTGGGAGCTGCTGATGTCTTACTGGGAGTTGCTGATGTCTTACTGGGAGCTGCTGAGGTGTCACTGGGAGCTGCTGGCACTGTCAGGGAAAGGATGGCTCTGCCAGCACAAGGGCAGCCCCAAACCTGCACAGAAAATAACCTGCTGCTCTCCCCAGCTGTGTCTGAACCTCTGGAAATCTCAAGGGCAAAAACAGGTCAAGTTCTCAGTGATGGCAATCTGCTACTAGAATAGAGATTTGTTTCTGTTTATTTAGCTTTCCCGGGCAGGGTTTAGGAAGAATAAAGCCTACAATGTTTCTTTTTAGGAGTGTGCACTTTTCCCATTTATACAGGAGAAAAGCTCAAAATTATACTTAAAAGAGCTGTTATTTTGTAGAAAAATTGCTTGGAATAAGATAATGTGTGAGATAAAAAGATATAAAAAAGAGGTATAAAGTACATGAGCAGCAAAGTTATTTTAGAGATAACAGTGAAAAGGGATCAGCTCAGGTGTTACACCCTGGATTGTGCTGCAGCAGAATCAAAAGTTACCAAATTCCTTTATATTCAGCACAGACCTGTGTTTATATATAGTTTTCTATTTAAAACAGTTTCTCCTCATCTTCCCATCTTACCTTCAGGATTCAGTCAAGGATTCAATAAGCAAATTCATGGCCCACGTGCACATCAGTGTCAACGAGGTGTCCCGGCTGTACCTCAGCAACGAGCGCCGCTACAACTACACCACCCCCAAGTCCTTCCTGGAGCAAATCAAACTCTACCAGAACCTGCTGCTGGAAAAGGACAGGGACCTAAAGGCAAAAATGGAGCGCCTGGAGAACGGCCTGGAGAAGCTCAAGAGCACTTCTGCCCAGGTAAAGACTCCTTGGGTTGGTTTTCTTTGTTTTTTCTTGTCTGGCTCGAGGGAGAGCTTTACAGGGAAGAAATTTGGGCTGGATCGTGGCTCTAGCCTGGCTTCAGCTGAGTTACTGGAGGAGCAGAAGTGATCCTCTGCACTGGAAAGGAGAATGGAGAGGTGTGTGCCCAGTCTCTGCTGCTTGGGAGGTAACTGAAAGGTTTCGGTAAGTAAAATGAGATTGGGATCCAGCTGGCTCTGCCATCCTCTTTTAGTGGTTAAATTTCAGCTGTGGTGACAAAACAGCTTAGAAAATACAGGACAGTCAGTGATTTTTGGAGTTGCATCCAGGAAATCTACAATAACCTCAGAAAGACTCTTTCAAACTAAAGAGTGCACGCTGTTAAAATGAGGCTGATGTTCATTTTCCCTTCCATTATGGCATCCATCTTTAAGGAAGGCTAATACATGTCTGAAATGCACATCAGTCATCCCAAAATCCCCCAGGTAAAGACTCCTGCTGGCACTCTCCTCTGGTAGTGATTAGAAGTTGTTCTGGGTGTTTCCCAACCCTCTCTGCAGTGACACCTACATCTGTTGCTACACTCCCATTCTGCTCTCTGTTTCATATTCTATTAACTCTTACAAATGTTCACTCAAAAAGCTTCTCCGGTGGCAAATGAGGCTCTCCTGGAGCTGCTCTGCAGGAATGCAGGGGGGTTGGTGAGAAGGAAGGACTGGCAGGTCCATCCCCTTCCACACCTCTGCTCTGGGGTGTCCTGGGGGCAATAATCAGGTCTGTTGTGCTCCAGGGGATGCAGCCTGTCTGGAGGTGATGGATGGGCTGGGCTGGTGCTCTCGGGGCTGATATCTCCATCTCCCTTCAAACAGACTCCTCCATCTCCCTTCAAACAGCCTCCTCCATGGAGCAGGACACGAAGGGGTTGAAACACAGACAAAAAATAAAAACCCCACAATTCCTAAAAAGATTTGTAGGGGCAGTATGTTTATTACAGCACTGGAAAGATCCCGTGTGAGGGATCTCTCCCCTTCAAAGGACATGCCTGCCCCTGAGAACTCCGGATCCTTTTTTATTGCTCTTAACTCATTTACATATACATAAAATTTCACAATAGGTTCATGCATATTAATTCTACTAATTTCACATTACATTAGTGGTGGGGGACTTGGAGGCAATGGGAAGGATGAGAAAATCCAATCACAACGAGGATGAAAGAGCACAATGCTGGTGTCTGGTTGCAGTGAGGCTGGGCTCAGAGGTGCCTCCTTGAGAAGGTGCTTAAGATGCAGAGCAGTGAGGACAAAACATGTCAAATTTAAGTCTAAAATTAGCACTGGGGGCCTAAAATTAAACACCTAAATTACCAGATGTGCGCAATAGTCAAAACTGCTGTTGATTTGAAAGCAGAGTGTGGATATTTATCAGTATTGGAAATCATACCAGCATGCTCTATCTTGAACATGGGTTTAAATGGCTGAACTTTGCACTCACCCATGGAAATCCTTGGTCTTGGGGCTGAGGAAGTGAAGAGTTCTCTCCCTCACTCAGGTGTGTCACCTGCGGGTTGTGCTTGGGAGCGATGTGCTGGGGGGTATTTTCAAAGCAAAGGTGGGGGATTTTGATCCCTGGGTATCACCAGGGATGCAGCTCTGGGATCTGATGCTCATCGCTGGCATTCTCCCAGCTGAGGATGAGGTTTGTGTATTTCTGTAGGCTCAGAGTGGCTGTTATATCAGGAGCTGCAGGTATTTCTTACTCAAAATAACCTCTCTGCCTCCTTTCACTGTGGTCCACTCTACCTCTAGCCCCCCTTTTTTTTTTCTTTCCTGTGGAGATTTGGACACCTCGATGCTGTTGACCAACTGTGCTCCTCCAGCAATGTTTTACAGCCACCTCTCCCTGCGGACATCCTCAGCACTCAGGGAAGCTGAAGCCTCCTTCCCGTTAGGAGATAATGGATTGGGAAGATGTGTGGGATGAGTCATTTGTTTTTCAGAGTGCTGTGTGCCACCGAGAGGTCAGCACCCATTGCTGAGTAATTCTGAGGCTGGCTGTGGTTAATATTGCATCACTGGATTCCAGTTCAAGCCTGGCTGCCGCTATCAATTAATTGCTGACCTTTTGATATATTTTGTGTTCTTGAAACTAGGCAGGGACAATCAGATAAAATGAGTCTTCTGGGAGCCTGCCCTCCAGGTTTTCTTCTCTTCAATAATTTTTCTCATGCTGTTCTGGTGGTAGGCAAGGGCTTCTCCCTTCCTTTCCCTGATGAAGTCACAGCACATTACCCTTGAATTTCTCATTTGCTTTGCTCTTTCCCTTTCCACCTCACATTACTAATTGCTCATCAGATTGTTCTGCACTCAGGAAGCTGTTTACAGGTTTCTCACAGAATCACAGAATTCTTTGGGTTGGAAGGAATCTTAAAAGAATCTTAAATCATCTCATCCCAACCCTGCCATGGCAGGGACACCTCCCACTGTCCCAGGCTGCTCCAAGCCCCATCCAGCCTGGCCTTGGGCACTGCCAGGGATCCAGGGCACCCTGTGCCAGGGCCTGCCCACCCTCACAGAGAAGGATTCCTTCCTGACAGCCAACCTAACCCTGCCCTCCTTCAGTCTGAAGTCATCCTCCCTTGTCCTGTCACTGCAGGCCTTTGCAAACAGTCCCTCTCCAGCATTCCTGCTTTTTTAAAACCCTGACAAAATATTTCCCCTTCCATTGTGCGTGTGCTTGGCAGGGCATTGTCTGTTCCCCGGGGCTGAGCTTACACCCGCTCTTCGTGCCGCTGAGTGCCCGTGGATTTTAATCCCCTGCTTGTTTTGTCCTGGCTGTAAAGCCCTGAGCTGCTGTGTGTGTGTGTGTGTGTGTGTGTATCCAGCACACAAAAGCAAATTTCTGGGCAGAAGGTCACAGCTATATCAGCCATCAGCAGAGCCCACTTCAATTTCCTGCAGCCCCCAGAGGCTCGGGGCTGAACAAGGAGCTGCTGCTGGGTTTGTCACACCAAGGGATTACGTGAGCCTGGATTTACAGCTGTGCCTTTGTCCTGGTGAGAGCAGTCCCACTGGGCCAGGCAGCAGGGGATGGTGATGGATGGAGGGCGTGTGGAGAGCTCTGAAAAACTGCTCTCCACGTGGAGCCAGTGCCAAATGTCAACAGCTTCAGTTCATGGATTGCAGGCTGTGCTCTCCCTTCTGGTATCAAAATGGGTATCGCCAAAACCAGTGGCTGGCTTCCCTTCCTGTCAGTATTTTTGTGTGGGGAAAGATGTACCCCAGGAGCTCCAAGTGAACCTTTATGGGCCTGAGATCAGGCAGTGAAAGCCACCGAGGTCTGCCCAGAGTCTGGGTAAATTCACTGAAATGGGGATTTTAACAGGTTTTCTGTCTGCAAGTGAGAGCCTGGATGAGCTTCCCCCATGCAAACACTGGTGAGGGCTCCTGTGTGTGAGCAGGGGGTGAGGAATTGCCACCACAGCCATGCTGGTGGCCTCCTGGCTGCCACCTCAAGGGGATGTCCCTTCTCAGGCTCATCTACATCACATTTAAAGCCCCTTGACCCTCAGAGCTCTGGATCTGTCAGCAGAACCCAACTGCGATCTTTGTGGGGTGCAAATGATATTAGGAAGTACACCCAAGGTGGACTCAGAGTCAGGAGTTCTCACACTTTGATGAGTTCTGGGCCATTCCCACATCGGGGTTCAGTGCCCAGTTCCAGCTCCAGGTGCTGCAGTCCCACCCTCCCAGGCTGCTCTCCTCCATTCCCTGCTGGCTGCACTTTTTGGGGCTGGAGCTGCAGCGTGTCCTTGGTTCTGGGGCTGGCAAAGGATTGTTGTGTGTGCCTGAGCTGTGAGGAGAGCTGCTGGCACTTTGTGTGCAGCTCAGAGTTATTTCCCAGTGCAGTGCAGAGCTGGGAAATGTGAAAGCTCAGGTGAAGGCATCAGCAGGACTCTGCTGGCAGGCAGGGCAGCCCAGGTCCCACGGAGCTCTGCCCTGCAGGTGGATGAGCTGAAGGCCAAGCTGGCAGCCCAGGAGGTGGAGCTGAAGCAGAAGAAGGAGGATGCTGACAAGCTGATCCAGGTGGTGGGGGTGGAGACGGAGAAGGTGAGCAGGAAGAAGGCGGTGGCTGACGAGGAGGAGAGGAAGGTGGCCCTCATCGCCCAGGAGGTGGAGCAGAAGCAGAAGGACTGTGAGGAGGACCTGGCCAAGGCTGAGCCTGCCCTGGAAGCGGCCCAGGCTGCTCTCAACACCCTCAACAAGGTAGGGTGAGGATTCCCAGTGCTTTTCCTCCTCACTGGGGGAGAGGGGCTGTGTCATCTGATGGCCCAAGTTTTGCGCATCGTATTGTCCCTCCTCCAGCTTCCTCCCTGCAGGTGCTAAAGAGTGTAAAAAAGATTGGATGTGGCACTCTGTGACATGCTTTAGTTGACAAGGTGGTGTTTGGTCACAGATTGGACTTGATGATCTCAAAGGTCTTTTCCAAGCTGGTTAATCCTGTGATTCTGGGGTTCCTGGTGGAACCTGGAGCACCCACAAGGATGCACCATGTTCCTCTTCACTCATTGCAGTAGAGAGGAGCAGACAAAGCTGGTCCAGAGGCAGATATCACTGGGAAAATGCGTGATCAGAAGATAAGCATTGCTCTGATTGCAGGAGATTGGTTTTGGGAGGAGTTTTTGTGCCTTGGAAGGTTTGTCCTCCAGGGGTTCCCATCCGATGTGGCACTTGGTGCCATGGTTTAGTAAACGAGGTGGTGTTGCGTCACAGGTTGGACTTGATGATCTCAAAGGTCTTTTCCAACCTGGTTAATTCTGTGGTTCTGTGACGTGCCTGAGAGATGGCCCTGCAATCTCCCTGCAATTTGTTTTGGTCTGCAGTTCATGCATTGTGTGATAGTGAGTTGGAAAACTTGGCAAGTCAGGAGCTGGAGACAAAAATGCCTTTTGGTTCCCCCAGTTCAGTTTGGCTGCTTGCCCTGTGAGGGTGCCTGGGCTTTCTCAGCAGCTGCATTCCCTGAACCCTGAGGGCTGCAGGATGTGGGAATCAGAGGATGGATTCGGCATTGGCATCTCAGTGTGGGTAGGAGGGAGCATGAAGGGAAACTCTGAAGGTTGTTTTAAAGGGCCTGAGCATTATTTGTGTAGGTTTCATTGTTATTTATCCCAATCTTCTGAGAGGACAAAAAGCCTCCTGCTCCCCCAGGACGTGGGGAGGAGCAGTGTGCTGTGCTGGTCCCAGCTGGATGTCAGGAGCAGGGAGTGGAGCAGGTGTGCTGCAAACACGCAGAGCAGTGATCTAAAGGCAGCACTGCTGGGGCCCAGAGGAGCCCAATTTATCAGATTGATAGCCTGGGAGCCGGGCTCTATTAGTGGCAGAGTGAAAAGAAAGCCCATTCATTTCTACCTAACAACCTTGTTTTCCCCTTTTCAGACCAATCTGACAGAGCTGAGGTCCTTTGGGTCACCTCCTTCTGCTGTCAGCAACGTCACGGCGGCCGTGATGGTGCTGACGGCCCCGGGAGGGAAGATCCCCAAGGACAGGAGCTGGAAAGCAGCCAGAGTGGCCATGGCAAGAGTAGACAGCTTCCTGGACTCCTTGATCAAGTTCAACAAGGAGAACATCCACGAGAACTGCCTCAGAGCCCTCCAGCCCTACCTGCAAGACCCCAGGTTCAACCCCGAGTCCGTGGCCACCAAGTCGGCGGCGGCGGCCGGGCTGTGCTCGTGGGTGCTGAACATCGCGCGCTTCCACCGTGTCTTCTGCGAGGTGCAGCCCAAGAGGCAGGCCCTGGAAAGGGCCAACGCCGAGCTGGCAGCAGCCCAGGACAAGCTGGCCACTGTCAAGGCCAAAATCGCCGTGAGTGACCCTGGGGGGACCCGTCCTGCTTGTCCCTGCCCGGGGGAATCCTGGGCTTTGGCAGAGCTGCCGCTCGGTGCTCGTGTTCTAAAGCAGGGGTGGGAATCCAGAGCTTTGGGGGCTGTGGGGTTTTCTCTCCCTCCTGGTGCACTGGCAGCCCCGAAATCCAGCCCTGTGCTGGGCTGAGCCCCAGGGTGGGCAGCGGGGAGGGGAGGGGGATTCTGCCCCTCTGCCCCTCTGCCCAGGTCAGACCCCACCTGCAGAGCTGCCCCAGCACAGGAGGAGCTGGAGCTGCTGCAGAGAGCCCAGAGGAGCCCGTGGAGATGGTCCAAGGGCTGGAGCCCCTCTGGAGCCAGGCTGGGAGAGCTGGGGGTGCTCACCTGGAGAAGGGAAGGCTCCAGGGAAACCTCAGAGCCCCTTCCAGGGCCTGAAGGAGCTCCAGGAGAACTAGAGAGGGACTGGGGACAAGGCATGGAGGAACAGGACCCAGGGAATGGCTCCCACTGCCAGAGGGCAGGGATGGATGGGATATTGAGAATTAAGAATTGTCCCCTTGAGGGTGGGCAGCCCTGGCACAGGGTGCCAGAGCAGCTGTGGCTGCCCCTGCATCCCTGGCAGTGCCCAAGGCCAGGTTGGACACTGAGGCTGGGAACACCCTGGGACAGTGGGAGGTGTCCCTGCCATGGCAGGGGGTGGAAAAGGTCTTTAAGATCCTTTCCAACCCAAAGAATTCTGTGATTCTGTGACAGAATATTGCTGCTTTCTCAATTTCTTCTGTTCTTCTCCAGCCTTGCTTGCACCCAAAGAGAAAGGCTAAATATGAATCCTTGTTATTCCCACCTAATTTTTTTCTGTAATTTACCTCTTCTCCTGGGCCCTCAGAAAACTCATTACCTCAGACCAGTGAGTTCCCAGTGTGCTGCACAGGGCAGGGGATGGGAACTGGAGGCTGATTCAGTGCTGGGAGCACAGAGCTGGGCTGGCTGCACACTCAGTCCCTGGTTTTGCAGGATGACAACTGCTCTTGCAGGAGCCTCATTTGTCACGGCACAGCTCCCTGGCAGCACATCTTGGATGTTATTTGGATTTTTCCTACTTAAAAAGAAAAAAAAATTTAAAAAAAATCTCTGAATAGAAGAAATTACAGCGTGATTAAAAGTGCATTTCCACAGAGTGTAGAGTGAGACCTTTATCATTTTCCTTCAGAAAATTATCTCTATGTAAAAACACATCCTGCTTTATCCTGCTTTCCTCCCTTCTCCCTCCCAGCACAATACCTGCTAAGAACAGGGTGTGGGAAGCAGCTGCTCCAGAAGCTGCCTGGTTTTAGGGTGTTTTGGGATCTCTCCTTGGGATTTCTCCTGGTTTTAGGGTGTTTTGGGATCTCTCCTTGGGATTTCTCCTGGTTTTAGGGTGTTTTGGGATCTCTCCTTGGGATTTCTCCTGGTTTTAGGGTGTTTTGGGATCCCCTCTGTGGCTGAGCTGTCCCAGTGAGTGAGGCCCCTCTGCTCCCCTCACCCCCTCCACCAGCACCTCACCCTGTTAGAAAACACGTCACTCCCTTGATGCTTTCAAGGCCTTATCATTCTTAAAATGCTTACTACACTTTTTAACTAAAAATACAAGCAAACGGCGCAGAACTCTCCACAGCCCCTTCCTGCTGCAGATGAAAGGAGGCACCTGAAGCAGGGATGGATTTAGAGGGCTTTGGTGTCTAATTCTCCCACCTCAGATGTGCCATACAGTGCTAAGGAACTTTTTTCATCCCTTTATGCTGCTCTTCTCCAAAGCTTTTTTATGCCTGGGCTTTTTTTTTTCTTTCTTCCTTTTTTTTTTTTTTAACCAAAGGAGTGGGATTTTATTAAAGAAAATTGCAATCTTTGGGGGGATTACTGCTGCTCCTCTGAAATCTGCCTGGTTTAGGGGCCTTCTCCTCTCTGCAGGTGGGGATGGATGTGGAGGTATCTCCTTACTTATCTGGCATCTCTTGGATCTCTTCACTGCTGGCTGCTGATTCATACCTGCTCACAGCTGTGCCCCAAGCTGTCTCACACTCATTTTTATTAATAAATGAGAAAATTCCCATTGTCCAAAACATTAAGGACTTTTTGTCTTTTTGCCTTGCCTGGGAACTGAGTGCTCTGCACCTGGGGCTGCTGGAGGTAGGAGTGAAAGGTGCAGCCACAGCTGCACACAGCTGTATTTGTGTGCCCCTGGTGGGGCCCTGCAGACCAGATATATGCACATATTCTACAGAAACTCGATTATCAGCTCGTACTTTTATAGTGGAATATGATATACATGAGCCTTTGCAGGCTGATAGATCCACAAACACACAGGGACAGAAACTTTTTGTGTTATTGTTCCAAGGAAGGTCAAGGACAGGCTGCTTTGTGTTTGCCAGAATCCAGGAGAGCTGCAGAGATCTCTAATATAATCCTTTTTCATTTTCAGGTTTGTTTCTAGTGTGTAGCTCAATGTTAAAGTGATTTACAAGCAGTTTAGCCTTAAGCAGTCAGCATTGGGTGCAGATAAAATCAATTATTACTTTTCTTATCAGAAGTGAAATGCTCCAAGTGCTTGTGGGAGCTGCTGGCTTGGTTTAGATCCGAGTGTGAAGAGCTCTGTCCAAGAGCAGGGCTCTCCAGTTTTTCCTGCAGGTGCTTTGGCCTCCTCCTGCCCCTCCCAGCCCTGCCCTGCCCCACCTCACTGGGGGCTCCTTGCATGCTCCTGGGCAGCTCTCGGGGCAGAACCATTTCCTTCCCTTGTTATATTGCTGGAAACAGTGTGAGGGCACGATTTGGAGAGGGTTCAGGCAGAACTGCAGGAGCCCCTTGGGGATTTGAGCACAACCCAGCAGAGCCTCAAGGACTGCTCGGAGACCAGGGGCTGTAGCATCAGGAAATGCCAGATTTGGGTTCCTCAGCCATAGCACTCATCATCAGGGCTCAGCAAGCAACCCCAAATAAATTAACTTTGTGTGTCCTTTGCCTCTGCCTGTGCCGAGGGTGTGAGTTCCAAGCAGTGGCACAGCCCTGGTGGATGAGCTGGGCTGGAGCTCGGCCAGCTCTGGACAAGGGTTTGCCTCAGGATCACAGGGTCCCAGGATGGTTTGGGCTGGGAAGGATAACAAAGCTCATCCAGTGTCACTTCTGCCATGGCAGGGACACTTTCCACTGCCCCAGGGGCTCCCAGCCCTGTCCAGCCTGGCTTTGGGCACTGCCAGGGATGCAGGGGCAGCCCCAGCTGCTCTGGGCACTCTGTGCCCAGGGAACAATCCCCAATTCCCAATCTCCCATCCAGCCCTGCCCTCTGGCAGTGGGAGCCATTCCCTGTGTCCTGTCCCTCTATCCTTGTCCCCAGTCCCTCTCCAGCTCTCCTGGAGCCCCTTCAGCCCCTGGAAGGAGCTCTGAGCTCTCCCTGGAGCCTTCCCTTCTCCAGGCTGGACATCCCCAGCTCTCTCAGTCTCCAGAGCAGAGGGGTCCAGCCCTTGGAGTGTTTTCATGGCCTTTTGGCCTCCTCCCACAGCTCCAGCTCCTCCCTGGGCTGCTAAATCCTTGCTGTTCCTGACTCCCTCCTGTTTTTCACCTGCAGCGCCTCAACGAGAACCTGGGCAAGCTGACGGCCAGGTTTGAGAAGGCCACGTCAGACAAACTCAGGTGCCAGCAGGAAGCTGAAGCCACAGCCTGCACCATCAGCCTGGCCAACCGCCTGGTGAGTGCCAGCAAGGGCAGCTCTGGTGGCACCAGGGCTGGGCTGAGCCCTGTGCATGCAGCACCTGCCATCCTCTCATGGTTTTGGGAATGTCTCCTGCACTGCAGCAACTTTCAGCAGTGAAAATGCTTTTACAGAGGTTGTTTCCATGAGGTTGTGGCAGAATGTTTTCTCTTTCTCAAAAAAAAAAAAAACAAAAACCAAAACCAGGAGAGGCAGCTGCAGAAAGTGCTGTTGTATTCCAGAAGGTTTGGGGCAGCTCTGCTCGTTAAAGTGCCTGGCTCTGCTGCCACCACAACTCTCAGCTCCTTCCTGGAGCTTCAATGTGTGAGCAGGTACTGATGGGCCAAAAGGATGTGAGTCAAAAATGGTATCATAAAAACAAAGGTGTGAACACGCCCGTAGCTTTGCAGGGTCTGAAATGACAAGAATTAGAGAGAAAAGATCTCAAAAATCCTCAGTCTCCTCTGAGTCAGAATACCAAGGTGTTTAGAGAGGGGCCTATGAGGAGCTGGAGAGGGATTTTGCATCAGGAACTGTAGTGGCAGGACAAGGAGAATGGGTTCAGACTGACAGAGGGGAAATTTAGTTTAGATATATGGAAAAAATCCTTCCCTGTGAGGGTGGGCAGCCCTGGCACAGGTGCCCAGAGCAGCTGTGGCTGCCCCTGGATCCCTGGCAGTGCCCAGGCCAGGCTGGACAGGGCTGGGAGCACCTGGGGCAGTGGGAGGTGTCCCTGCCATGGCAGGGGGGGCACTGGGTGGGGTGTTAGATCCCTTCCAACCCCATCCATCCCATGGTTCTGTGATTCTGTGACACCACATCCCAGGCCATGCTGGTTACGTCCGTTCCCCACCCCATGACGTGGGAACAGCTCCCAGTCTCAGTTCTGTGATTTTATTCTGTCAACAATTCATCATTTCTGCAGTGTAGGCAAGGAACTGCGTGCATCCCAATGTCCTGCTGTGCCCTGCACACCATCTCCTGTGTCATCCTGCCTTTGATCTGGGAGCAGGACCTGACAGCCCTCGCTGATGTGCGGCTCATTTGGCATTCAGGAGGTGCCACTGGTGTGGCTGTGGGTAGAAATGAGCTCCCAGACTTTGCAACAAGCACGGCTGAGGTTGTGTAAAGGATGCAGAGTGTGGGGAGCGATGCTTTGGACTGACAAACGAGCCTGGGGGATTGAGGCAAGCCCGGCTCTCACAGTGCCACACTGGCATCTCATCGGCTTCAGGTGGCCTCAGCAAGGGGCTCCAGGATCCAGGGGACAGGATCTGTGTGCCAGAAAGGGAGGCTGGCTGCTGAGTGGTGGCTGTGAGTGGGTGGGTGATAATGCAGGGGAGGAAATCTAGTGATGACAAATGCTAAATAACGTGTGCAGGGAAAACAAACTGTAATCATGCAGTTACACGGATAAGGCCTAATTGCACCATTATCACTCACAGAAGAGCTCTTGGAGTTGTTGCAGAGAGTTCTCAGGAACAGCAGCGTGGCACTTGACAGGAGGAAAAAAGACAAATTAAATATTACTAATTGGTAGGGAAAAAACCTCAGGAAACAGAAGTTAAGCGTCATTGTATTGGGTCTGTCAGTGCCTACATCCCACATGTGGTCACCCTGTCTGAGAAGGCTGTGGGCAGCCTAGAGAAGCTAAACAAAGTACAAAACCACTTCCTTGTGAGAAGAGAGGGAATGGATTAGCACTCTTCATTTTGGAAAAGCTCCTAAAATCATGACTGATGTGCAGAAGGTGGGTGAGAGAGGGTTGTTCACTCTCTGTCATTATCAAAGAGCCAGAGGTAATCCAAGGGTAGCTTTTAATTTGCCTCTTGCTAAATAAAAAGAATTCCAATGACTTCTAGGATCTGAGGTGGGAGACGCCTGGGGTGTCTTGGATGCATTAAAAGTGGCAGTAGTGTGTGATCCAATCAAAGGAGAAGAAAAGACTTCCAGGACTTAAGGAGATAAAAAGTAACCTGAAAAAAATTAATTAGGAACATGGAAGCACCTCCAAGAACCAGGAGAATCAGATCAATAAAGACTTATTGGTCTTAGAGGGGCTGTGGGACTGCCCCTGGATCCCTGGCAGTGCCCAAGGCCAGGTTGGATGGGGGTTGGAGCAGCCTGGGACGGTGAGAGGTGTCCCTGCCATGGCAGGGGTGGCACTGGATGGGCTTTAAGGTCTCTTCCCCCCCAAAGCAGTCTGTGATTCTGTGATTGCACGAATCATAAATGAGCTGGTGTGTAGGAGGTCGCACGGCTCCGCAGTGATGGTGTCAGCTGTCTGTAAAGGATTGCAGAAACCATCCCAAGTGTGGAGGGATGAAACACCAGGTGGATAAATGTAATGTAAAGTACACTGGAGAAATGAGGTTTTGCTTCACATGCCCTGTAAGCGATGCTGAGTTGATTGTTATCACTCAGGAGTGAAAGGATGGAGTTAGGAGTGCTGTGAGCTCCGTGCTCCCAGAAGCAAAAAGCCCTCACCAAACCCAAAGCCCATCTGCAACCGGATATTAGGGTTTATTGGGAAAAGAAGGGAGAACAAAACAGAAAAATCCTCATCTTGCTCTGTGAATACCTTCTAAATAAATCTTGAATGTGCAGCGTTACCAACGCCCCCTCTGCTGCACCTCAAAGGCTGGAGGAGAACGGGAAATGGTGCAGAGCCAGCAACAATAAAAGAAACCAGATAATAAAGATTGCATCACTCGGTGCAGATAACGATTGCAAAGAAAATCAAAAGGCTGCTTCTGTCTGAGGAATTATTGAAGAGCCTAAAGCTCTTCAACCTGAAAAGAAAGCACAGGGGTGCTGAGGGCTTGGAATCCTGAGTGGTGCAGAGAAGCTGGTGCCAGCAGGATTGTTCCCTGGTTTTGCAGTGGACAAATGTTTCAGCGATTGAAAAGTACAGGCAGCACATCAAAGGATGTACTTTTCTACAGCAAGCTCAGCTGAACTGTGGATCTCCTGCCCATAGGATGCTGTAGGTGCCAAAAGTTGGGTTGAGATCCACAGCAGCTTGTGGATATCGTGCAGTCAAAAACCATCACTGGCTGCTAGGCACAGGGATGTAAGCTCTGGGTCAGCAGGTCCTGAAGTCTGCAGCTGTGGGAAGCTGGAAGCTGTGTCCAGAGCTGTGCTTGTGTGAGCAGCACTCCCGGGACAAGGACTGGGAGATCCTGGCTGTTTTATTAGGAGATCCTGGCTGTTCCTGGAGGTACACGAAGGTGGGAGGAGAGCTGTTTGATCTGGAGTGTCTGCAGGACAACCAACACCGTAGAAATGGCACCAAGTTTGTGTTGGGAATGTGAAGGTGGCTCTGACCCTCAGGAGGCAGCTGGAATTCTGCTGGAAGTGGGACTTGGTCAGGTTCACATTCCATGATTGTATGAATGATCAGTTTGACTTGGGAATTTGCAGGTTGGGGGACTTGCCTCTGAAAATGTGAGATGGGCTGAGGCTGTGAAGGACTTCAAACAGCAGCAGAGCACCTTGTGTGGAGACGTCCTGCTGGTCACAGCCTGTGTCTCCTACCTGGGCTACTTCACCAGGAAATACCGCCAGGACCTCCTGGATGGCATCTGGAGGCCCTATTTGCACCAGCTAAAAGTAAGTCCTGATTGCTCTGAGAAGCCATTGCTTCTGGGATTAATGTGGCCACAAATCCTGGTGCCACAGGGGATCTCTCAGCTGAGGGACATCACTGTGGCGTCCTCACCAAGCTGGAGGGAGGATCAGGATGTGGCCATGTGCTCCTCCCTGGGGAAAACGTGGTGTCCTTGCTCCATGAGGTTCCTCCATGTCCACAGGAAAATCCCAAACACAGAGCCCAGCTCTGCAGTTTTGTCTGTGGCCACGAAAGAGGAGGGAATATGGAGAAGGAATTGGAGCAGGCAGAGCTCGCTGCCAGCTCTCCAGGAGGCTTGGAAAAACTCCAGGTGTTTTTTTGTTCTGGACACGAGCTCTGGTCGTGCTGGCCATGCCTCTCAGCTGGTTTTACCCATGTCTTGCTGTTAGGACCAGATGGAGATAATTGTGCTTGAAACCTGTTTAATAGTTCACTAATTTTAACAGGTTCCTCATACAAATTGTGCCAAGAAGCTTTTTAATAAGATCCCAGAGATGCCCAAATCAAAGGGCTGACCAAAGGAGACAGTTCCTTAGGCTGAGAGAGGAAAACTTCATTCTGCATTTCTTAACCAGAACCTTAGTTAAGATGTGGTTTCAAAAATGACCTGACTGTGCTGAGAAACATCAAGGAAGTGCCTGTAATTCCAATGGAAATGAAAGGCCCATTCTGCTCAGACACCTGGCACAGGGAGCTCTGTTTGGCACACCCAGAAATGGCCTCCCCTTTCTATCTGTTATATGGTACATTACGTGTTACATGGGTACAGTTTTTCCCCAATGCCTATTACCTATATTAAATGGTGCTTTTCTACTCTAAACCAATCTGTGAGTGCCAACATCACCAAGAACATGGAGGTGAGGAAGAAGAAAGAGGGAGGACAGGACTGGCCCAAATCTCTCCATCTTAAACCTCTGACCCCCATGTACAAAACCAAAATCCCGCTGTACAGGACTTAAAACCCCCTTGTACAGCACTCAAAAATTCTTCCCTTTACTTTGTGACTACTTCTACTATAATATCTAAACTTTTGTGACTTCTTGTTCTTCCTGCAAGGTTGGTAAATCATTCCATGGCTCAAACCCAAAATCACAGCTGTTTCCAGCTGCCTGCCAGGGTCTCAAATGCTTCTGACCTGGAACCTCCAAAAATGTCTGAGGGATATTTTGAGTTCCGACAACTGGTGTTTTTGACTTGGTGCCAAGGTCTCTGAGCCCCCTGGCAGAGTCTGAGCCAGCCAGGGCAGCCAGAGGGATGTGGTGGGTTCTCAGAGGAGCGTTTCTGTCTGCTGGCAGGTGGCCATCCCGGTGACGCCGTGCCTGGAGCCGCTGGCGGTGCTGGCGGACGAGGCGGCCGTGGCGGCGTGGCGGAACCAGGGCCTGCCGGCCGACCGCACGTCCAGCGAGAACGCCGCCATCCTCAGCTGCTGCCAGCGCTGGCCCCTCCTGGTGGACCCCCAGCTGCAGGGCAGCAAATGGATCAAGAGCGCCCACGGGGACGGGCTCCGCGTCATCCCAGCGGGGCACAAGGGGTAACGTCACCCGTCCCTGCAGGAGGGACTGCTGGCGCTGGGGAGAGCAGGGCGGCTGTGGCCGTGCAGATGAGCTGGAGGACAGGGTGGCCTGCTCTGAGGTTGGCTACTCACAGGGCTAGAGGGCGAATGAGTAGGCTTGTTGTTGTGGTTAGGATGAGGGCTGGCATCAGTTGTGGTGGTGGGGTGCCTTTGGCAGCCTAGGGAGGCAGAAGGTTGGTGTGCAGGCATGTGGGGAGTGTGGCGAGCCACAGGGGGAAGGCTGAGCTGGGTGTATGGGCAGCTGGGTGGTTGGGGTAAATGTGTATGGTGGTAGGCCAAATAGGGTGATTAGTAGGAGGAGTAGGAGGACCACCCCAGGTTGATTAGTAGGAGGAGTAGGAGGACCACCCCAGGTTGCTTAGTAGGAGGAGTAGGAGGACCACCCCAGGTTGGTTAGTAGGATGAGTAGGAGGACCACCCCAGGTTGACTAGTAGGAGGAGTAGGAGGACCACCCCCAGGGAGGTGGTGGAATCACCATCTCTGGATGTGTTCAAAAAAGACTGGACATGGCACTTGGTGCTATGGTCTAGTTGAGGTGTCAGGGCATAGGTTGGATTTGATGATCTTAGAGGTCTCTTCCAGCCTCATCACTGTGATTCTGTGAGGAGTGCCACGTGGTGAGCGTGGGATGTGCCTGCCCAGCGTGTTTGGTGAGCACTGGGCACTCAGCTGCACTGAGCCAGTCACACTGAGGGAAAGCTGCCACTGTATCTGCTCACATTATCTGCTTGTTCATTACCAAAATGACAGATTTCTTATTAAATCAAGGCTCTGTTTAGTGCTTGGCTCAGTTACCATAGAAACTCCTCTGAAGCTGGTGATGGAGTGAGCTGAGGCTGTTTGAGTATCACAAAATCCCAGACTGGTTTGGGTTGAAAGGGACCTTAAAGATCATCCAGTGCCACCCCTGCCGTGGGCAGGGACACCTCCCACTATCCCAGGTTGCTCCAAGCCCCATCCAACCTGGCCTTGGACATTTCCAGGGATCCAGGGGCAGCCACAGCTGCTCTGTTCAACAGGCCTGTGTAGAGCTGTGACATCCTCCATGGGCAAGGAGGAGAAGAAGGTCAGGACACACCCACATCCCTCCATCTTGTACCCCCTTGAACCCCATTCTAAAAACCCCAAAATTCTACTTTTTCACCCTCTGTTAACTCAACTACCACACTACTCAAACCCTTGTGGTCTGTAATTCCTCACACAAAGTCGGCAGCTTTTTCCATGGGCTAAAATCGCAGTCACAGGTGTTTGTGACTTTGTGCCAAGGTCTCTGAGCCTCTGCCAGGGTCTGGGGGCAGCCAGGGCAGCCAGAGGGATGTGCTGGGCTCCCACAGCTGCTCTGCTGCAGGAGGCACCAGCGCTGTTTCCCGCAGGTATCTGGACACACTGGAACAAGCCCTGGCTGCTGGAGACCTGGTTTTGCTTGAGAACCTGGAGGAATCCGTGGATCCAGTGCTGGGGCCGCTGCTGGGGCGAGAAACAATCAAGAAAGGCAGGTGAGCTTGGGGGGCTTGGGGACACGTGTGGAGGGGGCTGGGGACTGCTGTGCTCTCTGTTCCTGCCCTCAGACCGTGGGTGTTCACATCCAGCAGCACTAACGTCCTGCCTTCAGCAGAGAGGGTGTTTTTAATCAGGCAATCACAGTTAATTCAGCTATAGGATGGCTTGGAAATCAACCTGGATTCCTCATTTCATTTCACAGCGTCATTCAAACCTCGTGTAAAAGAGAGACCTGTAATTCTCCCATTGTACACAGACCTTGGGGGCTGTAATTGGCTGTTCTGACACCAAATTATTACCAAAATAGCTGCTGCTGTGTTGTGAAGTAAAAGTAGCCTTGAATTTTAGCAAACGCGGCACAGTGTTTAGAAATGCAGCTACAGATTTCAGCATCAATTGTTTCTTAATGAGGTCAAGTTCTCATGGAGCTGCTGCTCACCTCCAGCTGAGAGGAGATCAGCAAGGGAGGCAGCCAGGGAACTCTTCTCCCTTTAGTTCTTTGAGGATTATTTCCCTGCTTGCCTAAAACATCCCAGGCTGTTGTAAACGGGTGGGCAAGGCAAAGTTTGCTGGGGAAAACATCCTGGGAAGGGTGGCTGAGCATGGGTTTGGCTGCAGGATGGAGGATGGAGGGGCAGGATTGTTCCCAGGGCAGCATGGAAATGTTTGGAGGATGTTGAGAGGGGAGTGCAGCAGGGAAGGTGGCAAATCTGAGCCCCCTCCAGTGGAACACTCAGGCATCCCCTTTTGTGCATGTCTGCTCTCAAATCCCCCTGTGAAATCATGCCTTTGTAACAAAGGGAGAAGAAGTCATAAATCACAAAGAAAATCCCTGGGTTTCATGTTTCCAGGCCCTAAGCACAGACTCCAGGCAGATGCTGCCTGGAAGGGGCTCTGAGCTCTCCACACAACCTTCTCCTCTCCAGGCTGGACCATCCCAGCTCTCCCAGCCTGGCTCCACTGGGGAGCTGCTCCAGTCCCTTTGGCACCTTCCAGGTCTCCTCTGGAGCTGCTCCGACACTCTGGGTAATTTTATCTGTGACCAGTGAAAAGCTCAAGGCTGAGAGGCTTTTCCTCCCTGCAACTCCAGTTTTAGGCAGAATTCAGCCTCTGCCCAAAGCCAGGAGAGTTCATGGTTGGATTATTGTGTTGCTGCTGGAAAATCTGAGCCTCCTTAAACACGATCCAAAATTCAGGAGAGACTCTCTGGGTTTTTTTCACCTTAAATCAGAATTGATTTCAGTGTGCCAAGTATGAATTAAATCATGATTTCTGTGAGGAGTGCAAAGTATCTGGTGCTACCACTGACTGAGACCACCCCATGTGCTGCGGTGACAGCTCCTGGCTGATGCTCCTTCTGCTGAAATCCCAGGTACATCAAGATTGGGGACAAGGAGTGTGCGTTGCACCCTGCCTTCCGTCTGATCCTGCACACCAAGCTGGCAAACCCCCACTTCCAGCCCGAGCTGCAGGCCCAGTGCACCCTCATCAACTTCTCTGTCACCCGTGACGGCCTCGAGGAGCAGCTGCTGGCGGCCGTGGTGCGCCTGGAGAGACCCGACCTGGAGGAGCTAAAGGTCAGCACTGGGAATTGTCACTGGGAGAGAGCAAAAATCATCAGCAGAATCGTTATTACACTTATAATTTAATTATTATTGTTGTAATTGTTGATATTGTTATTTATATTGTTGTTATTGGTCTACACTGAGAGACCCGACCTGGAGAAGCTGAAGGTCAGCACCTGGGAATTGTCACTGAGAGCAGGCACAAATCATCAAGAGCATCGTTATTGCACTTATAATTTAATTATTATTATTGTAATTGTTGATATTGATATTGATATTGTTGTTATTGGTCTACACTGAGATACCCGACCTGGAGGAGCTGAAGGTCAGCACCTGAGAATTGTCACTGAGAGCAGGCACAAATCATCAGCAGAATCGTTATTACACTTATAATTTAATTATCATTATTGTAATTATTAATATTGTAATTACACATATAATTATAGTAATTATTAATATTTTTATTGATAATGTTGTTAGTATTGTTGTTATTGGTCTACACTGAGAGACCCGACCTGGAGGAGCTGAAGATCAGCACCTAGGAATTGTCACTGGGATAAAGCAAAAATCATCAGCAGAATCATTATTGCACTTATAATTTAATTTTAAGTGTAATTATAATTATTGTAATTACACTTATAATTACAATTATAGTAATTATTAATACTGTTATTGATATTGTTGTTAGTATTGTTGTTATTGGTCTACACTGAGAGGCCTGACCTGGAGAAGCTGAAGGTCAGCACCTGGGAATTTTCACTGGGAGAGAGCAAAAATCATCAGCAGCATCGTTATTATAATTTAAGTATAATTATATATAATATATAAATAATGATAATTTAATTATAATTATTGTAGTTATTGATATTGTTATTGATATTGTTGTTGTTGGTCTACACTGAAAGGTCTGAGCTGGAGGAGCTGAAGGTCAGCACCTGAGAATTGTCTCTGGGAGCAAGTGTTACAGTCATCATTATCATAATTCACTTTTGATTTTAATTTTAATTTTTATTTTTGTTATTGTTATTTTTTAATTTTTATTTTTTCACATTTCACATGCCAACTTGCAGACGTTGCTGAGTTCCTCCCAAAATCAGATTTCCCTTGGATAACAAACATTGCGGGTTTTTTTTTTCCTTCAGCCTTCTCTTTGCCTGGTATTTTGAGAACCCTTGTACTTAATTTTCAAGGTTTTTCTCCCAAAAATTCTCTTTATTTTCCTCCTCCTCTTGTGACTGAAAGCTGAGTTTCTCATTACCTCCATTTTTTTTTCTGGACTTCACAGATTTAATTTTGGAAGCAGGATTAATCTCGCTTAATTTTCAGCATTTGTGGTAAAGGATTCTGTCTGTAAATATTGTGAGGCTGGCAGTGATATTTTCCTCTTCTGGCTGTTCCTCCCACTTTGTAATAGGCCAAAATATTTTCTCTCAGAGCTTCAGCAGCAGGGGTGAGGAGCAGCTGGGACTCTCCAGGCTGGCTGGACCCCAAGAAATGAGGCCCAGGCCAGGTCCAGGTTTTGGAAGTGCTTCACCCTCCAAACCAGCTGTGCTGTACAGCTGCTCACTGCCAGCAGTGCCAACAAGGCATGAATTTGAGAGTCTGCACCTGGATTTTATGAGTTTGTGCCCACCTGGAATGCTGGGGGAGAGTTCAAGTGTTATTTTGTTAGAGGTTCAAGTCAAGCCTCACTCCCCTTTGGTCTCCCTACCCAAAGACACAGGATATGTGTTTGAGATGGGGATGAAGTCTTCCTGATTAATTTCCAGCGTTTTCTCACATTTCTGCACAAGGGCTCAGTGCTCCTGGTGCTTTCTGTGCTGTTCCAGGTTTCTGTGAGCTGCTGGCTGGTTGGGTAAGGAGTGATCCCAGAACTCTGTGCATTCCCAGGAGAACAGGAATCAGGGCTATGGCAATTGTCAGTGGGAATCCTGTTCCCGTGTGAAGCTGATTCACCCTTACTTTGCCACATCCTTTATGGCTAAAGCTTCCTGGATTTATTATTTGCAGTCAGATCTCACAAAGCAACAGAATGGATTCAAGATCACCTTGAAAACGTTGGAGGACGATTTGCTCTCTCGGCTGTCATCAGCATCTGGGAATTTCCTGGGAGACACAGCGTTGGTGGAGAACCTGGAGACCACTAAAAGGACAGCTGCAGAGATTGTGGAGAAGGTACAAAGACAGTGATAGCCTGGAGAAAGGCATGTCTATGGTCCTTTAAGGATTTCTGGGTGGAATGTAACCTCTGCTCTGCCCATCTCTGCTTCATCTGCTGAGCAGGGAGTAGAAATTGGTATAAATTGTAAATGCTCTCCATTCTGGAGAGCTCCAGGCCATTTAGTTCTTTGGAGCTTTTTTTGTGCTAAATGACCTATTTAAGACCAAGAGAAAACATTGGTGCCTGATGTAAAGACAATAAAATTTACACACTGTATCAAGGCAGCTTTAAGCTGTTCCAGCATAATCCTGGGTCCATCACACTGCCTCAGTTAGGCTGGGTTTTAGTGCTGACCAGGGACTGGAGTCTGGGGAGTTTGTGATCTCGAGTAAATCTGAAAGAACTCAGGTATTTCATACCCTTCCATTCCTCAGAGTATAAATCAGCATTTGTGTGAGCACAGCTGCCCTTACTGGCTGCATGGGCTTAGGTAAATGCCCAGAGGTCTTTCCTTGCCACTGAGGGAGCTTGGGAAGTATGGTTCCCATCCCAGGATTGTCCCAGACCTCTGGTTAGGATGTTCAGCTGCTTCCCTCTGCAGTCCCCCCATCTCCAGCCAGCCCAGGCTTGTTAATGGCCTGCACAGGAGGGGGCAATTAGCAGGAGAAACTCATTGATGAGAACATGAATTCCAGTTAGCAAAGAGCAGGGAACCTAGGGAGGAGTCTGGAGGGGACTCAGGAAAAGGGGGATTGGGCAACTGGGTGGAAAACGCAGTTAAATGGAGGGTTCCAGAGGGGAGATGCTGGGGAGGGCAGCTCCAGGCTGGCAGGGCTGGTGCCATGGTGGTCACCTGTGGCCTTGCCCTGATGGCTTTGTGGCCAGTGTCTCCTGTTGAAATGGGCCCCCAGACAGGTAATAATTAGTACAGAGTCCATGTATTACAGAAGGTTGATTAATAATCTTTATTAAGAAACATATTGCTCTTTTTTATACCTTAGTTTGCTGTAGGTGGAATTGATTGGTCCTTTAGTTAGAACACCATCACCACTGGTTAATTAAGAAACTACCATTTGGTAAAAAAATTTTCATAACACATTCCACATGTTCACAATATCAGGTGGAGTAAGTTAAGAATTGTTTCTCATTCTTTTCTCTGCTCTTTTCCCAGCACGATGCCTGGGAAAGTTCTCAGTTACCCTGCATGCCCAGAGAGCTGCTGCCCCAAGTGCCCGCTGTGCCAGGGCTGCAGGCACTGCACAGGGGCGTGCTGAGAGGAGCTGTGCCATGTTTCCCTGCAGGTGCAGGAGTTTAAGGTGACAGAAGGCAGGATAAACGAGGCCAGGGAGCAGTACAGGCCCGCGGCCCGCCGCGCCGCCATGCTCTACTTCACCATGAACGAGCTGCACGCCGTGCACCCCATGTACCAGTTCTCCCTGAAGGTATGCGCCCTCCTCCCTCTGCTTCTGGGCTGTGGGAATCCAGGGCATCCCTCTGGCTGCCCTGGCAGGTCTGGGACCCTGGCAGGGGTCAGGAACCCCCCTGGACAGAGCCCCCAGAGACACTGGCTGTGATCTCTGTCCATGGAAAAGAGTTTTCAATCTTACAGGATGAATTACCAGCTCTGAGTGTTTGATATAAGTAATAATTAAGTGTGGCACGGGTGCAAAAGTGGAATTTTAGGATTCTAGATAAGGGGTTCAAAGGGGACAAGATGGAGGAAATTGGGTGTGTCTTGTTCTTTTTCTCCTTCTCCATGCCCTCCATGTTTCACTGTGGTGTTGGCATTTTTCTGTTGGTTCAGGCTGGGGACACACTGTCCAACGTAGGTGACAGATATTGGCACGTTATTGTAAATCCAGCACAGGTAGTTTGTGGTATTTAATGTTTGTAACATCCCACTGAGGGCAGAGCCCCACACGCTGCCCTGCAGGACAGAGCTGCGGCAGGGCAGCAGAACATGTTAGAGATAAACAGAATAAACAGCCTTGAAACCAGCACAGACGAATTATGGCTTCTGCTTTGGCAATGGGGCTGACAAGAGACTTTCTGCAATCTCAGAATCATCAATACCACAGATTCTGTCACTGGGGTCCCTAAAATCAGAATTGCAGTCACAATGTCACAGAATCACACCAGGTTGGGGTTGGAAGGGGTTTAAAGCCCATCCTGTTCCACCCCTTCTTGTCCCACGCCTTCCACCATCCCAGATTGCTCCAAGCCCTGCCTAGAAAAAGTTGCAGCTTTAATATTCTGTGAAATGGAACCCTTTTCTTTTTGTGGTGTAAGAAAGGTGGTTTGAGGGATGGATGGTTAAACGAGCATCCTGGTCCACAGCTTCTTCCAAACAATTTCTTACCTTGACAAGTGACCTGGAAAAAGGAATTGAGGAGCGACTACAAAATGTTGAGCCTCATCCACAAAGAAGCTTTTCCTCTTGATAGTTGTGACTCGTTTGTGGAAGTAATTTTATCAGGAAAAATGTACAGAGTATCTTCTGTGCCTGTTGAAAGATTCATCCCTCTCACATACATAATAGATACGAGGGTTCCTGAGGTTTCACCTTTAATCTGTGTCTCCCGTAATTTGTTTGTTTTATGTTTTCCAGTGAACATTAGCAGCGTGTACAAATACATGGAAAATTATTGGGGGAAATGTTTTTATCTAATAAATTTTGATGGCAGATCATAAAACATCGTGTAAAGATGCACAGGGATGATTTTAGAATACTTGCCACACAGCTGGGAGCCCATTATAAATTAGAACACAAAGATTTATGTGCTGCTCTGCAGCATGTTTTAACACAATTTAAAGAAACGTTAAGCAGGAAAATGCATTTTGCAATTATTTAATAATGCATTCAGTATCAGTGTTACTTTAATTTGTTGAGGCATCAGTTTTCCGTTGTAGAACCCTAAAAATAAGGCTGCCAGCATGGTCATGCCTTGTCCAGTTGTTGCCAACAGGGTGTATTGGCCTGGTTATTTCCTTTAGCTGGGCCCAGCACACGGAGCCTTTGCATTGCTAAGCAGGGCTTGGGGTTTATGCTCTTGTTCATTTTCTTTTTCCAGCTGCATTTGATAATTTGCTCATGCTTTTAATTGGGATGACTCTGAAAGATTTTTTGTCTTTTCTCATTTAGATCAGAGCTGCTGTTGCAATAATCCTTAACCTCCTCTATAAGAGGGTTGTTCTCTGTGCAGATACCCACCCTTGAGGGGACCTCAACCTCTTAAGCTCACTCCTCCCTGCCCTCCTCAGCCTGTCCTTTGCTGGACTGAGACAGTAAAACACTCATGGGATTTAAAAATTTAATTTATTTTTGGTTTTTTTGGGTTTTTTTTGAGGAATTGCTCCTCTCAGAGTTGAAATATTTGTGCAGTGGGAGATGTGCTTTCCTCCTCTGCTCCACTCTGCTAAGACCCCAGCTGGAGCAGCATCCAGCTCTGGGGTCCTCAGCACAGGAAAGGTGTGGACGTGGTTGAGCAGGTCCAGAAGAGGCAACAGATATGATTCAAGAGCCCCTCTATGGAGCCAGCTGAGAGAGCTGGAGAAAACTCCATGGAGACTTCAGAGCCCCTTCCAGGGCCTAAACGGGCTCCAGGAGAGCTGGAGAAGAGCTGGGGACAAGGGATGGAGGGACAGGACACAGGGAATGGCTTCTCACTGCCAGAGGGCAGGGATGGGTGGGAGATTGGGCAGGAATTCTTCCCTGAGAGGGTGGGGAGGAGCTGGGATGGAATTCAAGCAGCTGTGGCTGCCTCTGGATCCCTGGAAATGTTTGAGGCCAGGTTGGATGGAGCTTGGAGCAGCCTGGGACAGTGGAAGGTGTCCATGGCAGGGGTGGAACTGGACATGTTTGTGGTGGAGTTTTTCCCCATGGAAACCGTTCTGGAGTCTGTTTCCTCTGGGAGCTGCACTCTCTGCTGGCTCCACATTTGCAGAGGTAGTGGCTGTGTCATCCCAACAGGAGCACACCGGGCACAGAAACATCTCCTGTAGCCTTGTGTGGGAGTTCCCTGTGCCCGGTGTCCCAGGGGATGTCACCACTGCCAGGTGTCCCTGGGCCAGAGCCAGGGGCTGGTTTGTCTCTGTGTGCTCCCAGCCAGGCAGGACCTGGGTTGGCACCACTGTGACACCTCAGGGGCACCCAGGGGCGTGCAAAGGGCATCCTTCAGTCCCCCTTCCCGCTGTGTCTCCCCTTCCAGGCGTTCCAGGGGGTGTTCCAGAAGGCCATGGAGAGGGCAGCTCCTGCTGAGAGCCTGGCAGGGCGGGTGCTGAGCCTCACGGACAGCATCACCTTCTCCGTGTTCCAGTACACGGCCCGGGGGCTCTTCGAGAGGGACAAACTGACCTTCAGTGCCCAGCTCACCTTCCAGGTACCAGCACCACCCCGGGCACCTTGTGTGCCACAGCAGCCCATGGGCGGGCTCCAGGCTTGATTGTCTTCTCTGGGAATCACAGGATCATTCAGGCTGGAAAAGCTCTCCCAGCCCAGTGAGCCCACCCTGATCCCCACCCTGTCCCCAGCCCAGAGCTCTGAGTGCCACCTCCAGGAATTCCCTGGGCACCTCCAGGATGGGCATCCAACCCTCCCTGGGCAGTTCCAATCCCTGAGCTCCCTTTCCATGGGGAAATTCCTGCTGGTTCCACCCTGAGCCTGCCCTGGCCCAGCCTGAGGCCGTTCCCTCTCCTCCTGTCCCTGTTCCCTGGGATGAGATCCCAAATTCCCCACCCTGGCTGTCCCCTCCTGTCAGGAGCTGTGCAGAGCCACAAGGTCCCCCTGAGCTCATTTTCTCCAGGCTGAGCCCCTTCCCAGCTCCCTCAGCTGCTCCCCACAGGATTTATTCCTGCCAATAGCAGGCACAGATGCTGGGTTGGATTTGAATTGCGCTGACAAAGGTTATTTGAGAAATTCCTGCTTGCAGGACCTGCAGAAAATGGCAAAGCAAGCTGGCCTGGAAGGGCTCTTGCATTGAACCTAAATAAATGCTTGCTGCAGAGCTGCTGTCCCATGTCCATGGTGTTTGTATAATTTTTATTTTTTTGTCCAATCTGGCTCTGCTGCCAGGGCCTTCTCCTCAGGGTGCTCTTCACCCACACGGAACTCAGCCTTTACCACATAGTTCTCCCAGCTTTTTTCCTGTCCTCTTGCCCATCTCCACACTCATTCCTGGTCCTCTTTTGGGACACCCAGAGCACCTACAAAGGTGTGTCCATCACACCTCTCCAGCACAGGGCACCCCGTACATTTCAGCCACGCATTTTTCAAGCATGTTAATTGAATAAATAATCTGTTGGACTTTGTTGCTGCTCTAGGAGATCTTGTTTGTTTGGAATTACAGATACTTCTGATGAATAAAGAAATCAACCCAGCAGAACTGGATTTCCTGCTCAGATACCCAGCACAGCCCGGAGTCACGAGCCCTGTGGAGTTCCTGTCTGACCATGCCTGGGGAGGAATCAAGGTACCTGATCCACAGGAAATCAGCTCCCCTTATCTTCTCCAAAAACCCTTCAGAAGGTCCTTGTGGGATTTGTCTGCCTTTGAGGGGCCACAGACATTGGGAGTTCTACAGGTCCAACACAGATTTTGAGGGCTGTTCCTGTGCCCTCGTGTGTCCCCAGGGAAATGGTTCTTCCCTCTGAGATTTAGGCTTCTCCCTGTTAGACCGACTGAGAATACCCTCAGGGGTTTATGGCTGTGGTTTGTAAAGGACATGGAGGTGCCCCTGTGTTTGGGAATAATTGGGAATTTCTGCAGGGATGTGCTGGGGGTGGGAGCTGTGACAGCTGCCAGACCTGCAGGGAAATGGGAATGGGCAGGTCTGGCACCAGCCACGTGTTTGGAGTGAGAAGGGAGCAAAAGCACCCCAAAAAGAGGAGAATTATCCTATACTTGCTCCTCTCTGTCAACAAATGTGAATTGTGCTGGCTTTGGACCTGATTTATCAGGGTGGGGTTTGTTTTCTGAAAAGGATCCAAACACTCCCCACCTTGAGCCTGTTCATTCCCACCTTGCTGGAGCTGGGATTGTGTCTCCTGTCTGACTGTGCTGCTGATCAGTCCCTGGCACCTGTGGTTGTGAGTTTGTGGGCCCCAAGTAGGGCAAATCCCTGCCAGGGGAGCCCCTCCTGGAGCAGCTCTGTGTCAGGAACCAGAGATGTTTTGGACTTTTTCGGTTTTCAGCTTCTGTTTATTGTCACCTTATCAAAACTTCAGCATGCTGTCTGCACCAGGCTCTGTGTGCAGGAAAAACAGCACAAAAATGGCCAACAATCTCTTGTTACAAGGCTTTTTAAGTCTAAACAAAAACTAAGCTACCCAATTAAGAAGTGACACTTAAATTATTTTCTTTTCTAACCCAATAACTGATCCCTAAAGACCTACAATGCGGATTTTTCTACCCAATTACAAGATGACACCTAAACCCAGGAAGAAAGAAGAAGAAAGAAGAAGGGAACTCAAGAACTCAAGACAACACCCTATATCCTCCATCTTGTATCCATCTATAACAGACTAAAAATCCTAAACCCTAAATTTCTCACCCATGGGACATACTACACTTCTTACTCTCTACAATCTATTTCACACTTTTGTGGTTTCTAGTTCACCTTGAGGCTTTGGAAGTTTTCTCCATGAATGAGGGTCAAACACCCCAGAGCAGACAGAGAAATATTCCCAGTGCCCTGGGTTTCCACGGGTGGTGATGTGAGAATAACTTTTATTTACAGCATGTTTTCTCTGTGGGACCCGAGGACACAGGTCAGTGCTGGGCTGATGGTTGGACGTGGTGATTTCAGAGGGCTTTTTCCAGCCTTGATGACTCTGTGAGTCTCTGTGACTCCTGCAGGATGCCTGCAGGTGGTACCTTCCCCAAACACACACCTGCTGGGTCTGCAGTGAGTTTTCTTTGTGAGATGTGCTGCCAGTCCCCCTTTATGTGGCTGAATTTGCCTTTCCTGTTCCCTCTGTGGTTCCCTTCACCGTGAGCCCTTCCCACTCAGCTTCCTCTTCCCTGGAGGAGCTCTGTGCTGGAATCTGTGTGCTGCTGTGCAGGTTTCCAGCTCTGCTGCACCCTCAGCCTGCACTCGATGGCCCCAGGAGCTGCACAAGAGTCACTGCCCAGTAATCTGCACTCATTTTACGAATTTCAGGACTTTCTGATAGAGAATTCTGTGTTATCAGATACCAAATACCCTTCAGATTGTCTTTTGTGACGACTGTACTATGGATTTTGCTGTAAATAATATGGTTGGTGTCAACTTTTATTAGTGTTTGTGTTGATGTCTGTTGGTTTATTAACCTCTGAGGTTTTGGCAATTCTAGTTACTTGAGGCATGGGTTTAGTAAAATCATATTTTGTCACAGACTGCTGTAATTAGGTTAATTAGTCATGGATTCTACACAGTTCATTAGCAGGCTAAAATCTCCTTTTCTTATATCAAGAAGATTAAATGCTATAATAAATTGTTTCTTCAACAAAGCTTGAACAAAGTACACTTCAGATTTATATTTCAAATTCAAAGTGAAATTTAGCATTCTGCTGATTTTTCACAGAAACATTGCAAATGCTCCAGCCCAAAGGGCTCCTTGTGCCAGGGGGTTCTGGCCAAGATAGTGCCAAAAGAAATCAATATTGATATTTGTGGCCCATTCTGAGCCTCCCACTTTGGGCACATTAACTTCCAAGGAAACCTCATTAAATGTTGAGGGCTCTGGGCATGCAACTGGCCTTGTGTGACTTGACTTATTATTTATTGTTGGGGGTTGATTAATAATATATAGAGGCCAATAATCCTTTGCAGTTGCTTGGCTGTTTGCAGCTCATGGTGTTGGAGCATCTCATTTAGGAAGTGCTCATTAATGATTTAGTTTTCCAGCTTCTTTCAAGTTCAGCACAAAGTTTCACAGAGCATTTTGCTGTAAGCTGTGTGCCAGGGAAGTTTGGTGTTCACTCCTGGATGAAGAAACCCACGGCCCTGGCCAGAAGGAGGTGGTTTGTAGGGAAAGGTAATAGCTTTAATTATATCTGCTGAGAGACCTGGGAACATAGGCACATTTCAGGCTCTTTGGTGCTTCTTTAAAGCTGAAAGAGGAATTGAATTCAAGCTAAAGGCTGAGAAAAGCTGCTCTGAGCTTGGCTTGGTTCTGTTCATCAGTCAGATGTGTGGGAGGGAATGGCACCTGTGGAGGAGCTTTGCCTGGCTCTGGAGCAGGGGAGATGTTTGAGATGTTAGCAAAGGGCACAGCCATTGCCTGACCCTGCCTGTGGTTACTGAGCGTTAGCTGAGAGCAGGAAGGGCACAGAATTTTGTCATTTAATTAAAGCAGTGCCTTTGCTGAGTCCCTGGCTTTGGTGCTCAGTGGAGCTGGTCATTTCAGTCCTAAGGCCTCTCATTTGCAGGGGCTTAGCAGTGATCCCTCGAGAAGGCAAAAGTGTTCTTTTGTTCCTGTAATGAGGTTTTCTGTCTCTTTTCAATTTCCTTTATTGCAGCCTGTTGTACTGTTCTCCCCCTCTGTGTTCCCAGAGTCTGCCTTGACAGTTTTTATTTCTGTTGGTATTTCTGAAAGCATTTTCTGTGTCCGTGCACAGCTGGCCATGCTCCCTGGCTTGGCTGGTGGTTTCCTCACCAGTAAATGTGTGGACACACCTTAGAGCACAGTGCTGCTGCTGCATGTGCCAGGTGCAAATGCCATTTGGGAATTCTCGCTGTGTGATTGAATTAACACAGAATCCATGCAGGGATTGTCCTCTGGAGGGTGAAGTATTCTCTGAATTCATCTCTGAGTTGATGCCCTGTGGTCCTTTGAACCTGTGTGAAGGCAGGCTGCCCTGTCGAGCTGTTCTTGGTTATCCCCAGGGCAAGGACAGACAGCTCCTGTCATGGCTCTTCTCTGAGCGTGATGTTGAAATGATGTCATTTGGTTGTAGGGTCTTCTTTAGGGTCTTTGCTTGGTCTTTCAGATTGTATCAGATTAAGCAGCAAGATGAGCCAGCAGTTGTTTGCTGCACACAGTGAAACTCCCCTGAGCTCCCCAGCCAGAGCCACCTCACCTCCCCGGGCAGCTGGTGTAGATGCAGGTGAGCCCAGTGGGAAGGAATGCTGATGTCTGACTCCAGTTCAGAAGGCTGAATGATTTCTTTATTATAACTATACTATAACACATTAATATACTATTTAAAGGAGATACTCAAACTACAAACCTGCTTTTCTAACTCCCATATCTAACTCACTCCCAACTCGTGCCCCTCTCTGAGAGCCCAGCCCCAGGTGGGTTGGATTGGCCACCAGCTCAAACAATCCTCACAGAATTCAACCCAGCACTCACCCCAGGTAAACAATTCTCCAAACACATTCCACATGGGTAAAACAAGGAGCAGAAATAGAAATTGTTTTCTCTTTCTTTCCTCTGTGCTCCTCCATGAAAAAAGTCCTGAGAGAGAGAAGCATGTGCCTGCCACAGGCAGCCCTGCAGTCTCCTGCCCTGGGTTGTGTCCAGCCTTTTCCTGAGAGCTCCCCAAAGCCAAAGGTGAGCCAGCAGGACACTGGCACATTGTGTGGCTCACCCTGAGCTGTGCCTGGCCACCTCCTGGAGGCACAGACTGAGGAGCAGATCAGCAGGGAGGGAGCAGCACCTTCCCCTCGCTGTGCTGGGCTCTGAGACCCAGGCAGAAACTCCTTCAGCCCACGTCTGACCCAGCCTTACTCTGGAGCAGCCCTCTGGGTGTGGGTTTCGGCCTGAGGTTGGACCCTGTGCCCATCAGTGGCTCAGGCACAGCCTCCCACAGGGCATGGTCACACCTTCTGCCCACACAGCAGAGCCCTGGCTGTGTGCAGAGACCACCTGAGCATCCCCTGGGCTCTTCTCCTGATGGAGCCACTGGCTGTGCCCTCGTGGTCTTCACAACCAAAACGTTTTGCTTTTGGCCAAAGCCAGGCGGTGAGGGTTCTTCTGGGGGTTGTTCCCCCCAAGTTGTCCCAGCTCCTGCTGCTCCCCGCTGCCCTGTGGCTCCCCGTGGTGCGCGTGGCTGTCCCCGTGTTGGGGAACTGGAAATGTGCATTTCCCCAGCCTGATTTCCTTTGTGGTATTTCCTGCAGTGCCTCTTCAGCGCTGAATGCAGATGTGTCCCACGGGATGAGTGCAGCAGTTAATGCACAGCAGGAGTACACCTGGCCAGCCTGGATTACTTCTTAGCCCAATCATTTCCCTCATCTTTTTCTGAAGAGGAAGAATTTTCATTATGTAGATATGAAAACGCCACTGAAAGGGCATTGTTTAATAAATGTGATGTTGAATAATGAGCTCTAAATACTGAATTCAGCTTTCGAGGAGGAGAACAGCCCTAGACAAAGTCGTATATTAACTCCATATTTATAATTTTGCAGAATGCAGATGATAAGATTGCGTATGTGGCTTATGAGATAAAATACCGAATCATATATTTTGCATCTAAGAAAACTGG